GCCGGGTATATTTCGTATCGGCGAAGGACGAGTATATAATAACAATAAGAGAAGACCTCTGTGTGATATTATCACGATTTGTGCAAGCATGCATGCGTGGATGGTTATTGTATATCGAGAACGAGAGTGCTCTTTAGATATAAAAGGAAGACAGTTACCTTTCGTCTTCTTCTGCCCACTTTAGTGCACTGTTTCTATTCATTCTTTTTCGTCTTGCTCCTCCTTCATTTCTCCAATCACTTCATTGAACAGTTGCTTTGCTCTGATGTTCTGTTTTCTTTCTTCGGACTATGAAAGTATAATGGATGATAACAGCGGGAGAAGATTGACAGTCATCCCGATGTCTGGCATTGAACTTATACATACGTGCAGAATTCACACCCTTGAAGTATATTTCTATGTAAACGCACACATCGAAGAACGAATAAACATTGAGAGTGTGGCTAATAATTGATATCTGTCGGGTTTGTTACGTTCCTCTATGTGTTGAACAGACGTGCAATGATCATTTATCACATTTATATATATAAGCAAGCATTCGTCCCTTTGATAGATAGATAGATAGATAGATGTATCTCTCACTTCTTACTTGTGATCAACTTCGTAATGAGGAGTTACATACCTCATTTTACGGTGGATGTACATCCGCCCACAGTCATTTAGTTGACATGATAAAACATAATTTTGTTTGAGCTAATGAAAGCAATGTTGACAAATACTAATTGCATGCAACTCTTTTGCGGACTATTATAGGTGATAAAAGGTTTTGCTTTCATTATCACTGAATCAATCGAATTTTGATCTTTGATCGATGAATTGCAAATGACAATAGCGATGTTTATCAGGAGAGCAAAATTTGATAATTTCATATATTCGTAATATTACCTCTTGTTACTTCTTTCCTAAGAATCACGATTCGATCTTTTCCTGCGAGACAGATACAGAGATATATAAAAATAAGCACTTGGCCATCCTGTCGATATTATCGATAGATCAATCTTCACTAAAATAAACATGACAAGTGAAAACTTGGATAAATAAAACATATCTCCTCTCAATAACACATAATAGAGTCGTAGAAGAAAAGTTCGTATGAAAACACCTGCTGAGCGTATCAGGTATTTATGTAATCATACGATTGATTTCAAATCTATCCATGATTTCAACATAAGAAAATCGTCTATTACTTCCGAATATGTACCGTGTTCGACAAGACAGCAGTCAGAAAGAAAATTGAATCGTTTCATTTGACCTTTTCCTAGTTATATAATGCGCTACCGATAAACGGTTAATTATGACATAAACAGATCGTATGAGCGTGGACATCGAGTCTTTTCAGAATAAGAAGGTTTGGTTCGTGCATATGAAGCACAATTGATTCAGGTGTTTATTGGAGAAAGAGAAAAAAACAAGCGGGGGGATGCATAATAGTGTTTTTTTTCTCTCCCATATCCAAACATCAACATAAAAAAGAAGAAAATGATAAAGTTCGACGACGGATGGTGATGGTACAAATGTCTGTGAGTGTATGTTTTAACTCTGCTAATAATCTATAGAGGTACATGGAAAGAGAAGTAAACATTCGAGAAGAAACTTTTCTAGAAGAAAGAAAAAGACAAGACTGAAGAAAGATAATTTGGTGTATGAAGAACACTGTTGGTCGATTCAGTAATGTTCTTGAAGTTCAGAGGTTTTTATCGTTCTGAGGCAAGTTTTTCAGCACGAGCTGAAACATCTTCGATACCACCAACCATATAGAAGGCACCTTCGGGTAAATGATCTAATTCACCTGTTGAAAAGAAGAAGGCAAACTTTCGATTATTTTGGATACGGAAAAGGAATTTGTATATTTACCGTTTAATACCATCTTGAATCCTTTGATTGTTTCTTTGAGTGGTACCAATTTACCTGGTGTTCCAGTAAATACTTCAGCTACCTGAAAAAAAGAGATATAAAATGAGATTGTAAACAACGATGCTGACAAACGTCCATGAAGGGATCGAATATCTATTAGTGTTGATCTAGGAAACTATTATTCTTGCACTTTTTCCTATGTGTCTTACATATGAATAACATATAAAACACTACACAAAAGTGCTAGAGGAAATTTAGCCTTTGGACGGATTCGAACTTTCCTTTGACGCGTTTTATCGACTAACCTGAAACGGTTGTGAAAGAAATCGTTGAATTTTACGTGCACGTGCTACAGTTAATTTATCATCGTCGGACAATTCATCCATACCCAAAATGGCGATGATATCTTGTAAAGATTTGTAATCCTAAAACATGATAATATGCGATGAAGTTTTCGATAGCTAAAGAAATTTGTTCTTCGATTTTACTTGAAGTGTCTTTTGAATGCTACGTGCGACTGAATAATGCTCTTCACCGACAATGTTTGGATCGAGAATACGTGATGTTGAATCTAATGGATCGACAGCTGGATAGATACCTAATTCAGCAATACCACGAGATAAGACAGTAGTGGCGTCCAAGTGGGCGAAGGTTGTAGCTGGAGCAGGATCTGTTAAATCATCAGCAGGTACATAAATAGCCTGGTTAAAGACAAAAAACAGTACTAATTTTCGATAACATAATAATTTCCTAGACGTACTTGTACTGATGTGATGGAACCTTTCTTCGTTGTTGTAATACGTTCCTGCATAGTACCCATATCAGTGGCCAATGTTGGTTGATAACCGACAGCTGATGGAATACGACCCAATAAAGCTGATACCTAAATGTTCAACAGATGTTATTTGGTAATCGAAAATAGTTTGTCTTACTTCCGAACCAGCTTGTGTGAATCGAAAGATATTGTCAATGAAAAGAAGTACATCTTTTCCTTCTTTATCACGGAAATTTTCAGCGACCGTTAGACCAGTTAAAGCGACACGTGCACGTGCACCGGGTGGTTCATTCATTTGTCCGTACACAAGTGATACTTTGGAGCCTTTGCCTTTAAGATCAATAACTTTAGTTGTGATCATTTCATGATATAAATCATTTCCTTCACGTGTTCGTTCACCGACACCAGCAAAGACTGAATAACCACCATGTGATGTGGCAACGTTGTAAATTAACTCCATGACCAAGACTGTTTTACCGACACCGGCACCGCCGAAAAGGCCAATTTTACCGCCTTTAGCGTATGGTGCTAATAAGTCGACGACTTTAATACCAGTTTCAAGAATTTGTTGTTCAACGTTCATGTCAGTAAAGGGTGGTGCGTCGGCGTGAATTGGAGCAAAGTCTTCAGCATTGACTGGACCACGTTCGTCAATTGGATCGCCAATAACATTGATGATACGGCCTAATGTTGCTGAACCAACGGGAATTTTGATTGGTGTACCAATATCTGTGACTGGTTGTCCACGAACAAGACCTTCAGTACCATCCATAGCAATTGTTCGAACGGTATTGTCGCCTGAAGAAGAAGAAATGAGCAAAGAACGAATCGCTTTGAATGATTCTTCATACCTAAATGTTGAGCGACTTCAAGAATTAGTTTTGGAGAACGGCCATCAACTTGAAGTGCATTAAGAATGGGTGGTAGCTGTTCATCAAATTGAACATCAACGACGGCACCAATAACTGATACAACGCGACCTTTAGCGCCTTTAGCGGTTTGTTGGCCTGTTTGCGTTTGTTTGCTTGAAGTTGATTTTTGTTGTGCTGCTTGTTGAGCTGCAGCATTTCGTTTGCCAACAACTATTAAACAAAAGGCAATGTGGAGAACATGTTTGATGAGAAGACAAGAGATACTCACTATGAAAATTAGCGGTGGGTTGGTAAGCTAATTTGGACCATTTGGATGCACCGATGGTATGACGTTGTTTACCAAGTACAAGTTGTGCAACACTGTTCGCCCGTCGACAGGCACATCGGATGCCTTGCATGATTGTACAACTAATTAGTCTAAAAAAGAAGAAAGAAGTAGAAGAAAAATAACGTTTCGATTAGAGAAACACAAGACGGAGCAAAATCGTCATAAATCTTTCTTTTCTCAAACCACGAAAGAGTTGTCTGCAGTGCATCGTAAACATCTGATATCCTTTGATGAGGTTTTAGATACTTCTCAATGGCGATTTGATTTTCGGCCTACACAAAAATAAAATCGCTTCATTTTCTACTCATTGAACTAAATGCTAGAAAATAATATTTGAATATACATATCACAAATGCATAGTTTAACACATTTATGCACTTTGGTTCGAGGCGTTCGCTTAGCAACCGACAAGAAAATGATCGCAACGTTTGATCACTGATACATGATGAAATAAGAAAATTTAGGAACGTAAAAGGTGAATATGTTCACACTGTCAACGGCTGATGCACTCGATTTTGCAGCAGCCTTTGAAGATGCAGCGGAAGAACTGCATATCCTGGGTAAATTAGTACCTTCACACTATCAATACACCGGAGCATCGGATGAGGTTAGTCATTTTGAATATGAGCTTTTAATTTGAAAATATTTCTCGATTAAAGATTGTACGAAATCAAGTGGGACGTGTGTTGAGTGCGCAAAATCGAACTGAAGACATTTATGATGCTCAAATCACACAACGAAGTCAATTACAAAGGGACCGAGCCGATGAAGAATTCCAACAGCCCGAAGCAAAAGAAAGTCAAAGATTAATGGAAGAACTCAGTAATGAATTGAAGAAAACCACATCAGATTTGAAAACTGGCGTCAATAAAATCAATCGAATGTTTAATCAAAACCCGCTTACAGCAGACAACATGAAAAAAGTTGAAAAAGATCGGTAAGCATGTTCTCAGACCGTAATAACAAGTCATGACATCACATGTTGTAATTATTTCACAAAAATACATTTTGTAGCTTAATAATTACAAACGAACCAAAGAGTACGCAGAGATGATCGTCGGACTTTCTGCTTAAAAATATACGCATATTGTTTATTACTGATTTTTTAGCACTTATTTCGAGAAATTATTGACAAAATCAATTCTCGCTCTCAATGATCACAAATCAATTGAACCGCTGAAAATGATGATCGAAGAAGAACAAGAATCCAAAAACACATTTCTTCGTGTTGTTCGAAGGTATTTATCGTTGACTGTCAAACCTTTATATTTTATCTTCTCGGAGTCAAAGTTACCTTTGAGTAATTACAACACTTCTATTCATTCATTGTGCCGAGAGCGATCAGGAAGGAAGCATTAAGTTGAATTGTAAGATTTCGAACTAACGTGCAGTGCTATGTGTGAATATTAAAAGTTAATCAGGCGTTGGTTGTGCGACATTCCTTCAATTTACTTTCCATTCGTTTAGATTTACATAAAAAACTGCGTGAAGGGTGTTCATGTGAGAAAAAGTTGCTAAATTTGCAGAACAATTTTGTTTTGTTTATCATTTAAAGAAAACGTTAAACATTGTTTTCTTGAAATTTAGTGAAGAGGAAAGTCGCCAACGGATCAAAGACTTGACTCAACAGATTCAAAGTGTTCGTCAAGAGAAAATCACGGAATTAGCCAAACGTGCTGAAGTTATAGCGTATCAAAAAGATCAATTGCAAGAGGCAAAAGCCAAGGCTCAATTAGAAATCACATACGAGAAGAAACAATGCGAAAACTATCTCGAGCAAGTCCGCGCACGTTGTGCCATTGCAGAGCAGGAAATGCGGCGAGATCAAGATGTAATTTTTTCTTCTAAAAAATGTAATCATCATTTCTCGTCTTGTTCAGTCTTTAGAAAACCGTACGGAAGATGAAATGAAATCGAATTCGGAAACTGAAAACTACTTGCGTGTTTATATTAAAGTATTTCTCGAATTTTTTTCCTTTTCCCTTGGAATTCCTCGATTGTTCTAGGAAACAATTCAAAAAACAGACAAATGGCTGGAGACATACAACTCAGAAACAGCTGCCATGCAAACTAGGCTTGATAAATTAAAAGCAGCACGAGCAGCTGACTTGGCTACGTATCAAAAGATTGCCGCCGATGTAAGAGAAGAAAAAGCGAAGTTTCGGATATTGTTTTATTGATCAAACTGCTTTGTCTTTATTTTCATAGTTCACATTGTATGAAAAAGTTGTTCGAGAAGATCGAGCAGAGAAAGAACGTCGTCGTCGGCAATTAGAACGTGAGCAACAACAAATGTTTGCTGCGATTAAAATACAATCATGGTGGCGAGGAATGCTTGTTAGAAACGCTATTGGGCCGTACAAGAAGAAAAAAGGGAAAAAAGGAAAAAAGAAGAAGAAATAGTCGACGAAACCTTCGATACAGTTTTTTTTTCTATTCGTCTCTTCTTTTCTTATTTTTTATTTTGCAAAATAAAGGCATCATTCTCTCCTATTGACAAAAGATAGTTCATGTAAAAGATCTCGAATTAAATAACAATTAACGTAAGTATGGAGAAAGGAAAATTTGTCCCGGAAAAGAACGACAAGGTTCTTGTCAGTAAAAATGTGTTGAAAGTAATAGTTACAGTTCCTTTTCTTCTTCGCCTTTTTGATTATATAGATAAAGCTAATCGTGTCATTTTTCTTTTCATCATACTCATGCGTGGTAAGAATGTCACTTGAGTTGACATTTACATTCATCAGATGCTACGAAGAGTAAGAGAAACGAACAATTTTCTCAGTAATTAAACTATACACAAAAATGTTCATGTAAATTGACTGAGTAAGGAACATATTTGCATTGGGAAGCTAGAAATTCCTTGTTTTTCTTGTTCAGGTGACATTTAATATTGATCTATCACAACACTAGTTGACATGACAGATGGTTAAATATTATCAATCGTCGAGTTATTTCACCGACGTCAATTTGCAATCGTGCTGTTTGAAAATTCAACATTACTTTTTTTTGTCATATACTCGCGACCTGCCGATGAGATGATTGTGCGAAAAATATTCAGATGCCTTATTTCATATTCTCAATTATCCATCACGAACCGGAAATGTCATTTGACTTTCGAGCTCCGTTTCTCCAATGAATATTATTGTCATCGACATATATTGTCTCTCACAATATCGTCGGTATTGACCCTCATAATCTTAATACTCTAAGATTAGCGTTGTCAAGTTAAGATTAGAAATCAAATTGTCTGTTTTTCTTTTAGATTTTTACTAGAAACAACATCAAAATGTCTGACGACAGCGCATCTATTAAAACATGTTTACGAACGGTCACGTATCTACTGGAATACTGTGCGAATGGTTCGACAAGTAACAATGAAACATGTAAACATATCGATACCATCGCACGTTTTGTCACCGCTGATTGTTACATGAATCAAACAGTTTACCCGTACGTTGTTTTATTTATTCTTCTGCTTGGCACAATCTTGAACTTACTTTCTCTGTATTGCTTTCTGAAAACAAACAAACGCAATTCACAGAATGTTTATTTCTCCGCATTGTCATTGGGCGATACGATTAATTTACATATTAACTTCGGCTTACCAATGTTGAGGAAATTCGATGCGTTCGATACGGCATTCCGTCAGTATGTTATCGTATGCCGATTAACTGGCATTCTGACAGAGTTTTTCCTTATTTTTCCAACGTGGATTGTTGTTTTGCTGACAATTGAGCGTTTAGTCACAATTTCATGGCCAACAAGAAACCGTCCTGCTTATACTCAAACTCAAGCGATTATTTCGGTTATGACCTTATTTATTTGCGTGTTTCTTCTAAGCTTATATCGTTTATCCGATTTGAAAGGAATCGATCAGTTGAGTGTTTTTTCCATTGCAGCATGCAGTGATGGCAATGATTCATTCGAATGGCTAAGAAACGTCAATTTAATCATATGGACGATTCTACCTGAATGCTTAACATTCCTCATGAGCTTAATTATCATTTATCAGATAAAATCTGTAACGAGAAACATGCATTCGAACTCTTCGAAAGTCCATCGATCTCAATACAATCAAGCGACAAAAACTGTTCTTCTAATTGCAATTTTATTTCTACTTTTTCACACACCGACCGGTAGATTCGATTTTTCGAATTCTATTTCTCACGATAATTCCTTTGTTGCGATTAGGGATTACGATTGCTCTGGACTTGGTTTTGAAATCGAAGGAAGATGTGGCAACATTGGTAATCATTCATTTCTCAAGAAAAATAACTATGATTCTCTACGAGATCAATTTATCATGTAAATTTTTTATCTATAATCGGACGTTTCGAAATTTCACGTAAGTTTCCTATATACTTCATTCATAATGGATTTATTATTCATATATTCATTGCTGTTGCCTATTTCTTCATCAAGCATAAAAACTAATTTCTTATTGTTTTGTTTTTTCCCAGGGGAATCTTATCTACTACGGCATTACATTTTACACATAATCGAAATTCTGCGAAGCTCGGTCGACCTGCCTTAGCACGTCCGCCAAGGAGTTCCACTCCTCCGAAAATTCAGTTTAATTCTCAACATAAACAGTCGATTACATCTCCAGTTAGTCAAAGTGACTCTTATGTGAAGCATGGCGTGGGTGGAAGTGGAGGTGCTGGAGGGATAGGTGAACACCAATCTATGTTAATTAATCGTCATCCTCAAACGATTTCAACTAATCTATCTCGAAACCTACGCGATCAACAGCTATTGAATGTGATGATGTCGAAAGCGAAAACGAATGAAGCATGTGTAGCGTTATTACGACGAACAGATTTGTACAAAGGTTAATTTGAAGAGATAGACGAGAAAATGTTTTCAAAATCGGGTAAATTTAAAATAAGTAATTGAAATTTAATGTGATTCATTGATTTGCCTATTCATATTTTTAACTATTGTAAATAAATTTTATTCTTTTTAAGAATATTGTTCGTAACTAACTTAATCAACTGAGTAATAGAATAGAATCGAAGAAGAAGAAGAAGAATGAGAAACTCTATATGTCGAGAATTGTGAAGAGAAATAACCTTCGACATTCACATACGATCTTCATTCGAAACTGTCCTTCGGCTTGAACAGGTTTTACTTTATTCATTCTTTCACACACTTTCATTTTTTTGTCCTTTTATTATTCATGAAATTGCCAATAGGTGCAGTCACTAGATTGTAAGTCATTGAAAGTTTGATCCATTGATTGAGTTACATAAGTATCCATTGTTTGTGTGCTGCGGAAGTCTTCTTTTGAAGATAGAAGCTTCTGTCGTGGTGTTGAACATCGTTTGGGACTTAATGCTCGTTGTAGAATAACATCATCATTTAATGGCCGTTTGATACATGCCGAGAAACGTTCTTCTTTAGAATTCCGTTGCCGATCGTTTTCACGGAATGAGTGAAGAATATAGTTGTAAATTGAAGGAGACTGTCGTGGTGACAAGGTCGTTGTTGGGCGAAGTAATGTTTGTTGAGTTGACCATACTGGTGAGGAAAAAGAACGACTCATTGGCGCTGTTTTTTTTCGTTTGGGCCCTTCTAGATAGGCATAGCGATAGATAAGATCAGGTGCTGGGGTAATTGGATCAACTCGCTCAGATTTGCGTAACCAAGTATAGGATAGTAATGTTGACTTGTGCTGGATGAATGTATTGAGATTTGACCGATCAGTGCGCGACGTTAGTGGTGGTCGTTGTTGTGTAGAACGTATTTTTGCCGAGGGACTTCGTGAAGATTGTTGATTGCTTATTATTTGTTCATTTGGAAATATCGGTGAAAAGATCCTCGGTGAAAACGAATGTTTGTCACGAAGGTCGTCGATGGTATTGATATCATTAGCTGTGATCATTTTTTTACTTCTTTATTCGTTGAATGCAAGTAACAAGAAAAAGAATAATCGATGAATCTAAACTTGCACTTCGTTCTTTGTTGTTAGCTACTTGAATTACAAGTGTTCTGTACACTGGAGATAATTACTAACCTACCTTAATTCCATTTTAAAAGAAAATATTTCTACTTTTAATCGTGTTATTTCAATAGCTAACAACGTTTTGAGATATTTCGCACAAATTCTTGCTGTGTTTTCGTTTACTTTTCGAATTATTGGCAATGTCAACGCACCTTTAGGTGAATTATTTTGCTATTTGACAGGTAAACTTTGATTTCAACGATGTGAATTCCATCTGTCATATATACATCGTGGGAATAGTCAGTACAGCATCTTTCTCTTGAGACATCTTATTCAAGTGGAAAGATTACTTCTCATGGTCGTCTGTCGTTAAGAATGAATAAATGTCATCAAGTTCAGATAACTGAAAATTGAATAGATTCGTTTTTTCTTCTCTCTCTCTCTCTCTCTCTCTCCCATCAAATGATTCTATTCGTCTCTCATCATTCATTGCCATGATAATAATCATCATGTTCTCCTCTTTTTCTTCTTCTGACCTTATGTCAACAATATTCACACAGACAAAAGCAAGGTGAAAAAGCGAAGAGTAACACATATAATACCAACGAGAAGAACACAAAGAAGAAGAAAAAGAATTCACTATTGTTGCTATACCTATATTTCTAATACAATCTTTAACTTATTCGTTGACAATCTTTCTCTTCGTTTCTTTTTTGTAATTCTAGAAAAAAGAACGACGTAGAAAAGCAATCATCACTGATCGTCGTCATCGGTAAATTTTGAAACAACAAAAATAAGACATCAAAACATAGTTTGATTCATTCATTTGAATCTTTTGCGTTATGTTATTTGTAAATTCGTTTTGAATAACATTCGCTAGGTTTTTGTACTCTTTTGTCTTTAAATGTAAGATTACAGATTTTTCATAGTTTTTCTTTATTTGCACTGACATTCATCTATGTAGATGCCAACTTCCAGTCAATCACAAATTCTTTCTGTTGTTGACGGACAACTACTTCAAAATCAGCAGCAACAAAAAGCGAGTGGACAAACTCGAACGAATAAGTCACCCGTCCGGGCATTGGTAAATCAAACCGGAGTATCGGAACTAAGACGTCGTTCGATCAAAGAAGAGCGTCGCCCATCAATAAGTCAAAGATATAACGATGAAGATCATTCTCCACCTCCTCCGAATGTAATCAATCGTCGACGAAGCTCCGACAAACCAACTGATGGTAAATAACAAATGACTAAGTTTCTTGTTGACTTGGAGAAAAAAAACGAATGAATTTTCTTCCAGTAAAGTTAAAAACTACTCGCAAATCTCAGAGACATTTGAGATGTATGCATCATGATCATCGGTATCCTAATGTTCGTAGGGGTACGGTTATTCCTCGCTAAGCTTACGCTCTTCTTATCGTCATAAAATCTGTCCTTTGATTACGAGCTCTTTTTCTTGCAAATTTTCACATTTTCTTCACTGTTTATAACTAGGACGAGCATCCCAACGTGCTGATGTACTTCACATGCCTGTAATATATTTAAATAATGCTAGTAAGAATGAACCACGATCGTATAACAATGACAATCGATCGAATCGAGCAGTAAATTCGTACGGTCGAACAAAATCAACGTTCATTGATCCAGCGAGCGAACCCTGCCGTTTTCGAGGCTATTCGTTGAATTCGGAAAACGATGAACAATTAGAATATCTTCGTCGACTGAACCAAGCGAAACAATATCCAATCTCTGGCGAAAAAACATCTTCAGCGTCGGATTTGGACAATGCTAATGAAGATGAAGATGCTGAAAATGTGAATTATGAGCGACGAGCAAGTTTATTGGATGATAATGCTCGTCGATTGCTTGTCTTGGGCACAATTCGCCCATCGAAAACGTTTTATAGGAACCTTCCAGATGCTGATGCGGAACATCTGATGGAATATTTCCGTCGAATGAAACAGACACAACAACGAGTCACATCCGAAGAGATTAACGAAGAACTAGCAACGAAAATCGTCGAATACAAACCGAAAATGTGTAAGTAAATGATGTGCTACACAATGCAGATCAACTCGATTTCGTTCAAATTTAGTTTTCGACTCGGCTTGTGTTACTAAACATCAAGTGAGCACTGTGGAGAAAATTGTGGAACAATATGCCGATGAAATCCGTGAACAAAAGGCTGAATTCGTTAAACTTGACAATCCCATGCGCTTCGTTATACGCGATGTTGATAGCGATAAACCTTTAACAACAATTCCACGTGAATATAATGATTGCTTTATAACACTTGTCACTCGATCAGATCCATTACGTAAATCAGAATTAATCTCTGAACTTGTTCCGCAGAACTTCTTAGAACAAGTCAAAGCGAATTCATTGGATATCAGGTAAGTCGATCCGATATGGCATGTCGAACTGCAATTCGATTCTTTTCTAGTTACTTTCCCGGTGGTGTTAATTACGATGTTCCACATGACGATATCGGTGAAAGCGGTCAGATGAAACTTGAAACTTATCAGAAATTGAAAAAACGATTGAACAATCGCAAAGTTTGGTATTTCAGTGAACCACCCGAAAAGCGACCTAATGCTTTATTAGCAATCATACCCTCGGAATCGTTGATTACTATCGATCATCAAGTTTTATATGATAACTTGTGTGATATATTGAGAACTGCTCCAAATGAACAACAAATTGTGTCGCTGGAGTATCTTCCGTTGAGTTGTATATTGAATTCACTTGATATGTCGAATCAATTCATCGTTGAATGTGATACGAATGAGACCAAACGACAATTGATGGAGAAACCGTTGAAGATCGTCTCGAATAAATGCTCTGTTCTGATTGAATTGCATTCGTACGATGAAGCAATTCAAAAAGAATATGAGAAATTTGTCAAAGCTGAGAAATATCGAGAATTGGTTAAGAATCATGAGACAGCCGTAAGACGAACGTCGACGAAACAAAATTGACTCTATCGCATTGTCTTTTCCGTCTGTCTTCATTTGATAAAACTCGTGGATATTTAAAAAAAACTAGTTTTATGTACCATTTTGGCTCATGATAAATAAACAATACTTTGATAATCGAGTAAATCAGCTTGATTAAAAAGAAAGACTCATTTACAAAAAAAAGTGATGATTCAAGCGAAGAATAGAATGTCTTTTGATATCGGTTACTTTGTTGAATTATGCCAATATTCATAAGCACCAAATTTTTTTATAACCATTCGGATGATATGTTCGTGAGATGCATATAGATTATGGTTGCGATCAAGCTGAATCCATTGAACTGCACCTGCATCATCGCCTAGAGAAAAAAAAGCGCAGAATCTAGTTTGAAATATTTGTTATGAAACATGTTTTTCGCAAAAAATTCTTGCACAAAAGTTCTTTCTTTTGGAAAATAAATGCTCTCGCGTCCGTTATTTGAATCTGACAATGACCTGAAAGAATGACAAAACGCGAGCGAACGAATCAAAAGAAAACAAACGAAAAACCGGTAGAAAGTACCACACGAAATATTCCATCACCAGTAATCTCGCGCACAAAATCTCTTATTAAACCACCGCCACCACGTTTATCTTGGGAACTTTTACTCGATGACTACTTGAGAGACCCAAATTTTCAATCGGCAACAACATTGAACCCCTCTCCGCCTACTCTTCCGACTGCACCGCCAACAGTCGTACCGTCCTACTATCAATCACACTCACAATGTTTTCCGTGTCAAACACAATTCTATATACCACCACGGCGATATCAAATGACGCTCGATGAACTCGTTTATCTAATCAGTCAAGTCGGTCGATGCGATTTATATCGTGAAATGGTACAATACATCAAAACTCAGCCTGCACCACCTTCTTCAAATTTAAATGCATCTTCAACGAAAAGATCAATTAATCAGTCAGATGCTTCTAACAAGAAAAAAAGCAAATACTAATGTACCAGCATGAAGTTCTAGATCTTTGGTTAATTCTCCTGTTTCATCATGCATAATCAAAGCTTCAGATTCCATCCATGCATTGTCTAAAAGTCAGACAAGAACAGAGTGTTTTGTTAAATATCATTATAAGCTGTGACCTGTATTTCTTGGATCATCGATATATCCTTTGTAGATCTATAGGAAGAGAAAAGGGCGTATTTACATGAGTAGCAGTCCATAGATTCGAGGTTATATACTGAATTCGCCTTTTTAAACAATTTTTCGAGATGTTTAGCACGATTCGCATCGGAATCCAAAGCTTCTTCGATGAATTCTCGTTTTACTGCCTGTGATATACTTTCACTAAATACGCAGCAATGTGAAAGTTATTTTTCGGTAGATATATTTACGCAGGATCAACCATTCCTCCAGGTAAAGCCAAATCTCCACTATCTTTACGGCTGATGAGAACGATTTCTAAAATTTTCTCCTTGCGGCCTTTAGCCCAGCGAGTAACAACTGGATCAGCAGCATGATTAGGTCCCCAACGGCCCAGCAAACCACGACCAGACACTAATAAGATAAATCTGTTCAAAATAAATCAGATCAAAGCTTGCTACATGCATCCAGTTCGACCTTGAGGATTCTTTGGTCGATTTGTTTTCTCTTCAACTTCATATTCTCCCATGTAACTTCTCCGATCAATTTTTCCATCAATTTCATTGAAATGCTTGATCTTTGTTCTATAAACAAAGGTATATACAGATACTATACAGCTTATTCTGTGTCATCAACCATACGCATCGGAATCATCAGCCCATGGTGGGTTTTCCAATACTTTTGACGCTGTATACTCTCTTGCTTTGTACTCGGACCAATGCAGCCTCCATGGCACTTTTTCATCGGACACTTCAGTTCTCTGAATGAGCACGGATTTACGACATATTCTACAAGAAAGTATTCCTTACAAGAACATTTTTAGTGCCTACATATGGTGATTTTCGAGCTCTGATATGAACAAAATGCGTTGACATCTGCTGTACTGTATTCGTAACAAAACATCGAAATATCAATTGAGAACATTGTTGCCGATAAGTAGCCAATATAGCCATCAGAATCGGAAGAAGTAATACAAGTTTTGACGGCAGCTTAAAATGATAACTGATTCTAAAAAGAGAAGTTCAACATCCAGTTTATCGATGTTCCGAGCAGCTTGATCAACACTTTCTCAGTAGCGGTTTATAATGCAAATCTTTTTATTACCTATAAATGGAATAGCAAATAAAGAAGGATCGTATCCGTTCCAATCTGATAGCACAAAAAGATCAAGTTTTAGGAAAAGGGAAACAGCAGAATACAAAACACACAAAATCTCAAACTATACTAAATAACATCACCAACGAACTGACCAGCTGCCTACAACACATTACGGTTCTTCATACTGAATCAGTTTCATAGAAAGAGTCATTTCTTATATGGAGGGACTGCTGCAGTTTTAGAAGGAGTGTAAAAATCACGACAACGTTCATAGAAGGCCTAAACGGAAAAGCGAATTCAGAAATATTACAAAAAATGTTTGCTTGATTTCTCACTTTTTCCGTATTTGTACGCACAATTTCTTCGACGTTACGTTCATTTTGCAATTGACGTCGTTGAAATATCAATGCTTTTCGTTGAGCTTCACTAATATCACTTTGCGCCATTAAATCGCTAGTGCGAGATAAACATGATGAAATGAGTTCGTTTCGATAAGCTGTACGCGTTGCAATCTAAAAACTAATTTATAAAAAATGAGAAAACACGAAGGCAGCAAAATATACTTCATCTCCCAGTTGTTGACATTGCTTGGTAGCATCAGAACCTTGAGACCGAAATGTAGCTGTAAGAACAGTTGTATTCAGTGTGTTGATTATTAAATCGTCTAGTTTTCGTAAATCTTTTAGATGATTTTGAAACTGAAGATAATCATCACAAATACGAAGATCTCTGGCATTAATGGATGGATTCATATTGAGTGAACTGTTTTCGTTTACAATAATCAAAGCGAAGAAATACAACGAAAGGTAACAGAAAAGTGATGGTTAGATACTGTAGCCAGTAAATGAATTGTTCGATTGGTCAATTGCTGCAATGCTGCGTGTGGCTTATTTATCGTTCCAATAGCGAAGTAGAATGAATCACATAGACACAACCGTTCTGTTTCTATCTCGTACCTTACTCGTACGTATAATATTGTAGCAACGCAAGAAATCTTTCTTAAGTTCATATTCTCGTCAGTCTGCAGACAATAGTGACGGAGAGACTAAATATCAATTTTATAATGAACGATGTCTGTTCTTCATTTGAGTGACTTCGTATAATACACAATCTTTTCTTCGATTATACATATATTTTGTAGAACATCTACTAGATTATAATATTCATCTGTAATGACGAAAGAATCAATGACTTCCCCTTGCCCATGTGAGTCTCTTCAAATAAAAATGGTATTGACAATGAAAATATAGGCAATGACATATAAGTAAACCAATCCAGAAAAATGGAAGTAGGAATCCTGTGACCGGTTTTGCACGATGACTTTTAATTTTGGAGAGAATCAAATGATTTCACGAGTCGGACCCGTTCGAAGGATTCTTACATTCGCTTTCCATTGATTTCCTGTGCCTTCCTTCCGGATCGAACCTGTACTTTTCGACATGCGATCATGTTGTGAACAATAATGTCTTGGCAATAAAATGTAATGAAGATAGTCATTTTAATACAGATTCTTCTCTTTCAAAACTTTCACAATCATATTTATGTTCTATTTAGGTTACTATAAAACTGCCGAGATAAACTTAACGAAAAACAATCTTATCCCTAGGACTTTGCTTCATTAAACTATTGACACTAAAAATAAGCATGTTACACGGCAAGATATTCTGTTAAATTTTGTTAACATCGCGTCAAAACCGATCTTCAAACTGAATAGTAAACAGAAAAATCTTTCAATATATAACATAAATCAATTGAGTATAGAAATAACCTTGCTTACACGTAAACCTTAATTGACATGCTTTTTGTAGATGAAGGTTGTCAGTCTTTCATTCAAACCATGATCGACAACGACCGAAAACAAAGTGTGGATATTTTTCTTCTATTGAGCAGTACATACGAATTCAGACATTTCTTTCTTTGTTTTTTTATTATTCAAATTCCATCAACTGGCTAAATCATAGAGGTCAAACAGATTTTTTTTTAAAAATGTACTAATAAAGTAATCAGTACCATTTACGGCGCTATATAAATTAGTCATTGATGTTTTAAAAATCACTTTGAGTTAATCTATCTGCTTGAGACCACAGACAGGTTATTATACAAACGAACCTTCTTTCTGTCTGATGTTGTTCACCGTAAATCGTATCTGCCTATCAAACGACAATGAAATCAGATTCTCATGTAATACGTATTATGAAGATCAATGTCTAATACCCGCACTATCAATATATATATATATATATATATTTTTAAAATATGTTCTGGACTTTTTTGCTTCAATATCTCTTTCAATAGTTTATCTGAAGTCTAAAAATTGACTTTTGAACTATACCGAGATAATCGTCAAATGTATGAGTGTACTGATGTACGGTGATGATTGATCAAATACATTTCAAAGTTCTCTTCGTTCTCGATGAATGTCATCATCATTCAACTACAGCAATATTGCATCTGAATAGAACTATTTCAATCACAACTTTTCCTTTAATGTCGGTACAAAACAAAACAGTACACATGGCATTATTTCCTTCTACCGATGGAAGAGAACTTTATTTGAAGTTTGGCTATGTGCTATTTTATCTTTCAGAAAGAACAGTTGGATTAATATGTAAAGGTATTCGGTTATTCCTTCATCATTTGATTGTACTTCTACTTCCAATGATCTAGAGAAAGTCGAATTGGCAACCTCACAATGTTCTCTCTCATAAGCATTATCTCGTCGAATTAAATATTCGTGTTTTCGAGCCAATTTCTGTTTTCAGTCATTAGGAATGCAATCTTTTTTGGCATGAAGATAGTATCAAACAGTATTTGAACTGCAATGCAGAGTGTAAATCGTTTATTCGTGTTGATAAACAGCCGAGAGTTATCGTGAGTTGAGACTCAGTTTAATTACGTACATAAAATTAGTAGTTTCGCGTGATAATGTAGACAAATGATTAAATATCCTGTTTCATTATAGAAATCCGTGAAGTGAACTTGTGTAGGTTAACTTAATGGATATTTATTAACGGTACATCTTTTGTTTCGAATATCTATTCGTGGCTTCAATGTAATTTAGCTAAAAATTATATGTTCAACTATAATAGCATTTCAAATGTCTTCCTTGTCATCCACGATGATAGCTATTCACAAAATCTAGCCTTTTAAATGAACGATATGTTCAGAGTTTGTAAAAGATTGAATAGAATAGTTGATTTCGTGTTTAATAATTACATTTGACAAGTAGAAACATCAGTGATGATAACTTTGCATGTTTTACACTAAATCGGAAGCATAGAAAAACGAGATATTTTTCCAGTTGACTCCTTTAATTATTGATATTCTTTCAATAAAAACATCCGCACCTTTTGTCGTAGAGATAGACATCTCTAACATAATAGATGATTTCTCCCTCTCGTGCTACATTTGGACTATGAACTATTTAACATATAATATCGGATGATTCACAGTCTTATATTATCGGTAAGTTACTTCAACTCATCAATTGAAAAAGCTGGTCTCATTGTCTGTCATTGGGGATTGAAAGAGACAAGTTTATAATTTCATTTGAATCAAAACGATGTAATTTGGTCAAGCGATAAATTACAGAGACATAAAAACCAAGTAGGCGATCCACTTTATGATTTTCACTTTTTATCTTTGAAGATAAACCAAGCCGTCTATAATTAAAACTAGAGAGAAAGAAAAGAAAACCTGTGCTCAGCTAATTTATTTCATTAGATAGACATATAAAAGAATGAATCTCATGTTAGTTACATCCTACAGTTTGTTGAGCAAATTGTCAATTTACATAGATATAGAAGCCGGAGATGTTTGCTGTGATATGCTTTATTGTTGGTTCTGATACTGTTTCCAACTTTTAACCATTTTTTACATATTTTTCAGCATATCAATTCCGTTTATCCTTGTTTTCTATCATGTCGAAAATAACACTTGTTCTATTCATGGTTTGCGTACAAATTATTCTCATCAATTGTTATTCTCTAAGTCATTTACAGGTAAGAAGAACTTGTAAGCGAAAGTAATTCGAAAGAAAAATTATGTGCTAGGGCAATCTTTGGTCGGATTTTGATTTGGAGCCAAAGGACGAATTTCTTGCTAAACTTTTACATACGGAAAACTTATTTCATGATGACAGTTCAGCATCCGAACCATTCGATGGTCGCGCACATGGATTACAAAAGCGTGGCCGACGTAAATTCTTTAATAAACCTTGAGAACTTTTTCAAAACAAAATATTTCTTCCTTTTTTTAGAATGTTTATGGAAAGTATGTAGTTGGGCATTGGACAAACGTTCATCCTCATAAGATTCAATTGATGATCGATGAAAAATCTTTTTTTTCGAGAAAAGATTCTTTTGCATTTTATTTACGTTCTCCTCGTTTGATCATTCGATGTCTTTTGTTTTGTATGATCAAATTCTAATAAAAGAAAACAATGAATATGTCCTATCTAACATAAAAGTGTATTTGTTTGAATAAATTTTTCAATATTGGCATTTATACGTTCAGTGCGTGCTGATGGTGGCCGAGAGAGACTCAATTTCGGTGCAGATTTGTCGTGCTGCTCACTTGGTTGCGATTGACGTGATGTTAATGGTGGAGGTGATGGACTCGAACCTTGCCGATGTCGATCTCGTAAAGTTCTTCTGATAGTTGATAGATTTGCAATCTGAGTATTACGTTCGAGTTTTCTTAAAAATTCATTTTCAATCCGCGTATGTTCTTTCATTCGGATCGTATGAGCTTGAGAGAGGAGTTTTTCTTTACATTGATGTTGTCGTTTGGCAATATTGAGAAGATCGAATGTTAATCGAGTCCGATGTGAATCACGCAAGAAATCGGCATAATGATCGATTGCATAGTCATCGCGATCAACACGCGTAGCTTTGGTTGTAAACGACATTCAATATTGACGTGCAAGTGCGAAGAAATGAATTGAAACGAAGAGCAAAATGTGTTACATTAACTACAGTGGAAAAATACGAGAGAAGAGAAAGAAAACGTGGGAAGAAATCAATTGAAGTTAGAACTTTTGGAAAGAAAATAACCGTATGAGTAAATATTGTTGTTACCTGTGTAAACTAATAAGAAGAAAAACTCACGAAGGCTGTTTGGTTTTGACAAATTGAGAAAGAAGAGAATTTGGCCAAGGTGAAAAATCGAGAGCGAACAAGTCTCTTCTTTTCTCTCCATGTTCAAGAGATCAGTGAACTTGAACAAGAAAACATTAGAGTTTTTCTTTGTTTCTTAGTCACATCAACTTCAAAATTCAAGCTTTTAATTCGGAACAAAGTAATGGTTGTGAGTTGACATAAGTCAAAATAAAAATCGAGCTTCAGTGAATAATCCTGTCCTAACAAAATTTATTTCTAGTTATCAGATCAAAGCTGCATTGTATAACAGAATGAATTACAGAGAGAGAATGTACATAGAAGATTTCATTTTCGATTTTTGAGATATTTTTGACGAATTACTTGAATTTCATTGCTAACTTCGTCGTAGATTTTCTCAGTGGGATTCTTGTCGACCTAAGAAATGCAAATTCTAATGAGTGAAAAAGAATAAAAAGACAAATTACATGTTCTTTGATAAATGAATCGACATGACGAAGAGAAATTTTTGTGCGACTTGGCTTATTACTGACTAAGTATTGCATTATTTTTGGATATTGACGCAGATGTTTAAGATACCCGTTGTGACGAGTTTGTCGCTCAATAATAGATTCGATCAACAATTGTGACATTCGTATGCGCATCGGTGACTTGTTAGTTTGATCTTCTTCGCTATCATCATCATCATCATCAATATTCGATGTTTCATTTGAGTCTATGAATTCCAAAGATAACCATTAGTATGCAACAGGAATTTCTCAATGCTACTCTTTTCAATACGCCATACCATTATCTTTCTGATTGACAGTCGTCTCGACATCTAAAATAACAAGTATCGCAAGGAAGTACAGAATGGTGATTCTTACTTGAATCGTCAGCGCTTGTGCCATCTAATAAGAAGGAATGAGAAAGAAAGTCTTCGAAGGCAAAATTTTACTTACCTTCATCGGATGTCTGATCAATATATCCGACTGCATCTTCATTGATTTTCTGTACAATATTCATAAATCTTTCTTTCATATCTGTTAATCTTGCTGATAAGACTCGAATATCTCTTCGAACTTGTTCATCTTTAATCGAATCCGTATCATCATCAATATTATGATTATGATTTTCCTCTTTAACGTAACAAAATAATCTCTATCAATACGTATCTTCGTATGAAACTTACTAATTATTTCTCTGGATGAACTCATCTGTAAACAAAGAAGAAAAACAAAACGAGTATACCCGTAAGATTTCAGTTTAATATATAGGTTTTATTCTTTAAATAAATCAAAACAATAACAAGTTAGTGACGTTCTTTTCTTCTCTCATGGATAAAATCAAACTTATGATGATCGTTTATCTTCTTTTAGTGTTACGGTTCGATTCATTACATACTAAAACAGAAAGATTTCGGTAGAACGTCGTTGTTTACGAAGAATTTTTCTATCTTACATGATCATTCGTTGAGTCCGGATCAACGCTGAAGAATCCAATACGTTCGAATTGAAACTTGTCGAAATGTTTTGCGTTTTTGATGCCATCGTCCACGAGAGCATCGGAGTGGATTGTCAACGATTTCTAAACGAACGAAGACAATCAAATTTCTAAAGGAAATATCATGAGATCACGTACAGAGTTAATATCCGTAAGAAAACCGCCAGGAACTTCTTTCTTATCATCGGGATTTTGATGAAGAAAACTAAAAATGATAATTTTCAGAGAAAAATAATGTTATGAATAGGAAATCAGATGAAAGGTCTTACAGTCGGTCATAAAGACGGATTTCACATTTATTTCCGTGCGATACCCAATGAATATAACCTTTCGGTTTGGTCACGCCTTCGTCAGTAACTTTGGCGCAAGTTACTTTCAATTCGATTGGCTCATTGTTTGAATCCTAAATGGAAATTTTCGTGTTGCATTTTATCAGCGTAGATATTGTTTACTCACGCGAATAATTTCTTGAACTGTAAGAACACAATTAGCATGCCGTAATCCACAGGGTTGATTAGGTGCTAAACGTTTATAATCTTTCGCAGGGTTCTAAATATAAAGACTTTCTGATGAAGAGTTCAGTCGCTTTTCTTTCTTACTTCTGTAAAATCTGATTTTTCAATGTAAATAACTGAATCGAATTTGATCTTATGAGATCCTCGAGATTCATCTGCTGGAAAGTTTGGTACAGTTAATTCTGTAACGCCCGTGCTTGGAAAATTTGTAATGGTCACTTTCAATGGTTCCATAATAGCCATAATTCTTGAGAAGCAAATATTTAACGTTTCAAAACTTCACTTCCGTCTTACCGAGGTGCGGTGACATTCAGTACTTCACGTACACACGCATCAAGCATATCCGGATGAAGTACGGTCTGCGACATTGTAACACCAATACGTGCACAAAATAGATTGATTGCTTCAGGTGGAAAACCTCGTCGTCGCAATGCAGTTAATGTGTACAAGCGTGGATCATCCCAATCGCTGCATTTTCGAAGAATAAAAAAAAACATACTTTCGATCGTACTGATCATCATTCTTACTTGACAATTCCTTCGGTAATCAGTTTCGCGATCTTTCGTTTTGATGTTACTGTATAGTGAAGATTGAGTCGACCATATTCCCATTGAACTGGACAATAAACATCAAGAGCATTGCATAACCAATAATACGATGATCGTCTAAATTTTCAAAAGTTTCCAAGAGCGAATGGTTTCATTTTAGGACGACAAACCTGGCTTGAAATTCTTTTGTACATAACGAATGGCTTATATTTTCAATTGAATCATTCAAACAATGAGTATAATCATATGTTGGATAAATACACCTGCAAAGAAGTCAAATGGTATTGATTTTTCGGTTTTAATGGTTGTTGAAAAAGAATAATTTACCATTTGTCACCTGTTTTAGCATGGTGAGCATATTTGATACGATAAGCGACAGGATCGAGTTTACCATCTTCCATAACACATTTCATGCGTAGTGTTGCTTCACCTTCGGCAAATTTGCCGTTTTTCATATCCTAGAAGACGATATTTAACCTGACAAACCTTGAAATACTCAATCTTTACTTCGAATAATTGTAAAGATTCTTCGATTGGTCGATTTCTCCACGGTGATTCAGCAACATTATGTCCTTTTAATTCGTCACCCTTCTGATGGCAGACATAAGCAAGATCACGACGGATCAATTCCTTAGCCCATTCATATAACTGATCGAATTGGTCTGATGCGTGAGTGATTTTATACGGTTCATAACCTAAATACAGAAGATTTCATTGCAACAAGTCAAATTTGCTTTACTGATAGAAGAAAACTTACCAAGCCATTTAACAATATCGAGAATACCAGTGAAGAATTTTTCTTCCTCTTTTTCAGGATTTGTATCATCATATCGTAAATAGCAGATGCCATTATTCAGCTACAAATAAAAAGCATTCCTTAGCACTTGATGATAAATATGCACGAAGAATTTACCTTAGCATAGCCAAAATTAAAATTAATGGCTTTAGCATGGCCTATATGCAAAATTCCATTAGGCTCTGGAGGAAAACGCGTAACAACCTAGAGAATATTAACTGCGTACAAATTTATACGTGAAAGTTTCTGTCTTACCTGTCCACCGGTTTGCTTTAAATGTTCCTTCATAAGTTCCATTGTCTTTGGTGTCATCACATAACCTTCCGTCTTATAATTTTCACCTGGAAGTAAGATAATATTTCAGATAAAAGTCAAGTTATTTCTAACTCCATATCTTACCGGGCTTATGAAAATTTAAAGCTGCTCCAACTAAATCAGCGAATGATCGTACCTGGCCATTCTCTTGAACATCACTGTTCGTATTTGTGGTTGTAGTTGGTTTAGCCTTTTCAGTAGCTGCTGCTACCTAATTACAAAGAATATAATTCAAGACACAATTTTCATAGAACTACAATATACCTTGGGTTTTTCAGCTGCATTGTTCGCCGATCGATCATTGGGTCCAAGAAGATCCAGCAACTGTAAAGACGAGACGATATAAAACAACCTGGTTCGTTCATCTTACCTGAACATCCATTTCTGTTTTGACTGCTTTCCCATCAGCCCATTTTAGCTGTTTTCGAACTTCACTAAGAAGTGTTCCGATTGGAAAACTATATCTTTGTTCCAAAAGTTTGGCTTTATTCTGTTCGATAACACTTTCAACAGCACGTTCGATCTCTGCCGGTGTTACTGTCACACCTATTCCAGCATATTCTTCTAACGCTTTCAGATCCACTGGTTCCACAGGGTTCGAAAGAAGATATTCAATAGCAGCTAGAAAAAGAAAAAGAACTTTGCAATCGATTTTCCGATGCGAACGTTTCTTAGATTTTACCTAATAATTGTGGTTCATTCTTGATTTTTTCTTCGCAGATATACTTTATCAAATGTCCATGTAGTTTATATATTTGTTGTTTGCTTCTTGTTGAAAGTGTATACAAAAGATTACCGATTGATTTCGATATTTGGTTTTCTTTCGGAAGAAGTTTTCTTGCCTTGAATAAAACACAAAAAGTCACAAACGGAAATGGAGATTGGAAGTTTCTCTATACTTCATTTATAGTTGCTTCGAGTGCACGAGTCACTTCTTGATTTTTTAACGTTTCACGTGCTTTCTGTTCGTTCAGTCCAATCGATTGAAATAGAGCAACACGTGCTTCATTGTCAGTAGACGTAGCCATCGTTGAAAATACTCGAATCTAAATAGTCAACACACGTTTTCTGATTTCCTTAAATAGCCCAGCTGTTTGCTGCTCTCATGACTAAGCGATGGGTGATGTAATACATTTCATGCTTATGACATACACACAACCAATCAGAATCTGAGGAAAGAAAAAAAGAACGATTGCCATGTGACTAGATGTTGGAAAAAGTTAGTATACATGATCTAAAATTAGAACGAAATGAGAATTTATTATGATACAAAAAAGAACAGCGATGATCTATTTCTGAAACAAATAGAAAGTGAACTTGTTTTCTTTCAAAATTAGAAAAATAATACTGATTCCTATTCACAAAATTATCAGACAAGCGAAAGCAATGAATATATATCACAGATGCGACATCAAGACGATGAAGTGTGTTTTCGTTTTTCTGCACGTTTCCGATGATCGTTTACATATTGTTTCAAATTTTCGAATGTTCGACGTTCTTCGTCGACTAAAAGATTGAATTCTCGTTCGATATGCGCTCGATCTTTCTCGAATTTTGATTGATAATCGTGTTGAATTTGTTCAAGTTCGGTTTGAAATTGTTCAACAAATCGTGAGAGACTATTTGTTGGAAGTTTTTCAACGGGCTTCACATCCACTGGGGATTGTTTATCAGTTTTGATCGTTGTACTCGGTGTTGGTGATCGAACAGGTGATGAAACGACAGGAAGACAATGATTAATAACACCTCGTGGTGGCGATGACCAACCTGATTCACTGCGACTAGTCGAGGAAAGCAAAAGCGTGATTCTGATGTTTTCGAACAAGAAAACTTACACCGGAGAGGACACGTGTTGAATATCTGTTGTGTTTAAAGCTAAATGAGGTGCTGAGTGTGAAATCGTGATTTGTGTTGAATTGGTATTTGATGAATTCTCATGATTATGATCGTTAGAAGATACCAGTGAAGCGAGATGACAAGGTGCTTCGCACAAATCAAGAATGACACCTTGTATACGTATAGCAGGTATATCAAGAACTTGTCGAACAGTTTTTTCGTCGGGAAATTCAACTACGGCACAAGTTGGATCTTTTGGAAGTATATAACAAGCAATAAGCGGTGTTCGTTTATGAAAGAAATTTCTAAAGTGAAGAAATGTAAAAAAGAAAAAAGCTCGGTTTTTGGTCTTACATTAATATTTCATCGGTAATCTTTGATGTTAATCCACGAACGTGTATCTGATTTGTTTTATCATTCATTGAAATGATTTTATTAACAAGCTGTTTTGGATGAAATGGTTTAGATAGACATGGTTTTCGATGTTCATTCAGGTGCGGAATAAGATTTCTGTCAAATATTCGCGAAATTGATTGTCGTGTAGCAAATTCTAATAGCAAATAATCTTCTTCATTCTGTTTTGACAGGAAATATTGTACTATCGGATCGATTTTTTGGTAAAATTCGATGACTCGATGGATATCATTTTGAGTTCTTATTGGTCCGATGTAAAATTTCCGATCGAGATTCAGTCCATCGTGATTCATTAGAACATTTCTATATAATTTCACCTCGAGAGTATATCTGTCGAGTTTATGATTGGATATTCGTAGGAAATTCGTCAGTTGTTCATAATTCGCGAATTCAATCAGATGAAAATCGCAAAACTTGTCTTTGGGAAACCAATACGTAACAATCGATCCAAATTGTGAACAATAACTTAACAAAATGCTCTCATTAATCGATGTGGTATTGCCAATATAAACACATAAGGATAGATTTGAATAAAAAGGCGCATGAGATGTTGATGCCATGTAGACAAAAGCGATTAGAAAAAGACAACACGTCACATCGTCATAGGTATTTTACATCGACAATGGATCAAGTCATTTTTCCTCTCTTAAAACTAACTTGGACAAGCTATAGTTTTACCAGTAATGTGCGCAGAATCTAGATGTCACTCTTTTCAATGGAAAGCTCTCATTAGAATATCTCAACGAATAGTTCCTGTCGCTTGATAAAAGTCAAATTAGGAGAGTAATTTTATTATTTCGTGTTTTTTGTTTTCGTCGTCGACTAATAGAGAGCCAATTCGAGTGAGGTGAAATTTATTTCGTGGTCGTCGTGAACGATGAAACAGTCTGGAGAAACTTTGTTTTGGGTTTTGGAATATAGCACGAAAAATAACTTACAAAACTATCGCCAGAAAAGTTACGATACAGCTCGAGATTAAGGAGATAACGATCGCTGCTTGTTTCGAATCTAATTCAACGACGTTTCGGAATAAGAACTGTTTCCGATTATCCACATTTGTAATCTAAATCGAAAGAAAATCATCTTAAACTTCATCATCGAGACATGTGCAAATCGAACTTGATTTGAGCTCTGTACTGAATCAATTCGATCCAATAATATACGAATATAGGATAGTACAGGCGTATCCTCATCATCGTTTTCAGTTTCGTCCACTTGCGAGAAGTTTTGTGTCTTATTCGATACGATGATGCCTTGCTCAGAAGTGACAATATCCAAATAAGTAGCCACATTGGGTTCTTGCTCGATCATAGTACTTTCCATCGGCTTTGCTGTTGTCGTCGTCGGATCAGAAATCATGTACAGTGAACAACTCCCAATAAAACTCATAAAAATTATTGGAAAAAAAATAGTCAACTTCATAATTGTTTATAAAGAAAATGAAATGTTTTATGAGACAAAGCGCGAAAAAGTCGGTTTTCGTTGGAGCACAATGCTCGTTTTATTCAAGTCACTAGGCACAAAACAAAATATATAACTAGTAGAAAAATACTATCGCAAGAAAAACATCACCGGAAAGTTAGTTGATAAACAAAAACGAAAGAACAAATACATATAATCGAATAAAATAAGTATGAACAAATGTTTGATGGAAATCTGATGCTAAATCGTCGAGTGTCACTGTGGAAGTCGAACTTGTCGTATCGAATTGACAATAATTATGACATTCTTCTTCAATCGTTAACCATCGTTGTTGACATTGAGTGAATATTCCTGATATGTTTCCTACTTCTCGGCCGAACCATTGTTTTGGTGTTGCACATCGTGCGAATAAGGAGAGTTCAATCGGTAAACGATGGAAATCACCACGCGCATGAGATTTCTCCAAATGACGGCGAAGCTCTGGTCTTGAAATCCATCGATCGAGATACAAATCGATATTTTCATTATCGTCTGTGACTAAAACTCGATAAATGTCTCCATATTTCAAATAAAATAGATCGCACGAGCAATGCAACGGATTGTTCATTAAATACAATCGCCGCAACGATGGAAGTTGATCGTAAGTACACACATCTAATGTACGCAGATGTGTGCTAACAAGATCGATTTCAATTAACGAATGCGCGCGACAGAATGTTCGTTGTAGACTATGAGCAGAATCAGATAAGGCGGTTTGGAAATTATTCCGTCGTAATTTAATTGATTGTAAGCGTTGATTCGAAATGAACAAATAAGGAGGAAGATCGTCGAGTTGAGTATTTTCAAGATCGAAGTATTCGAGGTTTTTCAGCGGTTCTAACAGATGAGTTGTTAATGAACGTTGCCTTAACGGATTGTTGCTGAGAAGGAGAATTTTCAAACGATATAATGAACGGAAGGCATTTGGGTCAATGTGAGAGATTTGATTATCCGAAAGATCGAGTGTTGTGATTGTTCGACAACGAATAAAGAGAGCAGGCGATAGATTGGTTAGTTTATTTTCGCGTAAGATTAATGTTTCTAAGTGTTTTAAACCTGTAAAGTCTTGCTTATGTAATCCATCGAATTGGTTTTTACTTAAGTCAAGTGTGCGAAGAAATTCTAATTGTCGGAGGAACGAACTCTTTCTTAACGAACGAAATTGATTGTATTGAAGATTGAGATTGATCAATGTTGAACTAAATCTTTGAAAAAGGTCATCCGGAAGATCGGAAAGGTAATTGGTCGATAAAATGATCGTTGTTATCGGTACTGGACTATTTATAAACGCATCCGGATCAATACTTGAGATTCCGAGACTATCCAGATTAATTGTTTGATCAGGAAACAGAAATGATGTAAATGTTAAATTCGATTGAAATAAAGTATCGAATACAGATGAAGTTAAATGATGAATCGGCTCCGATATTGGTAAAGCTAAACAAAACACTAGTTATTATCGAAAATTATAGTTCTACGACATTCATTATCCTTTTCTTCTTTGACGAAATTCATACTTCGAAAATTACGAAACATTTCAATCTTATATAACATCTTTCGACTCGAAATCGAACAGCCACGAGCGATATTTTTTCATGTCAAAACATCGATTAACCTTGAGAGAAGGAAAAAATCATTCAATTAATGATACTATTCAATAGAATACAACATAATGACATCAGATTCAAGGAACTGAGAAATTCGAAGAAAAAAAAACACTTCATCCGATCAGAAGAAGTATATCGATCTTCCCTTTTCTCTTGACGTGCAACTGTTGTCGTCTAATTTCTTTCCCTATGCGCCAACAACGTACCGACATTGACAAATCACAATCGTTTCCTTTTGTATACACATTCGAGTAATATCGAAAACATATTACGAGTATTTCGCGTAACAATCATTACATTAATAAAGAAGAAGTCAAATATGAATATTCATTATTTCAACCTTGGCTCATTAAAGAATGTCATCGATAATGATTCGCGACAGATTGTTGATGAGATGAAAAAAATTTCAAAAATCGTTCCGATACATCAGTATGCATAAACAATCATTTCTACACAAAGACAAACGAGGGTAATCAAATCTAATCATTAGATTTCTCTCATCTGGTCGCTAAGATAATAGTAGTTCGATGAATTGGATAATCTATGATAGGATATCGCGAGAAAGGATTATGCAAGATATATACTATAAACAATACTTCGAAAAGAATTGTTTATTCGTGAGGTGTTGCAAACTTCACTAATTACTTGTCTTCTTTCTCGGAATACTCGTTAGATAATCTCGATCAAAAATCACACTTACATGATTGTAGGACCAGTTGTTTATCGTCATCATGATCGTCATCGAATTCGAAGGTGTGGATTAGTTGAATAAGTATGATAAGAATATAGGAAACAATCGAATAATCCATAATTCACTTGATGAGAAGCACATTCAAAGTTTTTCTAAAATATTTGCATTTGATATGAAAATAACAAGGAAAAATATAATGATATTACTAATGAATATACCGACGAAATGACACCTTTTCACATGTTAGTACAAGTATGAAACTAACATGAATGCAATCAATGAGAAAACAGAATATGACACATAATCTTTCTCAAATGATAATGTTCAGATAAAATATCCGAGACTTGTTTCTCTTTCTCTCTCTTCTAATGTAATAGTGTAGGAAATGTGGAGGGGAAAAGAAAGAACAAAACTCGTATCGGAAAATATCTGACTGTTTATTATCGGTCGATGAGAGCTCGTTCGTTGCTTTTATTTATTCTTCTAACTGTACTTGCCTTCGTACTTGTTATCAATAGATTGGGTAGTAATATGACAGATGAAATTAAAAAGACACTTTCCATTCAAATGATGTTGTTGACATGTCCTAATCCCTGATTCAGTTTTTTTCAATAATTGACTACTCTCTGCTATTTTCAATAGTAGAGATCTATTTTATACATATGTCTCTCTCTCTCTCCCTCTCTCTCCTTTCGATAATCATTCTTCTTTAGTTCTTTTTTCTTCTTCTACATAGGATGCCTATAATCATTGCTTTTATATTCTGTCGTCAACCCAACAAGCTTGATCAATCGTCTATTTTCGCCTAATAAGCGTATGATTGACTGGATTGCTTCATATCTTTCTCTCGGTATATATACATATGCAATAAAAAGTGAAGGTCCAACCGATTTCTTTTTTTGTTCTCTCTCCCTCTTTCTGATATTAATAATTATACGAGACAAATCGAGGTGCTAATCGCTGTACGTGTAATTCCCACATCTCTTTAATGGTTGTGTACGAAAAAGAATGCCTGTTAATCGATTCGGATCTATCAAAAACTCATTAAAGAAAAGATGAAAGTATATATTTCTGTCTAATCTTTCTTTTGTTTATTGATTACGCAAAGAAATACATATCCATATAACATTCACCTATTCAGTGATCCATTCATGTGTCTGTAATAGCCGTTTAACCGATCGATCTATTTATCTTTTTGTTATGACTATTGGAAAATTATTTAGAAAAACAGATCAATGAAGCATTTGTTATCAGAGATGAAAAGAAAATAACGAATTATTTCACTGAAAAAATGCTCCATTTCATTCACCAAAATCAAGCGAAGTCCTCGCGACACGAGTCATTTATACAGCAGAGGTTGGAAAGTAAAGATCAAGTCTAATAATGATTTAGCAAAACATCTTTCAATCGGTTTGGCTGATGTATAAACAATCGTTTCGACTTTCGAAAGTTAATTACAAAAGACAAATACAGAAGTACATTATTATCGTAACATAAATTGACGAGTTATATAGATATTTGTTCTTAGAAGAAAAAAAGAAAAAGAAGAAATTGTAGAAGATATTATTAGAATTGATTATAAACAGAAAACGATATCTAATAACGAACGATAGTATCAACAGAAAACACAACTTGACAGATTGGTGATAGTTTCCTTGCGAAAGAAACTCTTCAAGAGATGAAATGGAAAACTTTTGCATATATATGTATCGCATTATTTATTAAACTCGATGATTGTGTCAATATCAGACATAAAAATAGGCCGACAAATCATTGACCATTCAACTTAGACTTATCTGTTGACCTTCTCACATTACCCGTGAAGGACAATAGTGCAGCGTTCGATTACGATTCAATGCGATATACATCAATTGTGCTTTGGACATAAATTATAAGAGTTGTTACATTTAGCTCGTTTATTAAAATTCTCATTACAAGAAAACAAAACCCAGAAACATTACTTCTGCTTATCTGTACGATCGTCATTATCTTGCTTTATTGATGGTCTTTTCTCTGTCGGTCTGGTACCAATTACTGACTGAACATGAGTATCGTTTTCTTCTTGTTGACTGGATTGGCGTTGTTCCAATGGTGAATAAGGTCGTAGTAGTTTCCGTTCTCGATGAGCTTTTATCATGATGTCATATGTATCTTTTAACATATCGGTTTTGATATATTCTTCGTCTTTTTCATATAATTGACTTCGTGCAAGAGCTTTCCGTAAACCATAACTTTGGTCGACGAGATCGTTCTGAGGAAAGAAACCGGCATAAGCTAGACGATTGTCAGATAAGAGGAAATTGTAGGTCTCACAGGCTTGTGTCTAGATGAAAGATATGATGAAGGTTGACAGAGGAGAAAAGTGTTTTACTAACTGTTGGTAGAATTTCAAAACCAATTTTTAATGAACGAAGATATTTTATCGTTTCCGGAAGAACTTTATTCGTCCGGGCACCGAAACCCAATACGAAGATTTCTAAAAAAATCTTGATAGATGTTTTGATTATCAAAGACAAAAACGGAAGTACCTGGACGAGGCTGAATAACTTCGAGTAAAGCTAAAGACTCCGGTGTTATTTGTTCCGCTGAAAAAACCTAAAAAAGAATACCATTATTTAATGACAGAAATGGAACTCTATTTTTTCTTGTATGAGTACTATCAAACATCAATGTACCCACAAAAAGGAAGGCTAAATTTACTCCGAAATTGATGTTTTTCCTATGTCTTATCTTTCATCGCATATGTTAATCAATGATATAGAATGAAATACTAAAGATATCTTACATTCCAACAAACAATTTGTCGTGGAAAAGAAAAGATTGCTCCAACAATGCGATCTCGTCCAGCAATGAGAAAACCGTCGTCGTATAAACCGGTTATTAGCGGCAGACGTTTATCATCTTGATCCATAGCTGCGATCGTCGTTGGTTCATATCGTTCATTCGGATAACCCATGCGACCCTCGGCACTACGTGCGAGATGAGAGAGGGAAAAGAACTTGTAAGAGATTTTTGCTGGATTGAAGATCCATTGAGAGGAATTTTTGAGAAGGAAATTCATCTGAAAAAGTTCAAGAACAAAATTTACTCTCATTTATCTGACAACCATGATGGAAGTGAATAATTATAATCTCTGAGAAGTTTAATCAAGATTCGATTGTGGGATAAGTAATAATTTGTTAAATATTCACGTGATTGAGATGACATTGGTTGATATGAACGTCCTTTACTATTGCCAAGACATCGAAAACGATGTTTGGATGAAATTGGACAAAAGAAACCTTTTTTGCGATTGAATCTATCGAGAACTAGGTTCGATATCATTTCGGAAAGACGAGATAACTTACCTGACTAACTGTGAAGATTTCCGAGAAGTTTTTAGTCGAAGAAATGACAGTTGAAGATCATCCAGAATGGGACGCGGATCTTGACGAAATGCTTCACCATCAATGATGTAAATCTAGAAAAACCTGTTGTCATTCCAGAACTGCGAATGCCAACGAGGAATTACTTGTTTTGATGAGAAATACTTTAACCAATTACGAACATGTTCAGCGTAATGTCCTGGTTGAAGGCAGCGTTGTTTCAAACGAAAATTCTCGAAGTTTTCTTTATGTTTCACCTTCAGAAGTTCATCAAAAGTTATCGTTCGATTTGTTCGAGCAATTTCATGCTACAGGAAAAGAAAATATTCTATTCAGTCATCAATACAAATGTTCTCATTTGTTTTCATAGACTATTCAATTATAAACAACTGTAAGATAGACACTAATTACATGCAGGCAATGCGAAGGTTAAGCCGGATGCTGACCAGATATTCAGGCTATTGGCTTTTGATTAAACTGTCCTAAACTACACAGTGATCAAAGAATTTGCCCCCAAGACAAGCTTGTCACTTGTCTGACAACATAGCCTTGACCTTCGCAAATCTGTCTCCAACAAATCAAACTCGTGGATGATATTGACTTACATATTTCCATCTATAATTAATCGATTTGTCTATGTAAACCTTGTCTATTGTTGACATCTTACTTGATATCGCGAATAAGCACGATGGCCAGGTTCGGTTAACATCATTATTAAACGTATGTTTGGTAATAAAGCTTTCAACCGTTTGATAGAGATGACCGAGTCGAAATAAGTTGCAGATTTCTCAAAGTTCATTGATTGTTCACCGGAATGAAACTGATTCAAATACCTGTAAAAGAATCACGTGGAATCTTGAGATTTTCGTTCATGGCGATTGTCTTACCAGTTGATTCCATTGAGATAGATCGTATTATCGCTGAAGAACTGTACTTCTTCGAATGTTGTCGAAATTGCTCGTGACGGACGGAGATCAGGATGTTGAGACAGCATAGCATGCAATGCAGTCGTGCCTGTTTTTTGCGGACCGACAATGATGAACTGAGGAAAAGTTGTGCACAGTGAATCATTTCCATTCCAAAGATTCATAAGAATACGGTCATTACATGGATTCTAAATCAGATACAACTTACAAAGAAAAATTTGTTCAAGTTCGTACCGTAAACATTGGCATTTGTTCGTCGGGATAAAAATGGTGAAAGTATTTCCGAGCTAATTCTGATGACGGTAAATCCGTGGACCATTGAATGTTCGTCCATTTGGAAATTAAATAAACTAGTTTAGCGAAAACGTAATTACCCATACGATCATGACCGTAGTTCACATTATGTGACATAAAGATCGAGATCTAAACACAGTTTTCCTTCATCAATTAACAATTCACATTCAACTAAATTACAGGATTTGTTAATATCGTTCGAAATACTCTGCCGCCCATCAAAATTCGTTCTAAACGATGACTACCATTTGGATACGTTGTGTAATTTCTCGTAGTTGTATACAATCCACACGATTGTCGCGGTAAGACCTTCAATTACATGAATTAAGACGGATGTTTTCGAACTCGAAGATAATCTTACAGAAATATTTTGATAAATGAAACCACGACGATCCGATGGTAATTGATAATGATAGGGATAGTTTTCTGTACTTGTCACAGTGAAATTGAAGAAACGATGCCAAACATCGTAAACAATATGGTTAATTGGATAGATTCCTGAATGATGAGGTGCGACAGCATAGTTTCCATCTAATGGCAATTGATGTTTCTGAAAAGCAAATTCTTCAATTCGGTGATCGTTCGAAAGAGATCAGTACTTGTGCAAACGCCATGTTAGTCTCCGTTGAGCTGATTAAGAAGATTTTATCGGTAACATTTGTTAATTTTTCATGTTTCCATGTATGATGAAACCAAGTGAATTGATCTTTTTCCTCTAGAACAGTTTTTCCCACTAGAGAAAATGATCTTAGAAAAAGAAGAAACTTACTCATTAACAAACGATTTGCTTCATTCGCTTGTTCATTCGTTAAATTCGAATAGTAATAACCCGAAAATCCCAATCGATATTGAAAATTTTCAATGTAATTCCGAATAAATAATTGTGAACGAATCAGTGCTTGAATATCATCCGAGATTAAATAACCATTTGATTTATCACCTAGAAAGATATCATCAATATCAACTTGTACATATCGTTTCAATCCATGATAATCATATTCATTTGAAGTTAAATATCGCACTATGTCCATCATCACCGGCCAGATAAACCAATAATCAAAGAGACATTCAGATAAATATAGTTGTTTCTCGTAGACTTCGAACAATAATTTCAATTTTTCCGAAGATGTTCGACTCTGCGCATAAACAATCGTATCGGTTAGATGATTTTCGGCTGTCTGAAAGGCAAAACATTTGGTTTTCCGATCGAATTGTTGATGGTGAAAGTACGGCAAGACTGTGTCAAGTCGTAAAAGTTGAATGATCTTGTTATCTCGAACGAGTCGAAATGGACTTTTCGTTGTGTGAATCACCGGTTTCAATTCATCACGATTGAAATCCATTGTTGGATAACTGACATTCTCAAATAACATTTCCGAATAAGAAACTTTTGTGCAATCAGCACATTGCGCATTCAATAAGATTAATAATTTAATTTCATATTGATTAGCAAATGAACGAAGATTTTCATCGGGAAGATAATCAAGAATGATGAATCTTGGTAACAGAGTCTTAACGTTTTCGTAAAAATGTCCATCAATTCTTCGATATTCAACGTAATTCAAGCGAAGTTCGTTGAAAAAGAGGCTAATACGTTGAATTGTTTTCGAGCGCGTTGATGAGAGAATGAAAATTGACAGAGATTTTCGTTGGAGAAAATTTTTATTTGGAACAGATTGAGAAGAATAGTATGTACAAATTATGACGAAAATTAGACAAAAACTCAGCGCTTTAATCGCACGTTTTAATGTACAACGAACCATAGGTTCGAAAAATCTAGAAATATTATCCGAGAAGTTGATTTATACATTCGAAATTATCTTTATATATGTATATATGTATATTCTGTTTTTATCTATAGAAAAGAAAATAGATTGACAGAGTTCACAAAGAAAAGAAATTTGACTTGGTTTCATAGTGTTTTCTGTTGTACGTAGAAATCAATGAACGGCATTCTCGTTTCGTATCAGATTTTTAAGCGCGTAAGTCAACTATTTTACATTGAAGACCAGGATCATACATTGTATGAGTTGCAGGCTAAAACAGTAGCAATAGATTCACAAGTTGGATTTTAAAGAGAATCATACTAGGAACAATGGAGGATTGTTGACATGTTCATGAAAACCGGTTTTCTTACAAGTTGAAATCACTGGAATGCCCGTCTCGGGTGTAAGAGAAAATATAGCAGTTCTAAACGAATCGAAATCCGTGAATGAACAGATCTTTCCGACGATGTTTTACTCGTTATATTTCGGACTAATGACAATAGCAACTGCTTCTTGCATTAACATTTGGTAAGGTAAATGTGTATGAAGATCCACGCTGGATAAGAACACAGTCTGGGTGGGATGGGTCTATAAATAGATTAGACTCGTTGACATTGTGATATTCTTTTATGTTAGACATACATGAATCCAGCCAAGCGTGATCAAGTCGTTAGTAGCGATGTACTCGACCATTTCTTCTTCCTTCTCTGTATCACATGAATCTAATACGTCGAAAACGGGCGTTTAGCAAAAAGAGATTGTTTGATAGATTTATGAAAATCACCTGGTCCGCCGTTTTGCTTTGGTACCACAATATGTGTGATAATGTATTGATTGTCTCTCTGGAAAATACGGGTGAAGAGATATGAGAAGACAGGCTAAGAGGTTTACTTTGCTGCCTGCAAGAATGCCACAGGTTTCAATTTTTCGTTCTGAAACGAAGTTCAAAGTAAGAAAATTAGTGTAATGTCGGACATGGCCTCACCTGTGTTTCGCAGTGCGACTTGAAGAAATTTCTGTGTAATATCATTCGGCACTACAATTCGACGAAAGATTGTCATACTTGAATTTGTCGAGTCTATTTCGAAGCAACGAATAGAAAGATATTCATGATCTTATTTCAATCAACATACTCAAGACCGGCTTTTGTGCGCGATCATATGTTGGTCTAAAAATGAAGGAATCAGTTTGGTAGAGAGAATTTTTAAGAGATTACTTTGTAGGTTCTTTGCTGTTTTCCAATAGATTTCTATCAGTAGCTGGAATAGCAAATAAAGCGACGTGTGCCGGTTGTGTTGGAGTAAAATTTGCTTTCAATTGTTGGAACGCTTGTTGATTTTCATTATGAATACTAAAGAGTGAACGATTCTAAGATGAATAGAAGATTAGTGTTTGTTTTTCATACTTCGTCGTTGGTTTGCTTGCTGCTACTGCAGCCAGCGCTTTGGCATTTTCTTCTTCTTGAGTTGCTTTCTAAACATAAATAGCTACTGCTCATACTGGAAATTATTTTTGTCATTTTCATACCAATTGTGCTTCATGTTCACGTGCGTATTTGTCTTGTAATTTCAGTTTTAATTCTTCAGCACGTGGAAAAGCTTTCGACCGAATTATCTACGAAAAACGCCTATTTTCAAGAAGACAGGATCAATCCACTCTGTGTTCACCTCTTTCACACGTTCACGATCGTTTACAGAAACAGTTGCGTAACTAGGGTGATGCAATTTAAGTTCTTCCACAAATAACCTACACGATAAAACTCTTATATCGCTTTTCAATCGATTGAAATTCTTCTTACGTTATGTATCGTGAATAGAGAATAAAGCTTTGTTCATAAAATTGATTTCGATAATGATAATCCGCTTCGTCTATTAAATTATCGGATGTTTTATAATAAAAATTGATCGGTGTAGTTGAACGAATCGGTATTCGACATTGATTTTCTAGTAACGATTGAACATAATCTCGTCCATATTTTATCGATTCATTCGAAAGGGACATATTCGATCTAGAAAAGAGAAAATTATCAAAAAGGAGAAGTTTATTCGTCTTTCGTATAATAGCAGCACAAATGAATAATAATCACAATAGCAATTAAAGCTGGAGCATCATGTTCGGTATCGAGTATTTCGATGGTATATCCATTCTTTCGTGTGACTTTCGCAATAATCTCTTTTTCGTCTTTACTTGTGATCGAAAAATTTGCACCAAAATAATCGCCCACCGTGTGAAATTTGACTTCTTCAACTTCCGACGAGATCGTGAATTGTGGACGTAGTAAATTGAATTTCTTACGTATATTCATCACTGGTTGATGATGTTTGTTATGAACAACATATGTCGGACGCAGAGTGAAGAATTGCTTCTCGACTGTACAGACAACATCATCGGCTACAATGAAAAATATTAACAAAGAAAGTCAAGGATATGTAGGATAGTTTACCTAAGTCGAATATAGTGAATTTTCTTCCAAGAGATTCCATTTCATTTTTCACAAGATATCTCTTCAGCCCTTCACTATCAAATACATCAAATTTCGAGGAGAAATCTTCGGTATTGATGGAAAATTTCATGGATATTCGTGACGATATTTACGTGCTTTTTACAGCGGATAAGCAGATGAGAAAAATATCGGTTATGCATCATCGCTCGCCTATCTTTGTGTGTCGAAACAGTACGAAATTTGCCCTCGATGAATAGATACATATAGTCTGATAACTAATGAGTAATACTCGCCTATATGTGATTTATGACAAACCTCGATAAGGGAATGAATCTGGTTCGTGCAAAGATTTGGTCATTGTTATTCAACGATAGATGTCTATAGGGAGCTGAGTGAACAAAGGAGAACTTTTTGTTTGGAAAAGCGAATGAATATAGAGAAATTTTCGAAACTAAAATTGAAAAATTTTCGAAGTGGGATTTGTTAAAGAGCTGACTGGTGATTTCAATTAACCATACGTAAATTTGTTTGTTGCCGAAAATGGCGAAAATGGTTGGCTATTTACATTTTAGTATGTAATGGAAAGAAAATGGGACGGGATACATAAAAAATGACGTGTCAACTTTTTTGTTGTTGTAGATTTCGACTTTTTAAATGCTAAATGATCAATTCTATTGAGGAAATATTTACCTATGAATGAATTTCAAAGCAGGTCTTGAACCTCATTCGGCAATGGCGTCATCAGCATCATCTTCAAATCGTCAGCGTAAACGAAAACGAGACAAATCTTCAACAACTTTAAATTCGTATGTAATCCATTGCATTCGCATCTTTAGTTTTGTCTTTGATGTCATTTAGACAATCAAACTCCACCCCTGAAAAAGTCCATTTGAAAAAATCTCAAAAAGAAATGTTACGTCATGAAACAGCTAAGATCGTTCTCTGGAGACAACCCATACGCACACTACATTATTGTATACTTGAACTGCTTTATCTGAGTCATCTTAGTTTCAAACGTTTGATATCCTATAGGAAAACGTTATCTCTATCAGTAGTAATCGGTATTCTTCTTCTGTTGATTTATAATGTCGAAGGTCCGCATCAAACAAGTATTCAACTTGTGGAAAGTTTACTTTTATCTGCATTATATTGGCTCGGTCTTGGCATTGCCTCGTCAGTTGGTCTTGGCACGGGCTTACACACATTTCTCCTTTATCTTGGTCCATTTATTGCTCAAGTTACCTTAGCAGCATATGAGTGTGGATCAATCAAATTCCCTCGTCCACCTTACCCCAATGAAATCGTTTGCCCACCTACTACGAGTACAACAACGACAACACGAATGTTAATCAATACAAACGAGACAATTCTGACTGATCTACTGGAAACCGGAACAATCTCTTTCTGGAAAATTCTATGGAAAGTTAAACTAGAAGCTTTCTGTTGGGGCCTAGGTACGGCATTCGGTGAATTACCTCCGTACTTTATGGCGCGTGCAGCACGTTTGGGAAATACCGATATGGACGATGACGAAGAATTAGGTGACTTTGAACAATTGCTGAAGACAGCGGAAACACATAACTTAAAAAATTTGACCTTATTCGAACGTGCTCGTTACTTAATCTTTCGTTTAATCAAACGTATCGGATTTTTAGGCATACTTTTATGCGCAAGCATTCCAAATCCCTTGTTCGATTTAGCTGGCATCACATGTGGCTATTTTCTTATCTCGTTTTGGACATTCTTTTTAGCAACCATTATTGGCAAAGCATTGATTAAGATGAGCATTCAAACAGTATTTATCATCTTTCTCTTCAGCGAACATCATGTGGAAAGAATCATTCGCTGGATGAAACATATTCCATATTATGGTCGACTGCTACAAACACCATTTAAAGATTGGCTACAGGAACAAAAGGGCAAGATGCATCGAAAGCCAGGCGAGAATTTGACTGGTCATGTGCAAAGAATATCCTTATTGACTCGAATATTTAATTTCTTTGTTGCTGGAATGATTATATATTTTGTTGCTTCGATTATCAATTCATTAGCACAACGGTACTATAAACGAACACATACGGGATTGAAACTGATGTAAAACATAAAATGCGATCTGCTTCTTCTGAATGAATGTATTTTTCTTTCAACCTGCCCTTTTTTTGATTTTGTGCGTTTTGGCGATCAAAGACTATTTGAAGATAACTTTGAAGAAATCAATACAAGCATCGCTGTGAGTTATCCTGTTTTTCTGTCATATTTTCATTTCTTCCTGTACATCTACTGTGTTTGCATTGATTTCATTCTCATTTGGGTTCACTGTACTGTTTTCTTTCTTCTTCTTCACCTCTATCTGTTTGTTTTCCTTGAAATATCTTCACAATGCATCAAAGATAAAACGGAAGAAAAACAATTTCATAGCAATAAAACGGCAAATAGTTCGTGCCTTCGGATCGAATTGCGGCTAATTAGACTACGTTTTTCTGCTTATGAGAGCGCGATCGAATATCATATAGTAATTCGGACTGTATTCAAACGATAGACCAACAGTGTCATCGAGTTTGAAGTAAAACATGCAAACAAACCAGATGCTCTGAAATGTCGATTCTCCTTCTCATATGAATCTATTTGTGAATTGTTCTGCGAAATATCGGATACTATCTCCTCGTCAGCTCTCGGAAGAGTATTTTTTGAAAGAAAATATTCGTAATACACTGAAATCGAATATCCAGAAGCTCATTAATAGAGAAATGCTCTACTTCACAGCACACTTTCCTCAGTGTCATGCATTTTCATCATTATTTTGGCTTAGACTTTTTTTTACATGATCCTTAACGATGACTATCATATAAATGATAAATAATCATAGAAGCTTGCCATTTTTCTTTGAATGATTAAAAATAGCTTCGTGTACCGTAAAGCACAGTATATATGATCTATTTTGCAAAGAAATTATCAAAACATTATCACCCAATGTATCGACTCCCCATGAGATGAGGAGAAATGAAGTCATCAAAGTATGGGGTGGATTTACAAATCTCATATATTTGATTACATTTTCTTTGATAATAGTTTTTAAAAAACCTTTTTTGTCTGTATCTCAATGTGTTCCCATCGGAAGATAATATTGATCCCAAATCTCTCTTTCTGTACTCATTTTAATCGACAAGTCAAAATGACATCTCAACTTTCAATTATTCAAGCAGATGCACAATATACCGCCAGTGTAAAAAAGGCCTCAGTCTGTGTCCGTAATCTTTTCACCGTTTATCAAAACATCACAGACGTCAGAGAAGTTCTTCATCTTCAAATTCAATCGAACCTTTTCTTTTCATTACAAACATTGTTTCTCGCAGTGTTGAAATTTTACGTCATACCTTAGGTTGTTCGTAATTATACGACGCAACATCGACGTCAGAGATATCATATTTATCAAACCGCAGGGCGTTTCCGAGAGAAAATTTGCAATTAATTATTAACTCATTTGTAATATCAACAAGATAAAATGTCTTTTTAGAATATTAGCTAATCTGTATTCATTGAACTTGACGATGCCACTTGTTGATTCTTCGTAAGATCTCGCACAGTCTGCTCCCACGATTGACAATTTCGGCAATTAAATAACGAGTTTTCTTTTTTTTGAGGAGGAGTTGAGTATGGCATTGCACAATAATTAACCCTGCGTTAGTATTAGTGTTGTGAAGTCCGGACGGACCCATCTGAAATTCTTTGTTTTGGCTTTTCTCATCTCTGAGAAATGAACTGTTTACCGAGTGGATATAGTTAGTAGCTGTACATTGGAATAGAACAACAATCAAAAGAATTTATGTTACTTTTGGCGTTTTGGGAAGATTTTGGAATGCTCGAAATTTGCGAAAAATGAGGATGGTAACGGAGGGCTAATGAAACAGCAAGAACAGAAATGAAAGGAGATGCTACATTGTTTAATGAAGAATAAATAAATTTTGTACTCTACATCATTAAACCGTGCATGATATTCGATTAATTTGTCGCAAATAGATATTTATATTTACATTATTATCGCCATTTTCAAATGAATGTCATACTTATGAAAGAATATTTGTCTGAAATAATATTTATTAAATAAATAATCATTCATTTCTCTTTCTTCCGTCTTTTTTTTATTCAATTCGGCCAGCGACCTTTTAAGCGAAGCGTTACATGTAATGATTAACAATCATAACAGTTCAAAATGTGTATTTTTAAGTGTCTATTTTTTTTGTGGCTCAAGTATTGTTTATCGATGACAGTATCGTGTCAGCTCAGAGATAGTACAAAGATTTTCACAACAAGATTCAGTAATCACTCGAGGTGTTTTACTGGCTCGCGGAGATATTCGATGAAGAAAATCTTTCGATGTTGAAGTTGTTTGGCGATGGACCGCTGGCATTGGGGTTGTTATTTGATGTTGTTCAACAACTCGACAGACCACATTTAACATTAACAATAAATTCGGACCACATGCATGGAAAACTCGTTCTAGCAAACAGTTTTCTACGCGATAGAGTTTCTTTCGCAGTTGGATGACGCTGTTTTCATTCAGATATTTACCATCATATTCGACAACACATTGATCTTCACGTAAACGTTGCCGATAAGATACACCAGCTGCTTTGATGTAGTATATTTTCCCATCCAGAATATGATGAAGATGGCGTAACACTTTCGCTTGATGTTGCTGATCGGCCTGTAGAATTTTTTCAAGTAGAGATCCTTGATTAGTATCATGATGACTATCGGTGTAATTGAAATTATGATTAAGATTGATCAGATCATCATCAATTGTGGGCATTGTTCGGCTAGAAGCAACCAGTGCTAAGAGGCATAGTGGGATGTAAGTATTCATAATGATCCTTGCGTTATTAATGATTTTCAAATAAAATGTGAACTAGCACACTAGAGAAAAGTTGCAAAACAGACTTTTTAATATATGATTATCATTAAAGTGAAAGAGAGATACATAGCGAGAGAAACGGGGAGAGACAGAGAGAAAGAAATCAACTTACATGATATGTTTCCAGCGTCTCTGAGCTGTGTTAAATTTGCTTGCAAGAATTTTATTGTTGTTTGAATGCTAAGAGAAGTTGGAATATTTATATGTATGTCTGAATGTTAATATTGAAGAAAGAAAAAAGACAGAGAAAGAACGCGGAGAAACCACTATTTCTTTTTCAACTTATCCCACATATATTAGTATTAAGTTAAGATTAAAGAGAGGGACTATATAACGCGTGTGACCGGAATTTAGCGCGTTATCTCAGATAAAATTATCAATATCGCCGTGCATTTCCGTGTACATTTTCAATAAGCAAATAGTGAAGTCAGATCATAGCTTTTCACATATCATGGCTTTCTAATCTTGGAACAGATGCAGAAGACTTTTTAAATCGACAGCGCTGACAAAGTTATCTGCAAGTGTACTTTATGGTCTTGTGGATAACTATTTGAAAGTTCGAAGAATGTTTTATCGACCGCGTGGAAATTTGCTTTTGCACGAATTGATTCTGTTTGTCTGCTGAGACTTGGAGAAATCATCTGGCTGTTTCAAGTAATTAACTAGAGATGTAATACGGAAAGGCGTTAGAAGAAGTTCTTTTTCTATTATATTAATGATTTTGTACAATAAGTGAAGAGGAAAAACAACACAATAAGAAGAGATCAAATGCCAGTGAATATATATTTGTTGAGAACATCGAAAAATACAAAGAAAAAGTAGAAGGAATTTCTTTCTGCTGAATTGCTTTTTTGTTCTTGTCACAAATCATTTTGGAGAACAATATTTAAGCAATTCCGATACCGTACAAGCAGTTTTACAGCACAGACCGTAATATATTTGATCTAGTGATTTGATCAATTCAGCGTTGATTTGTCGACGTTTGAGAACTTTTTTCGTCGAATGTTCGGTCGCATATGAGCAAACAAGTTCGCGCATTTTATGAAATAACTTCGAACCACATTCAGCGACATACGCACGATTTAATTGGCAATCTTCGACTTTGAACCATTTGTTCTTTAGTTGGATAATTTCACCTTCAGTCAACATCTGGACACTCTCACCTTGACCATTAACTTCAACTGTGCAATGATCTACTCAAAATCAAAGGAAGAAGTCTCTCTCTTGTACATACGGTTCAATTAGAGTTCAAGGAGTCTTACCATTGTTCGAGACACGTTGGGTATAAACTGTGTCAATACCTTTAATTGTATATTGTTTTCCATCGAGATGCTTTGGATTGAGTTCAGTGTCAACTGAAGAACTGAGAACTAATGCAAAAGTGTAAACTGAGAGGAGAAGAATGGCGAACATGTTGTTGTTTGTCTTTGTGAAAAGGAAGAAATGAGAAGAAGTAAAAGTCGAAGGATGAGTATAGACGATTTTCTCTTCATGAAAGAAAAAAAAAGAAAAGTTTAGAAAAAAAAGAAGAAAGCTTCAGTGACTACAACATGATCAATGTTTTTTTTTCAATGATGACAACAGCGAATATAAAGGAAACCAATTATTTTTGATTATGTGTTAAGTACTAGGGATGCCAAACATTGTAGAGTTGCAAGTTTGACGTCAGAACAAATCTTTTAATTCGAATAGAGAAAACTATCTTTTGCTAATCTGTTTTATTTGACAAGTAACAAGTGAAGTATTAAAAAAATCCGAAAACTTCGTTGTTTATTTGCTTTTAGTTAATAAATCTTCTAAGTGATTAAAGCGTTGATCGATATGTCGTTTGAGTTCATCGAATCGCTGGGCAATATAGGATTCGAGACGGCTTTCTAAGGCGTTCAATTCTTGTTTTGCTTGTTCATTGTCTTGACTATATGTATTCTTCACATCTTCATTCAAAGAAGATCTTATTTCATTAACTATTGATGAGAGAGGAGCGGATGTTGCTTGCCTGAAATCAAGCAAAAGCAAAACTTCAACAATTGATTCGCAAGCATGAAATCATAAGTTTTCTTCTCAGATTAACTTTACACATAGGTATGCCTATGTTTTCCCCCCCTGAAGTTTTATTTCTCAGAATAGAAACCGTTTATCTTAACTGTAAATCTGTTAATATGTCGTAAAACGTGTGTGAAATTGACGGGCACTTTAATCAATTTCGAGTAAGAAGAGAAGCAGTTCTTATAATGATTAACGCCGATGGAGCTCGTCCTGTTGCAGGTCAAAAGAAGTGATGTCGAGGATATGAAATATGCTAACGTCATCGCTGTGAAGATAAAAGAATTCTATCAAGCGAGAATAAATACACAGGATCTTGTCATTTATACCAACAAAAGAGAAGTATTTTGACTTATTTTAAATTAATCTCTGAAAACGACATACTTCGAGGCCGTCGACGAAGATTTCATACCTAAATTACACGAATATTATTGTGTTTTTTGTCGAGATTGGGCTCAGTATGTCTTACCAGTCATCAGTGACATCAATGAGCTTAGGTTAAACTGTGGCGAGGACACTTCTTTCGTTCGACGTTGCTCTTGAATATGTTGGAGATCGTTCATGAATTGCCGGGCATTAGATGATAAATGGTTTTCATCAACCATTGACCGAACGCGATTGATATCGAACGGAAAGCTTGTTGATGGAACTGATTGAATCTTTTTCATTGTTATCTGTATACAATAAATGGACAATTCGTCTGCATCACCGAGTTTCAAGCACTAAATTTTCATACATAAAGTCAGTGCCGTTTTCGAAGGCGATTTTACTTTTAAGGTCAGGTGTTCATGTACTTGATGAAGTTCAAATGCTGATTCATAGATACACTCACTATCTAGTTCCGTTACTCGTGATCCTTGACAACTTCCGAGATATTCTCGATGGTAAAACTAGTAATTCATAACGAAAATATACGAAGAAAACATTCCCAGATAATTATGATCGTTACTTCAATATGTCTTGCATTGGAAAGGAGTTGAATCGAAACAATTTGTCGTTCATCAGGTTGAAGTACACTTATGATAATCACAGGATCTTCTCGTGTGTCATTTGGGTTGCAGCGAAGTATGACATTAGTTAAGCTGTCGTCTGCTGACGTCGTCTTTCTACATAGAGTTTGATTATTCCCAATTATCAATTCACACCCGCGCACTGTCAACAAATGATCTTTCTCTCACTTATTAGAGGGTAAATAAAACTCACAAATCACACTTTACTTCCTCGAAATAAAAGAAGAAATGAACAAACCTAAGATGATCATCAGTGTCTTGGTTATCCGCCTCTGTCGATTGATTTTCCTCCTCAAGAATAACATCGCAAATCTGTTCGAGTGAGATTGAATTAGTAGACGACCAATTCGATCGAACTGAGACATAGTCAGTCATCTAGAGTGTTTTTTAGAAAAAAAAAAACAAAATTTTCGTTGATATCCACGTTTTTGTTTACAATTGTCTGAATGAGGAACAAAAAGAAAACGATCAACGAACATAGGATTTCTTTCTTTTGATAGAAAATAAAAAAATAGAGAGTAACAAAATGTGCACAAATGAATGATAAGAGAAAATTATGAAAAAAAAAGAACAGAAGAACTTTCTTTTTACGTCTAATATAGCCACACAAACAAAGAAAAGATGATTATCTGTATCGTATGATCCTAGTTTTGCATCATATTGCTTAAGAAAACAAAGAGTTGTCACTGTTAATCTATTCGTAGCTCGTTTAGTTTGCTTCACAGAAAGAAGAATAAATAGAAAGAAAGAGGGACAAAAACAGACAAATATTCGAATTTTGTTCATATATAAACAAATTTCGTTGAAATTTATAATGTGGCCGGTAGGAGTAGCATGTCGTGGCTACACACATGAGCGATTGGATGGACTAACGAGCTTTTAACAGGAGGAAAACGATCTTCAAGTGAATGTGTTTGATAATATTGAATTAATGACTAAATCAAAACATGTTTAGCAGAAATTGTTTTCCTGAATGGTATCCTCTTACTTGTAAACTATCAAAAAGTAGACTATCAACTAAGTAATGTTTCATACAACCATCAATTTCATGAGTATATATTCGAATATGGTAAACTTCATTGTTATGTCTAAAACCAATAGTCAAAACATCACTGAAATTCAATTGTTGGCTTCTTACTTGATTGAAATAGCATGTCCTTCGTTTTTGCCTTGTTTGCGAACAAGAAATGTATTATTTGGCACTGAATCATTTTTCAAGATCTCTTCGGCTTGATTTCGACTGATGTCAAGATACCTAGAACAATTCAAAGAGAAGATTAGTTTCTATTTCGAAACGATTATCATTAGCATTGCAAAACAAGCGATATTATAGTAATGATCATAAACATTCGCCCATGGGTAAGATAGATTGATTAGTAGATGTATTAGACATTAATGACTCCTATAAAGATATGAAGTTTTACCAATCATAGATATGATTGTTTGCTACGACTGGGACGAACGTCGGAGATATAGGTGTATTATCAAAAGAAGATGATAGTTGTAAATTTCGATGCTTATTCAAAATATTTTCAGGCGTTGTTGGTGTTGAAATCGATTTTGAACGTTGAATAGGTATATTACTAGAGTTATGGGTCTGATTCGGATTATTTGCGGATGGAGGATTGGAGTAGGCATTCGTATTTGCTGAACGTATTGATATGGGCGGACTATAGGCTTGCACAAGTGAACGAATGAAAGGAAAATGATGTGCAAGTGTTGTTGAAATATTCGAACGCTGAAAAGATTCAACGAAAAACTTTTTATGATACCTACCAAGTCTCACAATCACATACTAACGACGATGTTTCAGCCTGAAGAGAAGAAAAACAGAAATTTCTCAAAAATAGTTTGGAAAATGATTTCATACGAGAGTTGTTGATGAACGTTGAATTGTTCTTTGAGAATCGACATCATTAACACTCACGATCGTTGATGGAATGAAACCAACTTCATTTGTTCGAAGATTTTTCACCTAAAAACAAATCGTTCACGCGAAATCTATTTGAATACTTTCTTCTCTCACCTTCCAGATATGTTCATCATCATCTTCGAGAATCTCTAATTTATCGCCTTCATTTACTCTGATGTGTCGATCACCAAATCGATTCGCTGCTGTTCTACTATTGCCATTATTCATCGTTCCATCGTAATTGTACAGTGCATAGATATGATCTGAATAAGATTCATTCGTCTTTCGCACGTCAAAATCCATCGAATTTCGGCTACGTACTGTGATTGTTAACGTTAGATGCATTACTAAATGCACGTGGTAATTCAATCGAACCACGATCAAAACTTCGTATGCGTGCCAACGATGCTAAAGTGAGATAATTTCGAAACAATTAATTATTCATGTCCAAGTACTTTAGTTCTCACGAACTTCTCCAAGTACAAATTAGAGATTCTTACACATGATCGCACATTTATTAAAAGTACACATTTTGACGACTAAATACAAACCGGAAGAAAAGGCGATGTACTCAACGGGAAAAGTATTCTGCTATAAATAAAATCTTGCAATCAATCATCTCTACAAATTCATACCGACGGGATATATATTATTATGTCTAAAAGTCTTCTTCTATCTGTCAAAGTCATGTGTATCCTACACGGTCAACATCTACAACTGTTTTACATTCAAGTAATAATCAATAGGAATGTCTCACTACAGGCGGATTGACATTGGGTGTGCAGCTAACGCGAAGAATTTCAATTGACGTACCCCGATGAATACATGTTCCAACTTTTTTAATACATTCTCGATGAATTTTTTTCTGACATCTTGAGCATTCGTAACCTTGATAAAATATTCCACTAGAAGAAGATGAATGTTTATAAATATTGAATTTCATGGGAATATTCTCTCACCATAAATATCGATTACAATGATCACAGCGTGGATTTATTTCATCGAATGATTTCATTTGAAAGAAATGCCCGTTTTCAGACAACTCCGGATTAGAGCATCGATCACTAAAATGAAAACGTAAATCTTCTCAGACTAGTTCCATTCACCTGGACCTACATTGCATCACGCAGATTCTTTAACCAAAACGATCGTTTATCTTCGGTCTTGGCAACGAATTTGTATTCACATTTCGATGAATCACGAAGAATAAATGGAAACTAAAGGAATGTTTTTCAATGAAAACTTTGCCGGCAAATCGTTCCAATCTACCTACTTCACGTTTTGCTGCTTTTAATTCTTCGATCTGACATCCTTGAATGAATAGCGCAGCACGAAATGTATACTTTTCTGATCCCTAAGTACGACAAACAAATCGCCATTGATCAAGCAAACACTTTCGAATCTTTTCGTCATTACTTTCACTTTGCAAATCAGAAGAACACGATCGAAGAGAAATATCGTTCTAAACGACAATCCATCAATTACCAATCGCTTCAATCGACTTTCCAACAAACCTCGTTCCATTTCGATGTCCATTTTCATACACAGTAAATTGTTCATCTGCAATGAATCGTCCATAGTTGCGTAGACATCGATCGGATGGTAATTTTATATCACAAATTGTTTTTTCAATGTTAGTGATCACTTTCAAATTATCATGCGCACGCTTCGCTTCGTTTATGTATTGATTTACATCCTAAACAAATAATCAAAATGCCTATCGATTGACAGCTCGAGAAGTTCGTCGCGTACAGTCATCAGACTTTCTGCTTTTTCTAATAGTTGCCGTTTGACTTCACCGTTTGGATCAGTCGCTGGAACATTTTTTTTCATTGTCTAAATAGAATACAAAACTTTTCAACAAGCGCAAAGGAGCGAAGAAGATTTTTACATGTAAAAGTAATGAATATTTAACGATACGTTGAAATGGCAAAACAACAGTGTCACGTAGCTGAAATTTACCAAGTTCGCCTGCTTTCTGTCGGCATTGCTAAAAGAAGCAATGAATAAAACGATGTTGCTCGTTAATTTGCCATTTACTTCAAGTTTCTGAGAGAAGCTTGCATCTTGTTTGATCTTTCGATCGAGAAATTCTTGTGCGTCAGGTAATTCGGAACAATATTTTGCATAGATCAAAAATCGGTCCTGCCATGTAGTAAACAATTCCACAATTCGGGATGTTCGGCCCTTTTCATTTCGACCGGCACGACATAAATCTTCGTAGAATTCCGAATGTAAAGCATGTATGTCCTTTTCAAAGAAGAATTTTCTACAATCTGTTCAACCAAAACAAATGGAATACTTACAGATATGTTTAAGAAGATCTTTTTACGTTCCTCCGGCTTCAATTGCAATGGTTCAATGAAATGCTGAAACGACTCGAATAGAATCATCGTTTAGTACACGACAGATCTCAACATACCGTTACGATTTGATTCAATGAATCACGATAATTCAATTCCGTATCCAGTAACTCTTTGACACAATGATCACGTGGAAGAAATGCTTTGTGATGATCCTAAAGGAAATCGAATTTTGATGTGTAAAATGAAGAAATGCAGAATTCGATTTGTTAAACATAGGTGCAAATTAGTCAAATAAGCATTAAGCAAAGGAGAAGAAAGGAAAAAAGACTAACAGATTTCTTTGGTTTTTCGCATAATTGTTCATAGACATCATCGGCAATACTTATACGCGATCCATAGACACCAGCATCACCATTTAGAATTGAAAATGGAAGTGATGATGTTGATAGACGGTGTTTTATCAATGGTGAAAGTAATTCAACAGAATTAGGATCTGTAATAGCTGCCGCTGACGAAAGTGTTGATGCTGCATTTGCAGCAACAAGTGATGAAGAAGAAAGTGATTCATTTATATTCGATGAACTTGTTGTTTTCATCAATGGTGAATTTTGTTTAGTTAATTGACTTGAATTTGACGAATGAAACGATGGAACATGGTGAATACGTGCATAGCGACATGAGTGACACAAGGATGATTGACGTTGTAACTTCGCCGGTCTAACAAAGAAATCAGATAGGGTGCAGAGTAAGCAGCAAAAGCAAGTCGTGAACAAAGTTTAGCGTAGATTAAGCGAAAACAAAAATGTGCATGAAGATTTCAACGAGCAAACCCAACAAGAAATGGTTAAATTAAAAAAAGAACAAAGCGTATAGCAGTACTTTTTTATCGTCTAGGACACCGACCCTTTTCTTCTCAATTAAGCATCCATAGAGAATGTTTTGTTCACTTGGAGCAACAACTGTTTCAGGCGATGCATAATACAATAGTGCTCGAGAATCATCATGATTACTCATCGAAAGACTGATGAATGAGAATTCAGATAATGATTTCCATCGAAGAATTGACTTACTCTTGGACGGGTAATGGTTCGTCGAGTGAGCGCATGATTGGCAAGATTCCGACGTGATCTTCTTTGGGAATGTTGACATAATTCACTGGGCTAGTACTTGGAAATGGAGTTAGTTTTTTCTTTTTGGCAATCTCTAGACGAGATATCTTCGAGAGTGTTTCAATGATCTGAAAAAAAAGGTAGAATTCAGGTGGTTGAGCTTTCGAAATTGTGATGATTTACTTTGTCAAGATCATATTTATCGAATAACATGTAAGGATCGAAGAGATCACGGTCACGAAAATGTAGCTCCTGTCGACATGCATCCAAAAACAGTCGAATATTTTGCAAACATAAAAACTAAATATACTCAAATCATCAAACAAATTTCGCCTTTCAATTTTTCTGTCTTACTCGACTTTTTTGTGGTCGAAACGAAACATCCGTATACTTTATAATTCCTGGTACTATATAATTCAGTAAATTGCATAGGACGATTCCTAAAAAGAGAGAAAAAAGCAGAAGGATTTGGACGTTTTATTTTGTAAATCAAACCATCAGCTAAGACATCTGCTAAATCTTCCACTGTACTCGTTGGAAGATTTAACAATCGATTGGCTTCAGGTGATAAAACATGACATTGATTAAGCCAGTGAAAAGCTTGACGCCACATGGGTTGGAAAGTTTTATTTGGATCGAATGGTGGGGGTAACGGTGATAAACTACTCATTTTGTTTTGTTTATTGACCTTTGATTACGCGCATCTTAGAAGAAGAAAAAACGAAAAACGTTAAGCAAACATTCTATCGCTTCTTTTCTCTACCATTTGTTCATTATCTGAACCAATCAAAACTCTCTATTGGACCTCTTCTTCTCTTCAATCAAAATGAATATAAAATTTATTTACATATACAACGGAAGAATATTTACATTCATGTATATGAGATATTCATACTCGACACACATTTTTCATTCGTTGATTTTACCTCTAGAGCCGTTGGATTTGTCTTCGGACGTTTTTGTTGATCATTACGTATCGCATACGTAAGACAAAAATGCTTTTATCGTTATCATCGTTATTCTTATCACTTATTGTCTATCATTATTGTTATGACGATAAAACTCCTTTGCTTCAATGCTCTGCGCGTAAAGAATACGAAAGCGATTGCCTCGACAACAGGTAGTCGACACATCCTTACATCATCGTTTTTCAATTCAATTTTTCTAGATTAAATTACGAAACTTTAACGACACATTCTTATAGAGCAATGTCATACGGAACATGGTCATCACCGATAAGTTCGGCATTGATTGTTGAAAATACGATTACACCGTCGGAGATTCGCCTGGATGAAAATGGCAATGCCTACTGGCTTGAACTTCGCCCGTCAGAAAATGGTCGATATGTTATTTGCTCGAACAAACAACCGCTACAGAAAGATATTCTCGAACAACCGTTCAACGCACGTACGCGCGTTCATGAATATGGCGGTGGATCTTATTTGGTCACGAACGATGTGATTTATTTTTCGAATTTCGCTGATCAACGCCTTTATCAAATCAACACGAAAGAAAATAACGTATCGGTACCGATAACGGAAGAATCTGAAAATGCGTCGTTACGCTACGCAGATTATACCATGGATTCGTTTCGAAAACGTTTAGTCTGTGTTCATGAAGTTCATCAAGGTGAACATGATGTTCAGAATTCGATTGTCGGTGTGTCATTGAACGATTCATCCATCGTCACGTTAGCTTCGGGTTACGATTTTTATTCTTCACCACGTGTTAGTCCCGATGGACGATATCTAATCTGGATTTGTTGGAATCACCCCAATATGCCATGGGACCAAACTGAATTATGGATTGGAGAATTTAGTAATGAAGACAATTCATCATTGATCAACAAAAAGAAACTATTTGGCCAAACAGACGAATCTATTTTGCAACCAGAATGGTCGCCAGATGGAAAATTTATCTATTTTGTTAGCGATAAGAATAATTGGTGGAATATTTATCGAACAAGTGTCGATGGGCAAAACGTTGAACATGTTTACGATGACCAAGCGGAATTCGGCGGACCCTCGTGGTTATTCGCTGGAACTTATTATGGGTTCGATTCCAACAGTAATTTGGTGAGCGTGTATTGGAAGAATGGCATTGCTAAACTATGTCGAATTGACGTTCAAACTAAGAAGTCAACACCTTTAACAGCAACTGAAGAATACACCGATATACGTTCAGTTCGAGTCAATAAACAAACGGTTTATTTCGTTGGTTCGTCCGCAGTAAAACCAGCTGAAGTGGTTGAATACAATTTTGAGACAAATACAAAAAATGTTTTATTTCGTTCAACGAATATCACGATCGATCCACGTTATTTATCTGTGCCAGAAATGATTACTTTTAAAACAGGCAATGACATTGCCTATGGTATTTATTATCCACCCAAAAACGACGATTATTCATTGCCGTCAGGTTCAACTGAGCTTCCACCGTTACTTGTTCGCACCCATGGCGGTCCGACAGCAGCCACAACAAGCGCGTTCAATCTTCGAATACAATATTGGACATCCCGTGGCTTTGCCTTACTCGATGTTAATTACCGAGGTTCCACTGGTTACGGACGGAAGTTTCGTGACAGTTTAAAAGATCATTGGGGAATCTATGATGTTCAAGACGCCATTGCTGGTGCGGAATATCTCGTTCAACAAAATAAAGCTGACAGAAATCGCTTAACTATCGACGGTGGTTCAGCTGGTGGATATACTACATTATGTGCATTGACAATGTACGATTTCTTCTCTGCTGGCGCATCCCATTACGGTGTTAGTGATTTAGAATTACTCGCCAAAGATACGCACAAATTCGAATCGCGTTATCTCGATCGATTAGTCGGCGATTATCCGGCGCAACGAGATATTTACATTGAACGTTCGCCGATGACTCATGTGAAGAAGGTCTCAAAACCAATCATATTCTTTCAAGGTTCTGAGGACAAGATTGTTCTGCCAAGTCAAGCGGAGATTATGGTGAATGCTTTACGTGAAAAACATCTTCCGGTTGCTTATGTTCTTTTTGACGGTGAACAACATGGCTTTCGAAAAGCTGAAAATATTCGACGTAGTCTAGACGGACAGTTTTACTTTTTCTCGCGAATATTCCATTTTCAAATGGCTGACCGTGTCGAGCCAATCAAAATTGAAAATCTTTCCGATGATTAACGAGTCTTCTTTTATTTCTTTTTAGATTTTTTTTCTTGTTTTGACTTTTTTCACATACAAATATCGACATGTCTGGGTAATTTGAAATTTGCAAGAGAAATTTATTTTTAACTTTGCCTTTCTTAATAAAGTGATTATAAAAACCAACAGTCACCTGACCGATCTCGTTCACGTTCGCGCAGTCCAAATCGTCTTTCGCCTTCGCACAATAGTCGATCAGCATCGCGAAATAACAACGGACATCATTTTCATGACCGAAGAAATAATCGATATCGATCAAATCACAACAACGGTAATGATTATCGTGGTGGAGGCGGCGCAGATCGACTTGGCCAAACGGTGAACTTATACTCAGATCGCGAATTGGGTTTAAAATATCGGTAGGAATCGACTTCACCGGATTGATTTTGGATCTTCTTTGTCTGAAATTTAGATGGGAAAAAACAGTTCATGTTTCGAATATTCCATACGACATGAGATGGACAGCTTTGAAAGATTTATTTCGTACAGAAGGTATGTTTTCACGAAGAATATGGATCTATAACAAAGTCTCTGTTTGATGCTAGTTGGGGAAGTGATGTATACGGAAGTTTTTGAACGAGATGGCAAATCGCTTGGTTGCGGGTGAGATCGGGTGGATTTATTTTGGATTTAGAAATGAGTGTTTGTGCAATTTAGATCTGTGGAATTTCGAACAGTTGAAGAAGCCAAACGCGCAGTAGAAAAGATGCATCAATTCGAATATGGCGGTCGAAAACTAGCAGTAAAATTGGTAAGAGCACAGGCGATATCTTTTTGACCCAAATCATACGCGATACTTCAATTTCGCATTCCTAGGACGAAGAAGGTTTTCGTACTCGACGCGCCAAATATCAATCGCTCGAAGGTCGTCTTTCACAAAAGAACAATATGCTTCAACAACACAATAATCTTTCGAATCAATTCGGCAATGCTAGTGGAAATTCCGGCAATATGTCTCGTTTATCTGAAGTCGCAGGTAAGACTCTTTACTTCGTTTGTAAAATTCGAAAATTCCGGATTAAATCATGACATATATAGGTCTCAATAGTATTGGCACATCACTATCTGGTTATTCATCAGTTGCTGGCATTCCAGCATATGTTCTACAAAGATTAGGCATCGATGGACCTGTTACAAATAAAATCTTTGTAGCGAATGTATGTTGTTTCATTTGAGTTAACAACTGATACGAAGAAAACGTTTCTATTTAGTTGGATTTTAAATGTGATGAAAAGAAAGTTCGAGAAGTCTTTTCCTTGGCCGGTCGCGTACGTGAAGTGACATTGAAACGAAATAAAGAAGGTCAAAGCCGTGGTATGGCTGTAGTTGAATATGAACACCCGTTGGAGGCTGTGCAAGCTGTATCAATGTTTAACGAACAGCAACTATACGATCGAATTATGGCCGTGAAAATTGATTTGAAAGATGAAGGCAAAGATGATGGTCGTTCAATGAAATTGCCAAGTAAATATCAAGGATTCGTTTTATTTTTGCAGAGTTTATTGGCTCTCAATTTTTAGGCGGATTGAAGTCGATCGGTGTTGGTTTAGGCCTTGCTGGGAATCCACTACGAACAAATAGTAAGAAATTCGAATAAAAAACGTTTCACTTTTCACATTCGATTCATTTGTTTAGATGTTAATCAACTGGAGCCACCTCTGCCGCAGATTAATCCCAATCCTATACAAAACGTTACACCAAATGTTTCTGGTAAAGAATATTTCTCTTAAAAAAATGTCAGAGAGTCTCTTTTCTATTTCAGATTATATTAATCATAACGACCTTACAGCTTTACAAGCACTTTCACAGTTATCTCCCAGCGCAATCAGCGCCTTAACTCAATTGGCCACTAGCGGTTTTTCCGGATTGAATTCTCTTGCTGGTTTGTTACGCAACCGATTCGCATTCCTAATATTCAAACACTTTCTCACTTTGTTTAGGACTTCAATCAGCTAATTCCAATTTAAATACTTCGTCTACATTGGGCATTGATCCCTATGCAAATACAAGTTTGTAATACCGATCTGCCACTCTGAAATATTTGATTGTCTAGTAGATTCTCTGTATGCATCGCTTGCTGGTGGTTACTCAAATTACCAACAATCGTCAGGTTTAACTGGCGCTTCTCAACTGTCGTCTCAATTATCAGGTAATGTCGAAAGCGGAGTTTGCTATTGTGTTGTTTTCAGTTTGATTGTTTTGAATCTAAATCTCGATTTGAATTCCTATCTATCCACATCCAGGCTCATTCTACAAAGATGACGATGCACGTTTGGGTCAATCAGCGCCTGTCGGAGTGTCAGCCGTGTCATCGGTTCGCACACAACCGAATACACCGTTTGCAGGTGGTCGAAATGTATTAGGCACAGGTGTCAGTGGTCTTGGTGGATCTCTAGGTCCTTATACCCAATCGAATACAAATACGCAACGTAGTGTTGGAGGCGTGCTTAGTAATTCCAGTGTAAACGGTCCGAGTACCGGTGTTTACGATCGTTCACGAGGCCGATCGCCGTATCGTTAAACTACTTTGGGACATTTTTGATGTAGTTCAGTTGTACTTGTTTCCACGATGAACAACTTTTGGATTGACAATTGATTTTTGATGCTGCTCTAGCAGATGACGTTGTTGATGGAAAAATTCGATAAAGTCTATCGTGTATCATTGTATCTAGATTTCATTTTTCTTTCTTTTTTGTCTTTTCTTGCTGACTTTTTTCAACCTTCATTTACTTCTCGTTGTCATTCGTTCTCCTTTGTTATATATCACAATTCATCATGTTTCGTCGATGATCTCAAGCGATATCGAGCAGAAACTAACAAATATATGTAAACCATGAGCAAATATCTCCTATTTCGGTATTGAACGAGTTCGATTGATTAGGAATGGAAATATAGCTGTGAAAGGAGACGGGAAACGCTGTGGTCGTAAGTTGATTTTGTTCTTTTGCTTTTATTTTCAGCTTGTTGAACGTTGCATCTCATTCAGATTTTTAGACCTTTGAAATCCAAGTACTTGTTAATGGTAATGCAACTATTTTATCCTATGAATAGATAATTTGTCTATGTTGATATGAAAGATCTCGTTGGTACTTTTTGAATTGCCTCGAAGGACGACTCAGTTGATTTGGTTTTTTATTGTTGCTATTCAAGGAAGACAAGATGAACATTGCGTGATTTGATGAAATACATTATATTCTATTTGTACATTCGAAAAGCAATGTCTTTCTCTTTTTTGTTATTTTAGTTCGAAATCAACTTTGAAGTCGATCAATGAAGATTTGCTCGTGCTCGTCAAGAAAAGCGAGATCGCGTTCAATTTGAATCAATTTCTCGGTTAACAATGCATGTTTCTCTCGGGATGAAATGCTTTCTAGACGCAGAGGTAAACGTTGATATTCAGTAAATACTTCTTGATGACGTTGTCTCAAACCTAAACATTTCAGAGTCATAAATCGATTAGATTTCGATGAAAATTACTCTCAATCAACGAAAAATGCTCTTCGGACGAGATCAATTGCGCTGACTTTTCATTCGAATCACAACTCGGCGGTTGCTGATATGCTTTATATGCTTGAAGATACGATGGAATTTGACCGTAATTCTACATAAGGAAATTTTGAGAACAAACTGATAGATCAATGTGATTGTACAACTCTTTTATAAATAAATTCTTTTTGTAAACCACTACCATCAATTAGAAATTTGTTTCCTTTGCGGTCTGAAACGATGTATCGACGGGAGCATTTCGGTAGTGAGTTTTTTATATGAATGATGTTCTCTTGGACATGATCTTTCGACAATTTTGATTGTAATTTATTTGGTTTCGGAATCGGCGGCATTCGATGAGAGCGAATGAATGGTTTAACTGTTCGTGCAGTCGAGCTTTCGAAAGCTTATTATAATCAACTGATCTTACTTTCCGGTAATTGAATATAGTTTTGTCGTCGGCGAAGTGGTTGGCATGGGTCGGGTTTCGGAATAACAGCTAAACCCATCGTCCGATGAGAATATTTATGTTTATTGTAATTGTGTACGACATCTGACGCAAAGATTGATCGATAAATATGTCTAAAATATGATTTTTCTTGAGAATGAAGAGGCATTGAAAAGAATGTCGTACTTGGAAGGATCTGGTAATGTTGGTAGACATTGGGGTTTTTGGTTGAGAAGATTGTAAACTGTTTCATCCACACTATTCATTAGATTGAAATAGGATACGCGGGAAAGTAAATTTCTAATCAGATGATCGAGGCCAATGCAACTCGAATTGTTAATTATGATCAACGTTTGAAGACTTTCCTCAATTCTTTTCTAATTTTGTAACTGATAACCAATACGAACATCTTATCATTCAATAATTCTATTTTTTCTTCGTAGTGTGATCCTCAATTGTATTGCCCTACTAATTTTACTGAGTATCAGTTGTCTGATCACATATATATGGTTCGTATCGACGAGCAAAACCAACTTCAACTGATCCTGTTTGTAGGTTTAATACGATACTCTGTTGTCGAGATTTTACTGGTATTATTGAAGATCGTCTCAATGAAATCGAAACCGATAATCATGTAAGTTAATCATAGTTTGGGTTAGGTATTTAGAGTTTGACTCAATAAGTGTATCGTATGTTGAGAAAACAACAGCATATGCATCTGATAACATTTGCAATATGCGTTTGCAAACTGACGCCGAATAATTTCCATTCTATTGACTATCAATATTGTTTTTTTCTTTTCATCGAGATAAAAGACGACAACTTAACATTATCCGTCCATCTGACAAAAGAAAGTCCTGCCGTGCAAGATTTTTGAAATGACGTGCTAATTGAAAAGTCAATTACTGGCGCCATCTATCTTTCGAGAGGTTTATTTTGATTCGTAATGGATGAAATTCCATCTTCTCTTTTGCTGCACGCATGTGAACTCATAATAAACAAAAAAGCAGAACGTATTCGTCAGTTGTAATTCATGCAAACATGGGTGAAATCTTCACGCAAAAAGTTCAATTGTAGATGTTTATAAACTTATTGTCTTATTGTTCGTGCAATCCAATTGTTTTATGTCAATGACATCTACAACAAATTCCAGCAAACAGCGAAAACTAACAGACTTACGTGTAGCTGATTTACAACGTGAATTACGCTTGTTTAATATATTTTATGACAAGAAAGAATTGAAAGGGTCACTCTTGGAAAAATTACGGCAGGTAAAGTCTTATTAGTAGAGATTTTCGTTGTTATTTTTCCTATTGGAATTTTCTAGGCTTTGATCGATCGTAATCTTGACCCAGAAAGTTACTCGTTCGATACAACTAGTGATTTGAAATCAATGTCATCGGATGAAAATGGCTCATATGGACTAGAACTGTCCGCAATGGAGGTACGTTTGTTCATAAACACATAGCGAGAAGTGTAATATTTATGTTAATGAGATTCTTCTGTATGAAAAGAACAGTTTAGTTTTATTGATTGTCTTACGTCATTGTTGAATTGAGATTACGAGAAAGATTGAATTACACATTCGTTTTCATTCTTTGTTTTATTTTATTTAGACTAGCTCTGATCAAGCATTAAACATTGAAAATTCAGGTGAGAATCACAAGATCTTCTGCAATTTTGTTTTTGGCTTTTTTTTGGGTCACTTAGTCATTTTCTAATTCTTCTTCTTTTCCTCGATATTTTGTTCATCCTTATTCATCTCTACATATTCTACCTGCGTTCGATTCAACACAAAACTTATCTAAGAAAACTAGTTGATCGGAAAGCTCTTCTATTCTGGAAAACAGATTCATCTATATTTCTCTGTCGATGAGATAGGCAAAAGTCTTGAAAAAAAAAGTAAATCCATATTGTTTCAAAGAGCAAACCCATTCATCAGCAGCAGCAGCACCATCGACGACGCTCGACGCCAACGATGAGCAAATCAATCGAATGGACACAATCGATTTGAGACAAATTGTCGACGATCAACAAAATGAAAATAATTTTTCTTCAATTGATCAAACAACAACTAAACACGACGACGAATATAGTAATGATAACATCGATCATGGCCTTACACAAGCACTGTGTTCCTCATCAGATGAAGATCCATATATAAAAGAGTCAACCGATTCGTCGGACGCTACTCACACTAGAACTTCCATAACAGCAGCGCATGATCAACAAATCTCGTCGGATTCAAATCATGGCGGAGATCATCAATTGACGACGTCGTTGCCAACAACAAATCTCTCGACTGATAATGAGAACCTGTCAAAAAGGTAATCAATCGATTTCGTCTCTATTCTGAATACATTGAACAGATTTTGTGAATGTGAGGGTGTGTATGCGTGTTTTTGTTGACTTTTTTGTACAACAAACCAACGGCAATGGCAACTATTCAATAACCAAAGATTTTGTTTTTGTCTACGAACCAACAACGATGGTCCAATCGAATCTATTCTCCATTTGTTATTACTAATCATTTCGTTGCGCGAACAGATTTTTGTTTCTTTCGTTGTGTTTTTTTCTTGTCCAAAGAACACTATCTAACTCTCATTTTTTCATTATCAGTGAGAACAAACAACAAGAATCAACAGGCGAACAAACGAAAAAAAGTAATCAATGTCATCTTTGGGTATCAAATATTGCCAAAGAAACTCATGCATCTGATTTGAAAGACTTATTTTCAAAACACGGAAAAGTAATAAACATTTCTTTCACGATTATTATATCTTTAGAATTTTTCATACGATAGGTATTAACAACTAAAGTTATTGGATCCAGTTCGTCACAATGGTTTGGATACATTACTCTAGCGACACCGGATGATGTTGAAAAGTGTATTAATACATTGCATCAAACGGAATTACATGGAAAGAAAATCTATGTCGATCGAGTAGGTGTAAAGACCTAAATTGTCATATCTTAGGAGACGTGCTCGTCAGAAAATAATTTTCTAAGGATCTGGAAGTCTACAATCGCTTTGATTTTTGTAGGAAATGCACGATCAACCAGAACGCTCTTCGTCATCATCGAAATCAAAGTCACACAGTGATCTTATCTCGTCGAGTGCACATAAGAGATCATCAGATCAGTCAAATCATAAGTCATCATCATCAACAACAGGGGATTCGTTTAAAAAACGTGATTCGAATACGAATAATCACAGTAAATCGGCCGTTACCGATCACAATGTGTCATCAAAAAAACGACCAGCATCAACGTCGAACGATAATAAGAAGAAAATATCAACTCACGATGTGAAAAAATCTAATGAAAATCATGTATCATCTCGAAAACCATTGGATTCCAATCCAAGAAGAACGTCATCTAGTAGCAATAATAGCCAATCAAACAAACAACACGCATCTCGGTCAGATGTTCCACGAACCGGCGAACGAACAGGTATAATGATTGATTCAAGATTGGAATTTGAGCGTTAGAGCGAAGAATATCTGCACATCGACCAACGATTTGTCGTATATTTTAGAATCTTCTTATAAATCGTCCGGTGGTAATCGCTCAAGTGATAAATATCCCGATCGATCGGAGAGATCATCGTTAGATTCATCTAAAACGAAACCAGCCTCATCATCAACTTCGCACCGTAGTCGTTCAAATGAAAAACGTTTAACTTCGACATCAACAAAACCCGATTATCATCATTCATCATCTGGTGATAAATCTAAACCACGCACAACATCTCACAATACAACAAACAAATACGATAAACCGAAAGACTCATTTGTAAACGACTATAACTAAACTAACATGCCTAAACTGCTCTTTTTATTTCATTTTCAGCCGAAAGATACTCATCGTTCGACGTCATCCAATTCATATGATAGTGATCGTCGTTCAACGCATCAAAATGAACAACGTTTACGGCATGAGAAAGAAATACTTGTACATAAACAACTTGTTCAACAACAGGAAGAAGAGAAAATCAAAGAGCAACAACGACGATTAGCCGAAGAACGCGAAAGAATGAGACGAGAGTTCGAATGTAAGTTCTTTTCGCCTTCATTCGAATTCATTCATATGCTCTGTTCTTTTTTGTCTAGTTCTTGAACGTGAACGTTTGGAAATCGAACGAACGCGACTAGCCCTAGAGAAAGAAAAACAAGATCAAGCACGAGAACTCGATAAACAACAAAGACGCTTAGCTGATGAAGCTAAACATCGTCAACAGCAAGCAGAAGCGAAATTACGCGATGAAAAATTACATCGAATAGCTCATCATGATAATAAACACCCGCGTGATTCACAGCGTTCATCACATTATCAAAATGCAAACAATAATAACGATACTTCTTCAAGTAAAGGATACGATCATCGATCGTCATCGAACACAAGTAACGAACGTGGACGGGATCGATCGCTTGGTGAAACAAATCGTGATTATTATTCCGAAGCCAAACGACCATATAGTAACAATATGAATAATCAACGTGAGACAATGTTGTACGTAACAAGAAACGAAAAGCATGCTAGAAAAAAAAACTCTATTCTCTTTTTTTCTTTAGTCGCGATCGCGCTGCTGGTCGTGATTCAGACCTTTCTTCGTCCAGTTCGAGTCTGGTTCTCAGCTCTCCATCAACAATCATTTCAAGTAATACAAACAATAATGCACGATACCTTCCTCCGTCATCGCATCAAAATCGACCAGTCGATCCATACAATGCATTACCACAGCGTGGTCGAGATATGGCTTTGCCACCAACATCGGCTGTTAGTGCTGCTTATGAACGTTCCTCGCGAAACAATGCTACATCGCCGACTAATAACAGTGCACTTCTCCGACGGCCACATTCTCGAGAACGATTTGATGGTCGAGAATTCCTTCAACAAGCACAACGTCGTGATCGTTCGCCACCTCCGACTTCGACGTTACGTCGTGAACCAATGGAAACTGCACATTGGGAACGACCAAAAGCACGTGATAGCACACATTATACTGAGGGTAAACAAATACCGAATATGATCGAAATGAACAATTTGTATTGTTGCTAATTTAGATGCTCATAAATATTTACCTAATCAATATCTCTCTGATACATCACCATCAATGCAACAACAGCAGCCGCAAGGCTTATGGTCAGCTGCGCCACCGTCTAGAGCGCAACATCATCATGGTGATCTATCCGTTAAAGGTGAGATGGTTTCATCGGTTGATTCTTTTAATTGAAAATTTTTTCAACTTTTTAGCACCTGTTCACCCACCGGTCGTCGATCCGTATAGTTGGCAACATGTTTCATCACAAGTACCACCATCAGCCCACGATCGATCTCGTACAAATATGATCAGTAATCAACGTATTCCAATGCTTTCATCCAATCAACCACCTCCTCCACCTCCATCAGCACGTGGTAATACGGCTGGTCAAAGTCACATTTACAATCATCCTGGTGTACCTGTCAGTGCTATTCCAACATCTCAACAACACGCATCATTAGTGCCACCACCATCTCTTCATCATACAACTGCTTATGTGACTCAACAAGCCCCACCTCCTGGACTTGTCCTTCATCCAACAGGACAAGCACGTACTTACGAATCACACTACGTTGTTACACAACCAATACAGCCACGACGCTATTAAATCACTATGTTCATGTCTAGTTGTTCATCTTAGTGATAAACCCGTCTTTGTAGTTCATGTATTTCTTTGACATTGACTTCATATTGCATGCAAAGAGATATCAGTACGATTGCATTGGATTTTCTACTACATGTGAATAGTATGAAAACAAAGGACTCGATTTGCATGTGTTTTGTGTTTGTGTGTATCATTGTACATGTCTCTTGACTTCATTTGTCTTTTTGTTTTTCATTTTTTCTTTAATGGTATTCTATACTGAACACAACGTCTCTTCTTCTTCTGTACTTCTACTTTCTAAACATATGTTCCAGCATTGATAAAAAAAATCGAACGAGAGAATATGTTACTTTTTTCGTGATCAATTTATCAAATATCAAGAACATTGAAAGGAGAATATCGAAGTAAGTATAATGACATACCTACATGCCTACATAGGCTTCTGTTAATTCACTGATCGAATGTGCATTTGGATGCATATTCACATCTACCTGGATCAATATGCGTAACCTACATGAAACTCATTCATCCGGACGATTTTCGATTGAAATAGGAAGAAGAGTGAGAGAGCATGATTGGAAAGAAAAAATGAGAAGAAATAGGTGAATATATATTTCGAAAATAGTTTCTTGCGCTTTCGATCCTGTCATATATCGATAAACTCTCTCAAATGCATTTTTTCATAATACTCCTCATTCTCTTTGCTTAATACATTTTGTACAACATTTTCTGCGCTCGAGAAGGAATGGTACATACATTCATGTACATACAGACGAGAGAGAAAAATCTCGAAAAGCAAAAGACGGGAAGGACTAGAATTATTTGAAACTCACTTGTGCGCACATGAACTTAATCCCTGCTTCCTTTTCTTTTCCCTTCTGACATGCATATATATATATATACCCTTTTTGAATCGGTAGAGCATAAAACTCTTGCATTACTTCTCTTCGATTGTAAGTAGTCCTGCTCTCTTTCTTTATGTATAGAAACATTGCGGTAGGTAGAGCAAAATCTTAAGTAAATGATTATAATTCTTCTCAGTCAACCATCCATGCATCCACTTTCGCGTTCGAACATTACTTTTTTCTTCTCTGTCTCTCTTTTCCTATGTGTATTCGTGTGCATAGACGTAAACTATTGATGTTGGTATTCATATTCCTTGGACGAGATAGAGTCTATCACATATACAGTCATACATCATCATACGAAAAAGCTGAAAAAAAAAGAAAGAAGTCTTGGATCTAGATGACTTTATCAGAATCTATCTTTATGATGAGAGATATTCTATCGACATTTCTGTATCTCTCGGCTTTGTTCTTTGACTAATCGAATAAAGATACTGAGGATTGTTTAGAAAGTAAAATATTCTTCGACTATTGCTCTCGTGTAGACTTTTTCTGTAAGCATTTTTCTAACAAATACAGACATAGAACAAGAGAAACACATAGACACACATATGCAGACAATATAAGAGAAATATTGCCATCAAGAATCTTTCTATTCTTGAGAATGAGTGAAACGTACGAATTCTTTCACTACCATCTGCAGCCATACTCTGACTAGAAATCAGTCTCGTATTTCTCTCTTATTCTTTCTTTGCCCGTTTTTTTTTATTTCACATTTTCCATTCTCGAACCATCTGTGCTTCGATCCCCTCACTTTGCTTTTCAAACATAGAACTACTAAATCTCCTCAATATATATCTGTATATTCTCTTCATCAATGAAGTACATCTGCGTATATTCTCGTCATGTTAAAAAATCTTTTCTCCTTCTTCTTCTTCTTCTTTGTCAGTAGTGACTTACTATTATCGCTACCAATTTCATATTTGAATTTAAAGAAGAAAAAAAGGACTAAAAATCTAAACCCTTTCTCTTCGTATGCTCTCTCTCTCCCTCTCTGTCGTTTTCATATATATTGAAATTGGGAAGAAGAACAAGACACAAATAGACGATTTTATCACGAGATGATAAATGAATTTGATGTGATATCTCGTTGTCGTAAGTATTCTTGATTCGAAAATATGACTAATATCAGAAACAAGTTCATTTTATCACATTTTCATTAGCAATTATTAGTTCCACTGACTTGTCAACGCCATATGAAAAATTAAATGTTTTTCATAAATCATTATTTTATTGGAAGTGTGAAAACTCTCATTAGTTTTCTACAACTGAGTATTCATTTTCATGGCCAATTAATTTTTTTCCACCTATAAGAGCTAAAATGGTAACGACATGCGTACGAATACTTGTATGTATTTATACATACATATTCATGCACAGGTAAAAGTCGAAACCATTAGTATATTAGTAAATGTGTGTATATATGTGCGAAAAATCGATTTCTTTTCTTGATCATGTCGTCTTCGGTTGTTGTCTGTATAATATTTGACAAGATTGTCAGTGTTTTCCTATTACATATTTCTCCCTTGGAAGTGATGAGAAAAGAACAAGATGAAGATGATAATGATTGGAAGACTCACAATGAAAGTAGGCGATGATGTATCTATGTACACACATATACACGTCTTTGGCCTTCGTCTTTCGCCTTCAATGTACTTCTCTCTTTCTCTGTCTTTTCTTTTTCATTTTTTTAAACTGCGTGTGCATAAGCGCATCATATGTGCTATAGACGTGCGCATCTCTCTCTCTCTTCTTCCTTCTTCTCGTCTTTGCTCGACATGTTCTATAATCACACCAATACGAATCTATATATGTGCGCACGTCGAAAGAAGACGAACAGGGAAAGAGGAGAAAGAGAGACAGAGAACGAAAAGACGTAAGAAATTGAGTATGAATGTATATAATGAAGAACAAGAAGACGAAAAGAATGTTGCGCCCTACGTCGTTTTTCTCCCTTAGTGTTACAGGATACGAGAAAACGAAGATGTAAAAAAAGATGTTTTTTTCTTTTTCTCTTTTTTGTCTTATCTATACGTGCCCATCATTATCGAATATGTATGCATATGTACATTTATTACAAATCGTATGAAGCTTTCTCTAATTCAACCGTTACTACTGATATCGATTTTCGAAGAATTTCTTAACTAGATCTCAACATACTGATTGCTAGGAGGCATTCTCTCTCTCCCTCTCTCTCTCTCTATTTCAAGTTTTAGACCTGAGTTATTTTGTATGAATATGACATTTGTGATCCTCTCTCTCTGATGACTGATCGTCATTAACTAGGTAAGGATAGAATGCTCTACGCACAAATAAAGAAAAACATAACATTTACTAGATACAGTTAATATTAATACTTGCTTTCATGTGATAAATATTCAAGCTATAGGACTAATCACAAACAATCATTATTAGATTGATCAAATTCGAGAATAAGACTTTCATATTTTCCTTCTCGATAAAAGCTTCGCAAGTTGATATTCGTTGAAATACACCTGTATGACGTAAAATGATACTGTTGTTGTTGTTATTGAAGGATGAAGACGATGAGAAGAGAAATCAAATGATGTATTTCTCAAAGAATAGATCGTAAATGAATGTGCACGTATGATGATCAATCACAGTTGACATGTGCATATGTATATGGATGAAGCATTTTTTCTCGTTTTTTCTCCTCGAATAAATTGTTATTGATCTATTTCGTTTGTAGATTGTTTCAATCTAATCGTCATTTGTTGTTTTTTGCACTTTTCCATTTTGCCAAGCACCGGTGATGACTGACGATGCATCAACAGCTTATATTTGTATCTATTGTCCATTCAATTCAGACAATTTACAAGCACTTGAAAATCATTTAACAAGTATAAAATAAATTTAATGTCACCTTGATCTACTCTTTACATATGTACACGCATTCAGATACGCACGGGCACGGGTGTCAAGATGCACCACTACCATCACATATACAATCGTCATCATCATCATCATCATCATCATCGAACATTACTACCAAGGCCGGCAAACGCGAGGCGCCTGATGATGAACAGGTAACTTTCGTACATTAACCTCGTTCGATCGCTTTTTCTATCGTACAATCATTCGATATTATCTATGTTTATCTAGCCTCAATCGTCGTTGAATGGTATTAAACAAACAAAAGGTATTTATTGAACATCTTTCGATTTGAAACTTTCCGATCAAGTGAACTCGACGTTCTTCTTCGCATCTGACAGAAAGACAAAACGAAAGAGTTTTCAGTCGAAGAAAAGGATTTGAAAATTCTGGTTGAAAAAAGCATTGCATTTTTCTCGTAGATCATCCATTCGGAGTCAAACGAGTTCGACGTACATTGTCTCCAACTACACCACCGAATGTCTTTGTCAATGGTCATCATGATGATAATAATTCGAAACAAGGTGACGATTCAGATACGTCTGATGAAGACGATGATGACGAACGTGATTCATCGTCGAATCCAACAACCATGTCGCCAAAAGCTGTTCTTATATGTCCAACATGCGGTTCAACGTATCATCGTCTTGGGCATTTGATACGACATGCAAAGCGAAAACATCGTATTGATTTATCGAACTATGATGGACCAGAAACGTTCGACATTCTTACATCACAAACCAATCAAATGGAATCATCTGATCTCGAAGTAAACAAGAACAGTAAAGAGCAAGTAGATATGTCTAAGATCGATGAGACCGATTCATTAGACAAATCATCTCAGCAGCTAGGTAAATCGAATTCAATTCGTATAATCATTTGAACCGATGTTTTCCTTAGATGAAACGCCATCGGATGCAAATGCGACAACAAACTGTCCTTATTGTGATTTTAAGACCACAGACATTGAGCAGTTCAAACTACATATCATAGCGCATATTCGTGATAAGAACTATCGATGTTTACTATGCAATCGTTTGTACAAATATCGAGGTAAACGGCAGACATGTCGTTGTGTTTTTTATTCAAAAAGGTTTCTTTGATAGGTGATTGTTCATTTCATATTCGTCGTAAACATCATCGATACAGTATAAATTCAAATGATTATATTCAACGATTTTTATTCGATACGACTGATGGAGATGAAACTATGTCAACACAAGCCGGTGGACATGGATCATCGATCAATGGTATTATGAGTAGTTCGAATATCTCTCGTGAACCGGATGAACCTGTGCGATATTTCGGTTGTCCTTATTGTGATTATACATCCAACTACGGTGGAGATGTTCGGTAATTGATGCTTATCGTTTCATTGATTTTCGAATTGTATCTTTTTTTTTCGTTTCAATTAGAAAACATCAAGCACGGAAACATCCGAATGTTGAATCTAAAGTCATAAAAATGGTTCGACAAGAATCTGAACATCAAAGTCAGGTAACCGTACCCAATCCTGAACATTCATTTCCATCTAACGACGATCGAGCGATCGATGATGATGAAGATGCTCTGAATATCATCACCAAACCAAACGTGAACTTACTTGAACAACAAGAACGCAAAGAGAAAATCAAAACAGTGAAGAAAACGGATGTGAATTTCATCCAACAGCATCCAGCAACTCTACCTATTCCACCAAATTTTGCGCCCGTTCGCGTTTTCCAATGTAGTTCGTGCCACCAACAAGGTACTTACAAGTGGGTAGTTGAAAGACACATACGTGCAAAACATCCCGATCAACCCGATGCACATGTCATCGAATTACCAGCCGAATTAGCTGTCAAACTACAGAAAATCACACCGCCATTGAAACGATTCCGTTGTTCGTTATGCCCATTGCAATCGAAACACACGTGGGTCATTATTCGTGTATGTATTTTATTGTAATTCTCAAATCGATCAGATTCTAATGAAGTTGCATTATTCTTCTAGCATATCAAACATTTCCATACGCTGCAAACTGCCTCTGTTCTTGACATACAACCAGATGGAACACCGATCAACGATGAAGCATTTTCCTATCAGAATGGTAATAATTACGAATACCTGTCATCTATATATCGATTTTCCTTTTGTTTGATTAGGGGATTTTTCGAATAAATCTGATAATCACGATTCCGAATCATCGTCCGTGAGTAGTTCATGTAATGACACTGGTACTGATGGACAAGTCGACTTCCTTCGTCAACAAGATCCAGACGATGAAGACGATGAGAGCGACAACGCTCGTTCATTAGATCCAACCATCAACGGTTCAATAGCACTCGTATATAAATGCTCCGTATGTGAATTTACATCTAATGTACCATGGAACATCCAGAAGCATATCAACGATTTACATTCTGATCAGCCCAATGCCCATATGTTAACTCAATGCCGGTCAGCACTAATTGATCATACTTTGAAATTGAATTCAAAGAAATCTAAACACAAAAATGGACATCAAACAAACATCGCAACCGTCACGAAAATCCCAATGACCGCTCCATTATCACCGACAAGTGCATTAGCAAAAGCCAAATTTCCTCCTGCGGTCGAAGAAGCTATATTGTCACTACAAGGCTCGAAAATCAATGCTGGTCTCTACGCTGTACAACCGAAATTCGGTATTAAACGCTTAAAATGTCGCCATTGTTTCTATCGTTCAAATTGGAAAACAGATATGATCCGACACGTTAGAATCAGACATAGCCTAACCGAGCCTGATCATAATAAAGGTAAACTAATTGAAAACCAATGTGATATGTATGATTTGTGTTCTTAGATATGATCATGATGACTGAACAAGAAGCACGTGCGACTATCGAAACATATGAAAATACATTTGGCAAAGAATTACGGCGACGAACATTTCGCACATGGAACGATTGGGCTAAAGCTGAAGAAGAATTCACACCGAAGGATGGCTCATTGCAATATGTAAGTCGAATGCTTCTTTCTCTCGCTGATTTCATTTCTAATCTTCATTTCGACAGAGTAATGCAAATGGTGGAACACCACCGATGGATTCGAATAAATTAAAGAGAAACCTTTCAATGCCATTATCAACTGGTGAAGATATAAGACGTCTGAATAAACCCAAAGTGAAACATGAACCGAAAATCCTCACTAAAAATTACAACCAAGCTCTATCAAACCCAAAAGATGAAGTAAATGCGCAGACCATTCGTTCTTATCCAATTTAGATTTCTCTTCTCCTTTTAGTTTAAACAATTACCGAATTCATCGAACATTGTCTCGCGTCTTCTGTTGACCACATCACCTTCGCACAGTGATGACGGTGACGCACCATTAGATCTTTCTCTTAAACCAAATCATCAAATGGCCATGCCAATGAATTTCAAACAATCTAATGGAAATCATCAGAACCAATCGACATATACGCATTCCGATGCTGAAGAAAGCGACGAAGACGAAGACAACAATTCCACTGTGTCTTACGTTTGTTCAAAATGTCCATGTAAACGTTCGAATTTCAATTCCGCTCAACGTCATCTAACACTTCACTTAACTGGCCAAGGTGTGAGTTGTCCCCTCTGTTCTTATGCAGTATTATCTTCCAAGTCCATGGTTCATCATATAACAATCGCGCATCCAACTAGTCAAATGCCAACTGAATTTCCGTCTGTCATTCGAACACCAAGTGCAACTGTTATTGAACAGCATCAATGTCCAATGTGTTCATATCAATGTGATCGTGCCGAAGCACTACAACTTCATCGTCGTCTCGAACATGATGACGAAGAATTCGATATCGACTCTTCCTCAGGTATTGGCGGTGGTGATGACTATGTTGATGAAGAAGAAGAGATGGATAATGACAATAGCAATTTACCGGTCGATTCAACTATAAATATCTTTCAATGTCCATTATGTGCACCATCAACATCAAGTAATTTCCAAAATCTTGAACAGTTTACCATGCATATCTACACTGATCATTCGAATCATCTGCAAAACAATCAATCATGTCCATTTTGTTCTTTTATTGCTCATACAACATCGTCGTCTAAGCTCGGAGAACATATGAAACTTCATTTCAACGGAACGCTTGTTCAACCAGATCCGCTTCATGGGGTAGAAAATGTTAAAGAGTTATTAATCGAATAGAAAAAGCAACTAACACCCGTACATGACACAGACGTACATTTTTCTCGAGTTTTGATATTGTTATTACAAATATTTTTTTCTCCTTTCATTCGTTTTTCTTTTGTTCATTGTCTTACGGTGGTAGTTCGTTTTTTTCTCGTTTTTGCTTTAATTCTTTTATATATTGTGGTAGTGAAGAACTAAGAAAATTCAGAAACAGTATTCAACTGTGTTATCATTCCGTTTTTATCGTGGAAAAGTCAAATGTGAGAGTTTTTTTTTTCGTTTTTTCCATTTATAAAGAAATATAAATATGTATTAAACTCAACTTCTTTTCTTTTCTAAATTTCAAACAAATGTCTTGATGCAAGAAGAACAAAGGAAAGACTTTATGCAGTTACTCGTATAACAAACAAGAAAAACAAACAAATGGCGACGATTTAACTAGCAGAAGCTGACTTCTTCTTCTTTTTCTTGCGTTTTTTAGCCTGTTTTATGAGAAGATTTTGTTCTTCTACTGTATGTGAATCATTTAAGGTTTTCGATTGATCCATGTGATCGATAATGCGATCGATTGCAGAGACAAGCGGTTTGGTCGACGGTTTCGTTTGATTTTGTCGACGTCGCTGATGTTTACTGAGAATAGGACGAATCACAGTTAATGAAGACGTCGTACGGGATGGTAACTGCGCGTATTTGGAATCTTCTTCGCGATAATCATTGTTAGATGTGTCGGTTGTTGGTTGAAATGCGTTGGCGAATGATGTCGACGAACGATCGATGAAGTACGAGGTGTTTGTAGTGGAATCGAGATTATCATTATCATCGTCGTCGGTGTCGAGAACGATGAATTCAGGTGGAGATTTAGATTCAACAGAAGCACTGTTGGAAAGAACAATGGGTGATGAAGATGAATTGCCTTTAACCGGTTTTACGTACGAAGTTTCGATGATTTCTTCTAAAAACAAAAAATAAACATTCTCTCTAATTTTCAATTCATGCTGCCCAAATTTCTCAGAAAGTCTCGCCTTACCATTCTCAGATTTAACAGCAATTTCTTTGGTAATTTTGTTAGTTTTCGTTAAATTAAAAGCATGATAACCATTATCAGTTTTCGTTTTTGTTGAATTCAATTTCTTCTTATCGCTGGCATTCCTCTGAATATCTTTCCTATATCGTCGCTGAAAATCAGCATAATACTTCGGATTAATGTATTCTCTGGGCAATTCCATTTTGCATTTCAACCATTCTGTATGCGAATCGCTCGTACGTTGATAGAATTCACGAATGAGAATTGCTCGAACGTTTTCGATTGTTGTACGAGGATGAACATGACCAATAATTGATTCATGGGCGACTGTCGGCAGTTGTGCTCTAAAAGTTCGACGATGTTGTCGAAGATCTCGGTAAAATTGGCAAATACGTACTCTACTGAAACATCGTCGTCATCGTTTAGTTCATCTGAACTGGAAAGTGTGATATCCGCTTCAGATGTTGCTTGTTTTCTATTTGGAGCGAAGAGATCAGAATGAAATGAGGTGTGTTAATCGAATGTTTTACTTTGAACTTGAAAGTGGAATAAAATCACCTAATGGTTGAGCGGCATCATTATTTGACAAAGTATTCGTTTTCTTTGATTCACTTCTAGTTACACAAAAGATAAATCGAGTGTTTTCTTTTGGTGGAAAAGATTTTACTTGTCGGCTTCAGATTGTTCATTACTTGATTGAGCATATTTGGAAGGGAATAATCGTTTAAATATAAGATCACGTTTTGTTTGGTAATTTGAAGTTTTTTCGTCGTGCTCTTCGTCGAAATAGATGTGACCATTCGACTGTTTAGGAGTTTCAGTTCGTTCAAAATAACGTGTATAGACCGTTGGCGTATATTCCGATTTTCGGCCTTGATAATTCGACATTTACTGGACAACTACAAATTGATTTGAATTTGAGAAAAAAACTTGCTTAATACTTCCACTTCTATCTCACTGGACAAGAATATCGACGAATGGAAACTCATCTTGAAAAAACTCGACTTTTTCTTATTGAAAAATTCTATTGAATTCGGAGAATAACCGATGATTTATTCATAAATTTCCCAACAAATAAATATTGGTGTACAATTGACATCGAAAGTGGCGCTCGTATCATCTTGTTTATCATGTTGTCAATATATAATTTGAGGCATCTGCTGTTCTGCTAATAATATTTCTATCTTAAAAGATTCATCTGATTGATCATTAGATTACAAACCAAAATGCCCATCAATGAAATAATATCATCAGGAAAGAATAAATTAGGTTTAACACTACCGGAAGTACCGAAAGATCCCAGTGAACAGAATCATATTGAAAATGGGTAAGAATCACGGGTGATTCATGATTGAAATTGACGTTCTTTTGGCTTTAGTATTCCGGATGTTTGCATTGAACGTTTACAAGAAGAATTCAATCAACTGGATTGCACTGACAAGCAAAAAGATCGAATGGAAGAGTTTTTCAAATCAAAACGTGCTGTGGGAGAATTAAAACAAGATGATCTCGTGAATATATGTGAACTAGGACAAGGAAATGGCGGAGTTGTTTGGAAAGTTCGGCATAAACCAACAGAGAAGATCATGGCAAGAAAAGTATGAGAGAAACAAGTTATGAAATGGCTCATTACTATGAATATTCGTCTCGTATTGTAGTTGATCTATTTGGAAGTGAAACCGGCTTTAAAAACGCAAATTATTCGTGAATTAAAAGTATAACATGATCTTCATCGTGAAAAACAGCGTGTTCAACGCATTGTCTTTAGGTTCTTCATCAATGCAATTCTCCGTACATTGTCGGTTTCTATGGCGCATTCGCTGTGGAAGCACAAATTAGTATCTGTATGGAGTATATGGTAAGTAGAAAACAAACATCTCATACTGAAAAAATCGCGGAAATAGATTTTGAAGTTTTTTGTTCTAAGTAAACAAGTTTATCGGTATCTATTAGTTAATTATACGTGAAATTGCGTTTCAACATATGTAAAATTAACGTTTAAAAGTCTCAATTATGCGCTTAATTAACTTTTCGATTGACAAATTTGACGATTTTTTTCTTAGGACGGAGGATCACTTGATCTGATATTGAAAAAAGTCATGCGTATACCTGAACATATTCTCGGTAAAATAACTGTTGCTGTAAGTCAATCGAAATGTCATCTAATCGAATGAATCGAATTCATCTTTCAAAAGGTTCTCCGTGGTCTCAGCTATTTACGTGAACGTCATCGAATCATGCACCGAGGTACACATTCATTCGATGAATATTTATTCTTGTTAATTCATTCATAATATTTAGATATCAAACCATCAAATATTCTTGTCAATCATCAAGGTAAAATTCATTTTCAAGTACATTCACTCCATTGAAGAACATGATTCATCTCTCCTAGGTGAAATCAAACTATGTGATTTTGGTGTAAGTGCACAATTGATTGATTCAACCTTACATACATTTATTGGCACTCGTTCATACATGTCGGTAAGAGAACTTTACATTCTTCAAATCTTATCAGACAATAACGTTCTTTCTTCAAAGCCGGAGAGACTTGAAGGTGCACATTATGGAGTAATGAGTGACATATGGTCTCTGGGTCTGTCGCTCGTGGAAATGGCTGTTGGTCGGTACCCGATTCCACCACCGTCAAGTCAAGACATTGATGATTTATTCAAAGAGGATCCACATGGTAATCGACCTCGGCCTGAAGGTAAGTTGTCATTGAATATTTGAATCTGAGTCAAATGTCGTAATATCACATTTAGGATACGGCTGTCATAAAGGTTTAGCAATATTTGAATTGATGGAATGGATTGTTAATGAAACGCCACCGAATCTATGTCGATCACATTTCTCGGCGGAATTCTGTGATTTTGTCGATCGCTGGTAACGAAACATTTGTTTGATCTTTGAATTTTCATCTGAAGTTAAAAATTTTCAGTTTGAAGAAAAGTACAACTGAACGCGCTGATTTAAATACTCTTTTAGTAAGTTAATTTTGACATCTCCTTCAAACTCAGTCTATCCTCTTGCTTTCTCAATTCAGCATCATTCGTTCTACAAACGATACGAAACCGAAAGTGATAATCAAGATGTTTCATCTTGGATTCGACAAGTTTGTCGTATGGATACCGATGGCACCAATGATACAAATAACCGAATGAAGTGAAATGAAACTGCGAAAGAAGAATCAAGTCAGATGTCCATTGATCTCGTCTATTTTATTAATCTCATGTTGTGCGTGTGTCGTTCTAACAATATCTATCACTGGACATTGTCCATTCAGTATTTTATTCAAGATGAAAAACACAAAACTGACTATTCGTGCTCTCTTTATGTGCATTGTTGTGTTGAACAAAGAATGAAACTTTTCGTCTTCGTGCAATCATCTCTCGACAAGAAAATGAATGAATAACGAATCTCATGTTCGATAGTCATTCGACTAGTCGTTTTTCTACTTCTTACTATCTTTCTTTCTCTCTCCCTCTATCGCGCGCCCGCGGTTTTTTATCGTTGTCATTGTCATGCATTTTTAAATATAGAACATCTCTCGGAAACAGTAGCTGCTTTTTAGTTTTGTCTCATTCAATGATGCAATCGTTAATTGAATCAACCGGAAGGGAAAAGTGATCGCCAGTTTAATGCTAATCGCGAATTATGGTGTGGCCCACTCACAATCATTTGACGAAATGAATATTTGTTTTATTAGATTAATAGAAGAACGTGATATGTCAAGAGTTATTGGCATAATTAAAAATATTTTTGACAGGCTAAACGGCGAGCAATTTGTCATTGTCTTGAAAACAATGAGATACTTGATTGTTCTTTTTTTTTATACAATAGATATGTTTATTTTCTTTCGTGAGAGTAGTCGATGACGAAAAACTGAGAAAACAAACATACATATTAATACTGAAAAAAATGTTCTTCGATGGATCACGGACGGAGAGAGAGAGAGAGAATTAGAGAAAAGATGAACAAATTGCGAGTATAGAGCTTTGTTTCATTATACAAATGAATAGAAAGTTAAAAGAAGTGAATAATATAAATATGGTGAGAGTCTTCGTGAATCATTGGATAGCTCATCTGTTTCTTGTGAGAAAAAGTCTAAAGAAATAATCAATAAAGTTTTGTAGTGATTCTATTGGAAAAGATCACTTACGAACTGTACTAGTGGATTGATATTCATCTGCACTGTATTGTTTTGGGAGAATTGTTGTAGGGATTCTTGTTGAAAGGGATGTATGACGATGTTTTTTCGAAACTATATGATGATGCTGATTTTGAATGACGGTGATCGATTTTTCATTTTGTCCGTGACGATTCTTCGCACGACAGATAAATTTTGAGTTGAAAAATCGCTTTGGTATATGCTAAAGTAAGTTACGTCGGATTCATTTGATAGAATACATTGACACTATTGTCTTACTTTGATAAAAAGAATAGTTTTCCATCGAGTGGAATTGATTTTTTCTTGAGTAATTGACCAAATCGGCCCATCTCGTCTTCTATTATTATAAAATCCTTGATTATATTGCCGAGAGAGATCCATTTCTTGATTAATATCATCGCTGAATCTGTGTAACCACCGTATATCCGGTTCCGGATTAGCATCAATCAAACATTCAAACGTAATTGTATCACCAATTGAATGAAATGATTTTACTTTTGAACTATACACATCAGGAGGAACTAATAAGACAATGGGTATCATTAGACGCTTGTTTTGTTCTCAGTACAACTTACATTGAACATCTAGAGTATAAAATCGTCCAATGGTACCGATCGAATTCGTTGCGACACACTCGTAGACGCCGCGATGCCAACGATTAACGTCGAGGAGATTCAATTGACAGGTGGTAGGCGTAGTTGTACAATTGATCATCGTTTTGGGCTGATCGTCTGATGAAAAGAAGAGCAAACAAAAGAAATGAATGAAAGATTCTTATTGTTTTTAATCTTTACCATCGATCTTTTTTATCCAACTGACAAATGGACTGGGCTTGCCTTGTGCTTCGCATGCAATAGACACATTTTTTCCGATTTGCGTACGCAATAATGTTGTATATTCATGTGTTGTAAAGTAGGGTCGTTCTAATCAAATAAAAAGAAGGAACAAGGATATTTAGTGTCCACTTGAGAAACAAAACGTAAATGCTGACCCAGTGTTCATTAGTACTGAACAATGGACAACAGGACTTTGATGAGTAATCATCGTCTCATTTTAATTCCTTTTCTTCTCTATTGGAATCTTTGGAAAGAGTGGAAGAGAAAGGGAGAGAATCGGATGATGTAATTCAGTGTTATCAAATGTAAGATATGGATGTATGTCATAAACGGATGATGATCAACATACTTACCAACAATATTCAAAAGAAATAGTTTGAGAATTCTGTTATCTTCTTGACATGAATATGTCCCGCCATCATCTAAACGTACATCATCAATTGTCAATGAATATGTCATTATTTCGTATGATGTTCCATTATTAATATGTAGGATAGGACGTTGCTCGATTTGAAAACGTTGATCGGAATTGATTCGACTTGTTGAATAGAAAAACACTTCGGCATCTTCTAAACGGAGCCATAGACCCTGAATGAACGAAACAAAAAGAAACACATAGGGATCATTAAGTTTGATTATAATCAAATGAAAAGTTCCTTCTTTTTTTTTCTATTTCATTTCATTTCATTCGTCTCTCCTCAAATGTCAATGATCATTAGACGTTTGACGACAGGTGAAGAAAAAAAAGAAGAATGTCAATCATAATTGAACTTACTTTCATATTCCCAGATATTGTTAAATTACTCAGTTCACATTCCATTCGAACCCGTTTGCCCACGTTGACATTAATGTGCTCGCGAGATATCTGCGGATCATCCTGAAAACTCGCTGTCATTGTGTGCAAAACGGTTAAAATGAATGTCGTCATTAGACGACGGATAATCATCTCATCAATATGTAGAAAAATGATCGTACATCTAGAAAATAAAAAGTGCGATATGTGTGTGATGAAGGGAAAAGAAAAAGACTTAAGCTTGTCTATCTATTCACGCATGTTTGCGTACATAGATACATGTATATATGAATGAATGTTGAATAGCCAGAAGCGAATTCTAACACCTTACACACGCTATGCTACCGTTGATGGTTGCAACTACTTCCTTTTACTTGTATTTCTTTTCTCGTGTCATACTACTTCACCTTAGCTTCTTATATATATATATATTAGACCCTATGGGTTTCATGCATGTGTCTACATACATGGAAGATTAGTTGTCTTAGGTCTCTATTACTTTTAACCTTGAATACATCGGAACAGAAAGTAAGAACATTGTATGTCTTTGTCATGACATGATCAAAATGGATGAATGAACTCATTTTTTTCCAATTTTCATCTCCTATCAGTTTGTAGATGCGATGGTCAGTTGATGTATGTATATTATGCTTGATCTCCACCCATTTCTCGTCGATCATCAACAGTTAATGTACATCGACGCACGCGCTCATACGATATAAACATTAATATTAAAAAAATGAGAAGATGAGAGATCTCGAAGTGAAGATCGATGAGCAGGTAGACAAAATAGAGTAAAGGACAGATTGAACAAAAGATATCAACTCACTTATATCTATCAAAGACTGACGTTTCTGATGATCTGCTTTCGGGAGTACATCAGCAATGAACGGTTCATCTGACATAAACACAGTTAGAAGAAGAAATAAAATCACCTTCCTTTTCTTCGTCCACTTTCTCTTCGATATATTTTATGAGAAACAGAGCACGAGAGAGACAGAGAGAACAGCGACATAAGAGCACAAGAAAGAGGAAGAGAGAGAGAGGAAAGCAGACAGACAGTCAAATAATTGGCTCATTGTTATCATTTGCTTCATCATCTTTTCCTCTCTTCACTAGCTGCAACGCTAATGAACTGTAAATTGATGAGTCAGACGTTGATGATGATGCACTGACTTGATTTCTTTATATACACATACATATTACACAGAAATTAGTACCTGATGTACAGTGCAATAGTAACACCTAACTTCTTTATTGTTTTAATCAAGGATGTCAATGTCAGTCGAAAGAATAGCCAAGTGGTCACTATTCACCCACCATAAACTGAACGAGAACACATAGATATGCATACATATGAACAATGCTTCTACTCACTTCCCGCACGTATTAATCCTTCAAATTCGATGATTATGCAAGCAGTCTCTCTTCTATCCTTAGATGTCCTTATGGTTTTTTTTTCGCTCGCTCGCTTATGCGATGAATTACCAATACTACTACTACTTACATACTATTGTGAGAGTAAGGCATGAGCGAATCTCCCTGTTGAATAAAAATGAGCAGAGAATAAAACAAAAAGAAGAAGAAGAAGAAAGATGAAAAATAATTATTGATTAGTGATGTGAGTCAATTTCTTTCTCTTCTTCTCGCGTAGATCAATTGAATTTCCATCTTTTCCTTGAATGAAGAAGAAAAACGCAACGATTATATGATGAACTTTGTGTACCATTCTAGATTCTTTACTCTCTATGTATTTCTATATGTTCATGTAAGCATATGAATGAACATAATACAAAAGAAAAGAAAAAGACACCGACCAGTACGTTAATGTCGATCCCTAAAACTCCTATGTACACAGAAGTATATTACCATTGAATTCTTTCTTTCTTTTTTTTCTAAGATGGTATATGATATCTTTTCTTTTTTAATATCGATCAATCACATGATATGTATTTATGTATATTTGTTCACTGCTGGCCTACTAATTTAGTCAAAAAAGTCTAAACGAGCTGTTGCGCTTCTATTCCACTTGACAGTGGCCTCGAGCGTCCACACACACATCCTACCGACACTTGTTTGGCGATGATGATAACGAGCTCGTGTCAAGAATATTGGAAAGAAGAGCTAAAATGCTTGAATGGAAGGCTAATTGGACGTATATAGTTGCTCTCTACTAACTATTGTTGATGAGAAAAGAAGAACTCCCTTTTTCTTTCTTCTTCTTCATCATCATCATCATCATCTCATCTATACATATCTGAACCAATTCGTCATCACTTGATTTATCATTGCTCAAGTAAAAGAGTAGAGATTGATCTAAAAATGAATCGTTCATGAGAAAGAGAAGACAATATAATGGAGAAAACATGTCGAACTGATATTGCGTAGCTCTTATTTTATAGTCTGTCAGACTATCTAATTTCCTTTCTGTCCATTCGACGTTCATTTATATCAATCGGCTGACTATTTAGGCACAAAATCAAAGACACAGAATATCCATAGTGATGTATTTTGATGGCCATGATCAATTAGAGTATTAGCGAAAGGTAAATGATGTCGAATGACGATGATCGAAACGTACAGCTCACATACGGCTATGATTTGAACAAGAATATTTTTTCTCGACTTGACCACATGCCGCACACGTATAAACTCAGCGTGGTCTCTCCTCAATTGACGACTTCCCACAAGGATCGTCTCTTCTTCTTCATCTTTTATTTGCAAGTTATTTAGACAAAGAACAAGCTAATCATCATTCCGACGTTTCCCGACACACAACTGTTCGATCCATCTGTACATTGATTCCATGTTTGTCGATACGTGTGTGTTATTTTTCATTTTCTTTCAACAATAACATATCTACAATCTCATAGAAATCAAAATCGGCTTTTCTTGTCCTGAAAGCTAATTGCTCTCTTCATTAATCCAGTATTTGTTCTGTTTTCCTTCAAATTATCATGAAGAATTACATAGCTATTACTTGAATATTCTTATTCAAAAGAGAAACATCCGGCACTTGTCGTCGTCAGTTTCTCTCTGTCACGCTAAATCATGCATGCAAGTGACGGCTGTGTGCATGTTCATCGATGATAAAAGTCAGAACACGATTTGCAGTGCTATTGGGATTGCGAAAAGTGATTATATAACCATCTCTGCATCATATTAACTGTGAAGTTTGTTTCACAATTTCCCTCTGCGTATTGTCTTTGTTTCAAGAAGATTAAATATGACTACAATTGTATATTTTATTCGATTTCTTTTCTTGATTAGCTCAATGCATGACGATAATTGTCGGCAAATCTCAGATTACAATCATTTTTATTTCAAACAAGAGGATCAAGAAGAAAATGAAGTTTAAATCAAAGAAAGATAAATCTAATCGAAAAGAAAACAATAGGTGACACTAGTTGATATAACAAATATTTCTGTTCTCCTCTTCTCTTTCTTTTTCGTCATCATCACTTGTATATATGCCGTTTTACCCACTATCGAATCAAATTCAATTGAAAGATGTTTTTTTTGTTTATTTATTTTTTGTCTGAAGAAGTCTCATAAAGTAAATTTCTATCTCTTCCTTCAGTTTATCATCCAATGTGTGCAGCCCTTTCACCTACACCACCTGATTCATCAACAAGTTCTTCGATATCCAATTGTGGTAATGCGAAAAAAGCTTTTGAAGTTTGTCTCGTCTATCTCGTATTTAACTTTTCGAAGATCATCAAACAATTCATGAGGAAAATGGTTCAATCGAGTCAACAGATAAACTTCCTCAAACGACATTTCTTCGTTCATTTGAAACTGAATTAGACAAAGTTGATGAGTATTTTCAAACGAAAGCACCTGATGTTCGCCAAGCGGTTCTCACCAGTCTACAAGGAATGTATCATCAAAACGAATGGCCCGATAATCCACTAACAATCATTTGTCGTGATTTGGATATTCATGTAAGACGTTGCTGTTTTCCTTTTCGTCAAATCATTCTTCGTCTTTCAGGTTCCTACGTCTGAACAATTAAGTGAATTAAAGGCCACGCGCGATGCGTTGAAAGCAGAATATGATAGTTTACGTCAGTCAGTGAACACTTGATTTTGTCGGATAATTTATTAATTTTCTTTGCTTTTGTTTTCTCGAAATATTCACCGATCATTGCTCACTTCTAGTCGATAAAGTTCGATCTGAAAAAGAAAGAGATCCAATCGATTTTTGTGTCTTTAAATTTTTTCTCATTGCGCTCTAACGTCTTCTTTTTTTTGTGTATTCAATTGCTCAGGAACTTGTCATTCGTGTTGATTTGCTTACGTATGTGTGTGTATATATTATACATATACTTTTTCTTGATCATTTCTTTGACTTTTCTTTTCTTCTCTTTTCCATGAACAAAACTAGACTTACGAGATAAAGCATCAAAATTCATTTCAGATCTAATGGCGACTCGAGCAAAGGTCGATGAGACAGATTTCAACAGCAAAGAATTCGAAAAGAATTATCGATTACTATCGGAAAGTCAAAAGCAATGGGACTTAAGAAAGAAATTCCTCGAAAGATATTGGGATCAATATGACGAAGATCGTCTATTATGTTTAGCTCGTTAGTAATCATTCCATGATTGGAATTCTCTCTGATTGACTGTTGTTTTTCTTTCAGAATGTTATGTGAATATGCGATGTTTAGGGTGTAAATATTCCAAGTCATTGGATTCATTAGTGGAAGAGTTGGCGAAAGAAATTGAATAGGATTTTTATTGTTCAGATTTCTTAGTCGAAATGTAAACATGTGTTGTTATTTGAATATAAAACTTGTATCAGATTTTCACTGGCATTTCTCAACAGTTTCATATTTGCTTCGATTGCTTCGGGGGATTCAAGCGGTTAATAAATGATGTAGCCCACTGTTTTGATTGGGGAATGTTTGGATAGTTGCATTGATCACTGTTTTCGTACCAATCAAGAATAAATGCTTTTGAAAGACATTTATGATCGAGGAACTGATGGAAGAGATTACTCATGATTTGTCCTAGAGAAAATTTCGAGGAACTATTTGAATCACATGAAACTGATGGACCTACCTGATCGAATTTCATCATAATTACATGAGTGAATATATACAAGGATTGCAGCGATGATAACTCGTTGAGAGTCTTGATTAGTTATGTGGTTCTTTATTGTAAAAATATGATAGGATAAAACACGTTCGTTGAAAACTTTTGGTGAGCTTTTCGAATGCCATGCTTCGAGGAAAGATAGAAGGACACACATGAAGTTATTCAAATAAACTGTCGGATTGGGACACTGAAAGAAACAGAAGTGAGGCGGCTGTTTGATGAGGTTTATTTACGTTCTTAAGGAAGTTATTTATGGACTGATCATGTGAACCGGATACGTTTAAAAAGAAATCGATAAATTTTTGGCATGGTTGAACAGGAAGATGCTGAAGGTCAATCGGTGAATCGATGGAAGGAGATTGTGCTGATGATACGACATTAGAAGCGATTGTTTGGTTACATTCAGATTGTGGTTGAACCAACGGTACAAAAGCTAAATTATAGAAACAAAACTTGTCTTCTTTCCGAAAATATGAATGTCCTTTCCTACTTAACCAGGAATAATTGAGCAAATTTTACATACCCGATGAATTTACCGATGTACATCGAATATGTTCATCAATGGAGGGATGATTTTGTGCTAATGAACGAACATCCCTGATCTGGTGCCGGTAGATGTTGCCCAGATGAATCCGCCAAATTCCATTCCAGTTTTCTACATTCGTGTTTTAATTCCACAAGAACTTGTTCAATAGTTTCAACCATTTGACGGCTTGCGTTTGTTTGGATTTGCATCTGTTCCAAAGGATTTCGAGCATTCTTAGTAAGTCGTGATGTCAACTTATTCTCAAGACCAATTAGATAATCTTGTTTTGCGTCGATTACTTGAATCTTTTTCGCATATTGATCTTCAATTTGATTGATTTCTTTCTGTCGCCAGACATCAAGCGCAGCAACAGCTTCACTATGTTTTACTTGAATTTCTTTGGAAGAATTATTTAAATGCTCTGCTACTTCACTTATCTGTCGACATAATTCATCAGCTTCTCCCAGAAGAACTACTCCATGTGCGACGATATGTGAATTGCACAGACGGCGATTACAATGGAGACAAATAGCCGACGGTAACATAGTGCACGAGGTTTCTTCACAGGTAACCATGATTCATCAATGTATAACAACGCGTTTTGAAGAAAATTAAATGACTTAACCGTTCTTCGCACCATTATTTATTCTCTTTTTCCTCTCGTCTGACTCACCATATCACTGCGTGAAAAAAAAACTACGCAGTTAAGCGAAATTCAACAAGACGGCAGATATTTATTGTTATTTCAACAGTTTTGAAAGTAATAAATTCTATAGACTAAGCTGTTAAATGTTCTCATTCGTGTCTTCAAAGGCAAATGTGTCCAAAGCATAGCTATACTATTCAGATTTATGCAGCCAAGATGAAACAAAATTTCTATCCTCCTAAGTTGGTGAATGCCAGATACATTTGTATTCATTTAGACTTTATGCATGTCACAACTATGTGAGATTTCCGTCTGTCTTCGTATACTATCGCTGAAGACTTCAGATACCGATTGCGACTTAATAGAATGTGGAATGAATACTCGCACAGAACAACCTTTGTATATTCAATCTTGTGTAAATCTAACTAAGAATTTTCTAGCTCAGAAGTATTGATGTAAGATTAGTTTCATGTATCGACCAACGGGAACATAAGTCAATAAATAAATATGAGTACTACTGAGTAACCCCAGTGAGTGCGTTGATCTCAAGAAAAGAGTACACATAGGAAGAAATGTTAAAACAGATTTTTTCGTAAGAAAAGCAACAATCATGAAATGATTAATAACAAATACTCATTTTAAGGTCCTTTCTTTTGCAAATAATTCGGATCATTTTCATGTCCATGTCCATAGGAATGCGACCAATATGTAATACCATAAATCGGTTGAACAATTACTTTACATTGCATCTCGTTAAATGTCGGTCGTTCTGCTGAGCACACATCTGTCCCGATTCCATTCATCCAGTCATATGCATTCATTAATTTCGGCCCAAGAAATGTTATACCTGCCGCATCCAATGTTGCATTTGAAGTTCGACTTCGTTCGTCTCCTAACAATTGATCCAGTGGTTTGTCAGTATACTGATTCGATTGAATATAAAACATTAAACCTTCGAAGAGTGATTGTGGTCCAGTGAAAAACTCTGCTTTCCCATTCCAAAATTCATTTCGTTCTTTATCTGTTACACGAGACCATAGTAACATTATTCGATGTAAAACATAAGTCCACATGGGATGAGCAGGTTTTGAAGCCATCCAAGAGTTCGGTACGCTATTCTTAGTTTGAAACGAATAGTTAATCAATGAAAGAACAACCGATTTGTTTCGAAATAAATGATCCACCCGTTGAATCGATTCATAATCTAAATCCATCTAAATAAAAATGAAACAAATAGAAACAGTATCAATCAACAAGTATTTCGCTCTTATCGTAGTCAAACAAATCATCTTACATAGAGTCCGCCGTAGTAAAACATATACAAATAGCGTACACTATCCGCTCGAAGAATAGCAGGTGATAATTGTTTGTAAGTCGGATAAAACCATGGAAATTTCGTTCGGACAAATTCTTCATTTTCTTCATCAGTCCACAGATGATATCGCCAGTCTGTGTATTGTTCACACCACGTTCGACTCCATTGTGCTTGTCGTTCTCGTAGTGTTCGGTTTTTCCATGTTTGATGGATAATTTTCGGAATGTCTTTCCATACTTGAGAATGAAACCATTGATTCAATTCTTCGATTGTTACATGTTTACAACTCGATGATGATAAAGGTAAAGTTTCAATTCGATTTTCTAATGAAGACGGACGTTGAATAATGTAAATAACTGTAATTAGTATGCAAACACCGAAGCCGATGAAAAGAAATTTTTTATAACCTCCTAAAATACCAAAATTAACGAATGAAATCTTTTTTTTATACAAAACAACAGATATTTACGATTGTCAAGCATATTGTTAGAGTCCATTATTTAGAAAAAAAATCTTCTTTCTTGTTCTTATCTTACAAGTAGGCGTTCGATTTTTAGACAAATATAATTTTTTTGATAATGAAAGTCAACGAACACATGCCGTTTTTTTTTTCTTGTAGTTTCACTTATCTTTGATCAAAATTATGATACATAAAACAGGATGAAATAAGGCAATATTTCATTGTTCCGACTCGCTTCGTTTCGGTTTTTAAGATCGCCTACTACGAGCGTGCCATTACTCTATTGAGAACCCAATGTAATTTGCCGATATTAACCAACTGGAATGCCTGAGGCTTTGAATAATTTATAATAAAAATTCTAGTTTCATAACACGGTAATAAAGTATATGAATAAACAAGAGAAAAGAAGCTAAACTTAGTAAATGATACAACTACTGAATTGACATGTTTACTGTTTTGCTTGCAATGTATTTATGGACAAATATATTCGGCAGTGCATAACTTTGATCAACCGGTTATCAAAGTTCCATTCAGATGTTCTTTACAGCAGCACTCGTCGCGTCTCTGCATTTGACGCATTAAAATATCGATTATTATCAGTATAGATATGTCTGAAAACAATTGCATATATTGATGTATCAATTTGTAAATCCTACGATGTAGCACTATTCAGTGAGGTTTATATTTCTACAGACTCACGAGGATCATATTAATGATAACTCTGCAGCATTTGGGCTAAAGCGCGCGTATATCAAAATAAGTTAAAGAGTCATGTTTCGCCTCTGGTTGTTTCGGCTAATAACGAAACGAGGCGAAATGCTCCGATGAAACTTTGCTTCGTTTCAGGTGTTGACATACAAGTTTATTCATTTCTTCAATGAAAACTAATTCTATTATATAGAACTCAATCATGTTGTAAGATCTTCATGAAGGTTAATTGGATCAATAACGTTCGCCCGACAGATTCATCATTGTGCGAAGGTTAAACTCCGACTAGTCTAATGTTATCTCTGCATAATCATTTGTTGAAATCAACATTCGAAGAACGATTGTATGGTATTAATGCGTTGATATGTGGGCTATTTTTTTTTTGACATATGGCCGACGAGGAATAGAAAGCCAATTGGTTCTCCAGATAGGAAAATCTTAGAAGAAAAGATTTTCGAGCACATATTAGATTTCGTTGACATTATCTCAATTAAATCTGGTATGCAAACTATTCCGAAGGAAGTCGACGAGGTTAAGTTCCACGATTGATCATAATCAATCAATTGTAGGTCATTTGATAGAGACATTACGATTTTTGTTTTATTCAATGTTCTATTTGCATATGTTATCAAAAGAAAAAGAAAGACAGCCTTGATTTCTTTCTCGATTAAATCACAGGAGACATAATTATGATCAAAAAACGCTTTTTATCTCTGGTGATCCAGATTGAATTTCATAGGCGATTATTCCCTGTACTTTCTATAGCAAAAGGAATGATCAATGCGTGACAAATATCGAATGAAATCACAGTTTCAGTCTTACGAAGAACACATCAAATTCCAATCGAGATGATATCGTATCCAAGAACATAACGAAGGAATTTCTTCTTATTTTATCTAAATTATTCTTTCTTTCAAGTAATATTAACTGTTGCTTTATCTCCTGAGGAAAATCTCACTCACTGAATATCGAATTTCCACTCATATCTTCCTGTTTGTTTGCATTTTCTATTGCTCATCATTTCGAACACACCCGACATTCTACACATATCTTTTATTCAAATTGAAAATAAAACAAAGAACAAAAAAATGAAAAGGTTTCTCATACGTGTTGCTTTCTTTTTTTCTCTCTCTCTCCCTCTTTCATTAAATCAAATTCTTAGGAAACATCTCGAGAGATATTTGTATACACATATTCATATGTATACTATCGTATATTTATATACACACAGAGACAAGCAGAAGTCAAATATTATATATAGAAGCACCGCCAAAAAAAAAAGAAAAGGAAAGAGAGAAACAGCAATGCACACACATATTGTATCTCTATATATAAATATTTCTTTGTATATTACCCAAAATACGCGAGGAGTTTATTCATTGAATGGTGAGATAATGTCGGAAAGATAAGGATTGTTCATAACACCATCGATAAATTCATCTTTGGTTAATGATCGATCATTGTTAACATCAATTAATGAAAACACGTCTTCAACGCAACGCTCAGGTGGATAATCAACTTTGGATTTGCCTAAGAGATCATACATAGCCGAAATAACTCGTACCATTTCTTTTCTATCAATCGAGTTNTCTTTGACAACGCGTATATCAGGTTGATGGACTAACATGATTTGTGTTTTTCTTTTTTTTTTCTCATTATGATAGAATGAATCTTTCTCTATACTTATCCTCTACTGTGATGGGATACTAATGTAATTTGTATTTGTTCGTATTATTCTGAGAATGGTACTTAATGTATAATTCTTTCCATGCAATATGTGTTTGATCGAAATGAACTCGATCGTTAAAACATTCTTCGCCACTGCTTTCTCTCTCTCTCTCTCTCTCTCGCGTCTAAATCAACATGAAATATATATTTCTCTACTAAATCTCTCCATATCTCATGGGATCATTTTTCTCATCAGCAGATTTCATTTGATTTCTCTCCACTTTTTTTTCTATTGGAGTGCGCTACAAACTTTCAACAAGTACTGATTATCTATCTCAAGAGCCTTTTGTTTTTATTATTTTGTGATTTTAAAACGAAATGACAATTGGGAACAGTGTGTTCGCAGAAATCAACATTCAGATGAATTTTAAGTAGCGTTACTCGAAAGCAGACGACCAGCATAAATTCTCTCGATTGAAGGAAAAAAGTCAATCAGTGTTATTTTAATTCTCAACAGATAGAAGACAGAACAAAGAAATGCGAATAACATTCGAGAAACGAGGAGAAAAGCCATGCATAAGTTCGGATCATCCAAGCAAACTGATTCTTGATAACAGCAGCGTCAAAGAATCATTGACAGATGGATAGACGTACAACAGACGATCTTAATTTTCTTACGCGACTTATTTTCTTTCTTTTATACGATCCAAGGACTAGTTAATAAATGGATAGATATTCTTTCTACTATATTCGTTTGTTCGTTATATAAACATTATTTTTCTTCTTTATTTCTTTGTTTTCTTTGATCTTATCCTCTCGTTTTTCTTTCACGGACAGATTTTTTTCGTTAACACAGCAGTTTTCTGGCGTCGGCCTATGTTCTCTTGCAATGTATTCATCTATTTTGTTCTCGAACACAGCGACCGATCATACAATGTATGTTAATGTTGTTGATACTGCTGATTCGTTTGTTTATTTATTTTTACTTGCTATTCTAAACCATTTATATGTCACGCTCATTGCTCGTCAATTACAATGACTATATCGATCGTATGGAGATAGAAAGATTAAATCATCAAATGAGATACTTTCTTTTTTTTGTGTGTGTCGCTGACATATGCTGACAAAGGAAATCGATTGAAGACGAACATCAAATCGTCTAATATGAATTGGCAATTGGTTGAGAATTGCTGATTGCTGCTTATCAGAAGATCTTTTCTAATATATTTATGTCAAAAGCAATGATCAATTTATGTCATCAGAGATGTTAAACGACGATTAATGAAGATACCAAGGAAGAATATCAGTCGAGTTGCTTTTGCTTTAACATTATCAAACGAGACAATTACTCTCAGTCAATTCTCAAATCATCTTATCAGCTTTTCTAGTTGATTAGTTATTTTATTACGCAGAAAAATACTATGTACTGTTTCTACTCGCGGAAAATCATTCGAAAGATGAAATCAGCGCATCGACGCAATCTCATCGAAAGAATCAATTTGTAACTGAAAGAAAAAGGGGAACTTATGATTCACGATCTAATATTACGAAAATAGTACCGACAAATTTTTCTTCTTGTCGAATCAACGAAATGAATGATAAGCTTATACACGTTATGTCAACAAGAGATATAAATGTATGTAAAAATAAATCGACAAACACGAAAATAACTGACTTTTGTGACGAAACTATGTTTGTTACCGGAAAGAACGGATCGAGATGTATAAACAATGAGTGAACGAGTGTTTATTTCATGTCTCGACGATGTTCGAATGAACAATTAGAAGAAGTACGGACAAACGAGGAGAAAAAAAGCATTAGTCAGTGATTGCGAGTCTTTCGATGACGAAAGTTACGGTTTCTGTCCTCCTATTCTACTTACCTTATCTGGTTATTGCACGAATTGGTGAGTGAATAATGATCAAAAATAAGATTCTATCTAAAACAGAATTTCAATATTAGGACATTCGAAACAAAGTCACTGCTTGGATGAAATCAAAAGTGGCACACTAGCACTCGGATGTCCGAATAATCAATTGATTAAACTCGGACGGATATTTTATGGTTATTCGTGGTCGAATGAATGCTCCTTTGTGGAGAAAGATTGTACGATGGACGTGCCACGCGAAGATATTGTCTGTTTAACAACGACGAATTGTACGATTCGTGTTATTGAACATCCGTTGATATTACAAGACTGTTGGAACTTAGCTGCGTCGTATGTTCAAGCAGAATATGAATGCATAGCAGGTCTGTGGGCGAAAACATTGTTCTAATTCACAATCCAGACAGTATCTGCATATAAATAGATTAAACACAAGAGAAAATTAGTTTGTCTTATGAATAGATAAATAGATTTATGATTATCATAAAGATGACGTGGTTGTTCTTTGTCTGCTTTTAGAATATTCATTGCAAAATGTTTGTCAACCGCAAGATACAACTTTAACATACGGGTTTCTCTCAACGCCTAATTATCCCCATGGGTTTTCTCCGAATCTCAATTGTCCATGTGCATTATTTGCCACTCCGGGCTACGCGATTGTTCTCGAAGTGATCGATTTTCGTTTGCCAACATGCGCCGAAGCTGGTCTCATCCTTTGGCTTGGCCAGGATTTTCAAACGAAATGTTTAACACAAGATCCACTCACTGTTGTTAGTAATGTTCAACAGAATGTCACTCTACGTTTCTATACGTTATCGCACATGAAACACGGTGGTTTTCTAATTAAGTATTCGGTTTTACCTGTTTCGAATAATGCCACAGTTAGGTTGCAATGTTACGTTGCACCAGCTGTGAGTCGTTCACCAATGTCAACGGGTTTTCCGTCGTCAGATCTTTCTCAACAACCTCCCTTACATATTCCAGTAGGAGATAATGGAATGAATGTTGCGATTGATCGTGAAAGTGGAGCTGAAGGAAACGACGAGAGACGAAGAATAGGAGATGAAATGCCGGTTCCATCATTTGTTGCTACTCATTCAAATGATTTAATAAAACGATTTCCATCCGGACACGATGATTCTTCGTCCGTTTTTGGTACACTTGAAGAGCCTAAAGTGTGTAAGAACGTTTGTTAAACATGAAGTATTCAGCTATGTTTGCTCTAGGGTATCATGTCGCTGGCTGGTGTTAATAAACAGCAACAACAGCAGTTTCAAGGGCTCAATCAAACAATCTATAAGCGATGTAAGATATGAATAAACAGGAAAAAAGACGAAGACAAACATTTCGAATATCTGCTTATGAAAAGCGCCTACATCTTTAGATCTATTTCCAAATTCAGCATCGTTTCGTCGCTCGAATATGACTGTGATCGTTATCTGTGTTGTTAGTGCAGTCATTTTTCTTCTGATCATGATCAATGCTCTCATTTGGTTCATTTTCTCGTTGCGGTAAGCACAAACCCGCATATTAGTTCTTCTATACCGCACGCAACTGCATCTCTAACGTCTTATATTATCACTGTTATTATTATATTTGCTGTATGTGTATATATTATATGTATATAGACCAAGCAAGCCCAAACCGACTCCGCCTTTTCGAAATTTCTATCCCCATGCGCCGACATTGAGTAATCAAACAAAAACAACTACTTCAACATATCCGACGCCAATACATCCTCGTCGACATCACTCACAAACATCTCTACGTTTAGATGATTCATCTTTAATGTCAAATCATTTAGTCCGCCAAGACCGAATATTGCCACAAGCAGCAGCAACAAATCGTCTGAAAACTCTTCGTTCGTTACTTTTTCGTGGTCATAAAACTCTTGGAATGAGTCCGATGATCATCAATCGCTCGAACTCGTATAATCGCGATCTGGATTCGACATTATCGGGCTATCATATACGTTCTTTATCACAATCTGTGATTGAATCTCAATTACCAAAACCATATTACGAAGAACAAGAAGATTGTGTAGATCTGAAATCCGAATGCTCAATTTTAACAAATCGTAACCATGGCCTAATGAATCCAATCAAATCAAATCCTCAACCGCGACAAATCAACTCCTGGGATGACATTTAACATCTTTCTTTTTATATTGTCTCTCGCCATTTCTTTCTTCTTGATATTTCTAATGAACACCTAATGTAACGTCACTAGGGAAAAGTGAGTTCAAAACGGCATTCAATTAATGTATGCTCGTTTATCACCGGTGTCGTTGTCATCGTAGTTTCTTCTCTCTCTCCCTCTCTCTCTTTTCTTTGATGTGTACACGTTCGCATATCTACCATGATTAAAATTTACTTTTCCGAGAGATGAAACATCAACATGTCTTCCTCTCTTTCTCTCGCTGGATACATACATAAAGATGTACGAGTCATTGTTGATTCGACTCATCGAATGTTTTTTTTATTGTTTTTGTTCGCTCTCGTATTCATGAGCAAAAAAGTACCGTCTTTGACGTTCTATGTCTTGTGATGATGTTTGAAACGAGAAAAAAATGTAGAAAAAGAAAATGATCGAAGAAAAAAAATCGACCACACGGTTCAATGACATTCCTAGATTCCATGTCCATTTGTCATTTTTAATGGTCTGAACAATAACATTAACATGATGAGTTCATACTATGAGTAAGTATTGCATTGAAGAACGTTTACAAGAAATTGAAAATACTTGTCAGGAAAATGGCTTATTGACTGAAGTTCATAATACTTCTAGGTCGTTATTCAATTCGAATCCACATGTCAATTCGAATCCATTTCTGTTCACACCTCTACTCTATCCATCACCATTAGCACCCTTGCTTCTTCAACCAGAGCCATCGTTTCATTTGTACCAAGAAGTTTTCCTAAGAAATCTTATTGGTCATTATACACAAACGCAGCTACCACCACCCCTACCGTTACCGTCGGTTCTTGTACCATCATCATCAAGATTATCACCTGTATCTCCCGAAAAAGAATCTCAAGTTTCATTCACAAGAAAGAAATTTTCACGTGAAAAATATTCGAAAACTCGCCGCCGACTGTCATGTCCACAGTGCTCATATACAACCAATCGATTGAATAATCTCAAACGACATGTTCAAACCATGCATGAAATTCTTTCGAAACCAATCGATTGTTGCGAGCAACTATTCACTAGTAAAGCACATTTTCGGGCGCATGTTAATATGGAACATCGTTGTGGATATCATTGTGATATTTGTCGACGAACATTCTGTCGGAAAGCACTCTTACGACGCCATCAATCGATTCATTCGGGCCAAAAAGCATTCGTTTGTTCAATATGCTCCTATTCCACAAGTCACAAAGGAAATCTCGACCGACATACACGAATTCACCGACATCACAACGAACATAAGGAACTTTCGGTTTAAATGTTGTTCTATTCGCTTTTTTATATATCATAGAGTCAAAGAACATGTAATTATTTCATTTAGTCATGCTAAATAAATATATATTCGATGTATTTCATACTCTTTTCAATATCACACTTGATTATTGAAGTTATCAGTAGTGAGTTAACACAACCGCCATGTGTGCATCAAAATCATGTCTACCATTCGCTTTTCAAATGTACCTTGATTGGGTACAAAAGAATGTCGCTTACCGATATGTCATGAAAATACACTTGAGTCTATTCTTTACTTGTGCATATTTCGTCGGCGAAAAAAAATGAGGATTCGAGTATAGGAAGCAGGTGACACTATGACGTTGTGAGAACTTTTATCTTCATTACCCACCTGCATATTCGATTCTTTTTGTAGTGAAGTTCCGCGTTAAGAATGTTTTTTTGTATCAATCGGAAAATGCGACTTTTAGCTTTGTTTGGCGAGAATACATGTGCGCCCTCTTTCGACAAAATTCTCCACCAAATAAAATGAGGGTCGACAGAACAAACTCGATGATGTTTTGTTCGCCGTATCAAATGAGTCATTCACTTCAACGTAGCTTGCGTATTTTCTTCTCTTCCGTTCCTTTTCTCGTTTGCTTTCTCCCCTCCCAGTTGCCAACTCGACGAATCAATCTCTCTATTTGCAAACTGACGTGGATGTTTGTCGTGTCTCGATTGGTTTGAAAAATTTATATTCCCAACGTAAAATTTTGTCTTTGTTTTGATTGAAAGTTTGTAGATTTTTCTATCTTATTGACATTTGTTTGGTAGAAAAGGAAAAGAATCGATTATTTAAGTGTTGTGCTCATTCTCCAAAACATTCCTACTACCATTTCGTAAGAATTCAAAAAGGAAACATCGAATGTTGTTTTATTTGCTTCAACTGTAGTCCACAACTGAATGACTCAATGATTTCACGTAATAATTAAGAGCCAAATTAACAATGAGTACGCTTGATATTCCAATAAATGATATCGATTACGAATCTTTATTCGGTGGATTTGATGTTGTTCCGGACAACAATGTAAAGAAAACAAAAACGAATGAATTTGTTTTTCCTTTGCAATTAATTATATGTTTCTGTTGATAGACATCACCAACAACTGAAAATGATAATGACAGTCGAATATCGAACACACCTCCAATGACAGCGGAATTGAATAACAATTTAAGTAAATATGATTGAGTTACCTTCAATTTAAGTATGTCATTTAATTTCTATGATTAGATATTTGGCCTTGGGTTACAGATAGTCCACTTTCTGATGATCCAAATGGTGAACACTATGATATAACTGCGTTGATTGATGAACAAGTACGATTGAAAAGAAGTTTTGATGAATGGAAACTGAAGAATATTATGTATCTATTCTAATTTAGGATTCTATGATGCTTGGCGATAATCTGACAGATTCGGATAGTTCGACATTGGATGATTTACTTGCAGGATTTGATCTACCTGAATCACAAAATTCTGAGACATTGCAACAAATTGTAAGAATGAGTTTTCAATCACAGCAGAATATTCCGATTTGTTTATCTTTCTAATAGTCATTGTTATCACCTTCTTCAATTCAAAATCTATATCCATCATCTTCGCCAATTCAAAATCCGTATCCGTCACCTCCTCCATCGGCAAATATCATTTCCTCTCCACCACCATCGATATCAACTCAGCGACCTGTACTTTTACCAAAACCGACAGTAAATCAAACAAGTTTTCTTCCGCAACGGCAGCAAATCACAAGTTGTGTTAAACTTCAATCCTATGCCGGTACAGCATCTACAGGGCCAAAATGTGTCAAAATCGAACCAGTTATCAACACAACACTACCAACACAGCCACCACCGGCTAATATAACAATAATTACTACATCGAAACCTATTACGGTCGCAAAAGTACCTGTAATCAAGATGCCATTAACAACAACAACAACACCAATTACAATCGTTAAAACAGGTGAGTTTGACTTCATTTGGGTACGAATATTCGACTAGTGTTCAACATTTCTTTGATTTTCTATAGAAGCTGACACAATCCCGACAACCAATGTGAAACGCATTACAACTGTATATCCTAATCCGATGAATAATGAGAATACACCAGTAAATACTGGCACATTTATCAAAACATTGAATGGAACAAATACAATGACTTCGCCACCAGCTAAACGACGACGTTCAGAAAGTTCGACGAATCATCAACAATTATCTGTTCAATCATCGGAATTGACAACCTTGACACTTGATCAACTGAAAGTTCAATATGGAAATGTTAGCGTAAGTTGCTTGTGTATGTCATGAAAAGAGAATCATCTTGATTCGAACTTGTTTCTAGGAAGAGGCATTAAAGAAACATCTCCGAATGATTAAAAATCGTGAATCAGCATCTTTGTCACGTAAACGACGTAAACAGGTCGGTATTTCAATTCTGTCTAAATGTATTTTACTCATTTAAGAAATAACTCTAGTTAATGGAAAACCTCGAAGTCAAAGTGAAAGAACTCTCGGATGAAAACGACCGATTAAAAGGTGAAAATACCAAATTATTAACACGTGTGCACACTTTAGAAATGGAGGTACAAGAAATTCATTCTTTCAGTACGAAATTTTCTTTTCTCCTCGAATATTACAGAACGAATTGCTGAAAACATATAAACTCGGTAATGGAATAGCATCACCACGTGCTCGTAAACCGTTGATACTGATGGGTATCGTTCTTTTGGTTGTGCTCAATATCTTTACATTAAAGTATGAAGTTCATTTTCAAATAATGATTTCGAATGATTTGTTTTTCTAATAGTTCTTGGGCACCGATCTCCACGGAGTCGTCAGGTTCGATCGCATTATATGATAGACATTCGGGCTATAATAGCGAAGGAACAATAATTCGTGGTCGAACAATTCTTAGTGCTGCTCGCCGTGGTAGTAATGATAATTCTTATGTAGCTAGTAGTGATACTGATGATGGGTCGAATGGGAATAATGATTCATTGATTATCCCCACGTATCCGTTCTTGCAATGTGTAGCTTTTATTAACAAAACTCATTCACAACGGTAAATAATTTGAATTATCTTACTATTTTGTAAACTCGAAACGATTCGTAGATAAACTTTTCAAAATCTGAGTCTAATATTTTTGTTGTTGTCTTTTTCAATAGAATCAATCAGGATCTTCGTTCATGGGTGCAAGATCATTATCGTGATGAAGAAAAAGCCACTGATAAAACAAAACCGGTTACGATATCTAATTCAAATTCTATAAGCATTCCCGCAACTCCTGATGTGACTTCAGTAAGTGAGTCTCAAGATCAACAACAACATATATCGCGAAAAGTTGCGCTACTCAATCGACGATCATCGAGGTTTGTTTGCTTAACATGAAGTTTCCTTGGAAATCAAGTCTTAACCTAGAATTCAACCGGAAACTCGAGGACAATTACAACCATACAGACGCTACGAACCAAACAATGAGGATTTCATTCGTGCAATTGATCGTAAAAACGACACACTCTATTTCGTATCATTCAATCGCGTAAGATAACTTCATCGGAAATCTTTCAGATTACATATCTCATTCCTATAGGATCATTTCATTTTACCTGCAACGGTGACCAACCAAACCCAACGACCAAAAATGTCACTGATTTTACCCGCTTCGGTTACACATTTAAATAGTAGAATCTCCGACCTTGAATTCTTCAACGATTGTTTCATGTATTTTTTTTTCAGAATCAATTCATGTTCCAGCAAACCATGTACCTATGATTCAAATCGACTGTGAGGTTGAAGATACGAAATTGGTTTTTGTCAAACGCGGCCATATCCCATCGTCTTATCGGCAAGATCTTTTTCGATATTATTCATCAGTACCGCAAACAACTGTCTAATCTCAATGTTTACCTTTGTCATGTGTCTTTTTCTTTTGCTTCTGTCGGTGAATTCAAATGAAAAAAGCTTTTTTATGTTTATGATTAACCTTGGGAAAGGTTTTTTGTTGTTGTTGATGTTATTGTTGCCTTACATAAGAAAAAAAAACAAATTTTTACGTTCCTTTTTTTTTCATTTCGGTAATTTCCTTTCTTCTCTGTGTTTTCTTCGTTTTGTGCAATGGGAGGAGCAGAACATGCAACAAACAAAAAATAAATAATCTTTTCCTAGTATTGTTTGGTGCATGAACGATCTCTTTCTCGTGTTTTCTCTTCTTTTCACTGATTACATGTACATGTATGTCGATCTTCATATTTATTATCTTATTCGATTGATTTCTTCATTGTTTTGTTTTCTCTCGTACACATACTCGTTGTAGCTTTTAGTATCTTCGAGTTGTGCTCTCGTATTTTCTTGCGATATGGGAATATATCTTGTATTGTTTTGAAAAAAAACAAAGAATTTCTGCTTAACTTCGTTTTTGTAATATGTGTGAAGAAGAAGAAGAAGAAGAAACAAACTACTGAGAGCTGTGTGGAAACAGACGTGCTCTAAAAATAGATCTTTCGAGGGAAGGAGAACATCTGACGCAGTAAATGATGCGAATGACTGGCTTCCTATTTTGAAGGTCAATAGAAACGATCATTGAATTCATCGAATTGTTTTCCCAATGCTGATAGTATTAGCACTAGAGGCAGAAAGGCACATCTGACTAATTGTACTTAGCAAAAATAGGTCGCCATGGAAGAAAGAAATCATTTTCTGTTCATCTTCGTTTTAGAGAAGAATTTCATTGTTTTGCTGTCATGGCAAATCTTCTCGAACAAATCCGTCAACATACAACGATTGTTGCCGATACTGGCGATTTCGCTTCGTTGGAAAAGTATAAACCAACGGATACAACGACAAATCCATCGTTAATCTTAGCTGTAGCGAATATGAAACAGTATGATCATATAATTGACGAAATCATTGATAAATGTCGAGAAAAAGATTCCTCAGCGTTGGATGAACAGGCTGTCATCGATGATATCATGGATACAGTCTTCGTAGCATTTGGAGAGGAAATTCTGAAGATAGTTCCTGGCCGAGTGTCAACAGAAGTCGATGCGCGACTTTCATTCGATCGCGAAGGACAAATCAACAAAGCACGACACTTGATTCAATTATATGAAGAACGTGGAATATCAAAAGATCGAATTTTGATTAAATTGTCATCAACATGGGAAGGCATTCAAGCTGCAAAAGAATTAGAAACGAAATATGGTATACATTGCAATATGACGTTGATCTTTTCGTTTGCACAAGCATTAGCATGTGCCGATGCTCAAGTTACACTTATTTCACCATTCGTTGGTCGAATCTATGATTGGTATATCGAGAAGAAAGGCAAACGTGACTATGAAATTGATGAAGATCCTGGTGTTGTAAGTTCTTCCTCTGAAAGTGTTCTGCTTTTCAACTGTCTTTTATCATTCGACAGGTCAGTGTGACACGTATTTACAATTATTACAAACAGAACGATATTCCAACAGTCATTATGGGCGCATCGTTTCGTAACACGAAACAAATTCTCGGCTTAGTCGGTTGCGATTTGTTGACCATCAGTCCGAAATTACTCGAAGAGTTAGTGGAGCAGAAGAGTGTTGACAATGCGCAAGTTACTGTTTATTTAAACAAAGAACAAGCTGCTCAAAAAAGTAAAGACAAAAAGAAATACGATAAACTCGATGAAGCGACCTTCCGTTGGATGATGAACGAAGATGAAATGGCCAGCGACAAACTCTCCGACGGAATCAGGAAATTTGCAATCGATGCGAAAAAACTCGAAGAACTCGTTCGAGCACGTATTCAACAAAAGAAATAAACACGAACCTCATTTATATCTTTTTCTGCTTCTTTTATGAATATCTTAGAGGACTAAAAGTCTTACTTTTTTAAATATTTTTTCTTTTCAAACGATATAACATTGATCAGTAACTCATCTCGCTTCTTCACACGAATGCAATTATCATACTGACAAAGTGTCAAAAGTTGATACGATCTCCAAGGAGACAAAAAAACATGTTGTTTGGCAGACAGAATTCCTTCTCAAAATACAAAGGTTTATCATAAGTGAAAAGTACATAGCAACATATTGATAGATAATGAACACGTCTGTCGTGATGAGATTATTTTATCTTTGTAAAACGAGACTTTTGCTAATGATAGCCAGTGGATTCTCGTTGCTTTGCCACGTCTCTACAGAACACATGTTCAAACAGTGAATAGACGAGCGATTCTACAACTTTCGATCGAAGTTTTGTCATCCAATGATAATTTATGATAGCATAACTGTCATTTCTGTTCTAAATCCGAAAGCAAAGCATCTAATCATCAAGGTTATTTTTGCTAATACGATTATAAGACGAGTTGTTCTTTCTTCTTTTTCATTCGTTCTTACCTGCTAAGAAGACAGAAGGAGAAAGAACTCCGGTTAATGATAACGCTTGAAATTAAACGGCAAACAATGATTCGAGAAGACGACAAACTCCATGAACATTCATCAGACATTCCATTAAGTATATCCGAACAATTCAAACATGATTTTATACAATCTCTTAAAGGTAAATGTTTATTTTTTTGCAATTGAAAACTTGCCATGATCTGATTTCGTTTCTCTTCTCTGTAAACTCAAAGAAAAACAAAACATTCGTTTCGTTACTTAACAATATACATGCATTATCGTATAAAACAAAGAAAAATAACATCCTTGCGATGTTGAAGTACATTTTGTCTAGGGAGGAATGCGAACGAGCAAAGACATTGAAAGAAAAGTTTTTATAAAACATCGAACTGAATGCCGATTGAGTGTTGAAAACGTGAGAAAACAAACAAAACGATTAGCAACGACATATTTCCATCATGGCTGATTCAAACGAAAAACGAACAGTAAAACTACCACAGATCCACCCAGTTTCCAATCAAAACTTTGAGCTTGAAAGATTTCAGCAGCTTAAAACTGGTTCGCTTCGTTCTGTTTGATCTCGAAAGAAAAACCGTACGACTTTATGTACACGAACTTTTTAGATACGGATTCCTATGAACAATGGCGCGCCAATATTCATCGACAGTTAGAAGAAGATCTTCAACGACAAGTTCAGGCATTGCTGGCAGAGTCCGAAAAACAAGAATTGTTGAATAAACAACGGCAACAACAACTCCGGTAGGAAAAATATCTTCTGTGGTGATTTCGAAACGAAAAATTTGTATAAACAGAAGTCTTATATTTACAACGTGATTACGAAATGAAAAAAACAAAAGAAAATCAAACATTCTTTTTTAAGAGAGAAAAATACTTTCAGAAAGATAATCTTTTTCTAAGAAATGTTTCTCCAAAAGTAAGAATTTCAATTTTCACTTCTAATTCGAAGTTTTGTCTTACAGAACTGGTCAACGTCTTCCATTTCAACAACCGGAAGTCGACATTCCCCAAGGTGTACCATGGAGTGAAATCGATCGACGTAATCGTTCCGTTCTCTGTTCCCAAAATGGGAAAGATCCTTCGGAAACAAAAGATAATCTCTCGTCATTGAATTACCAACGATCAACTCAACCAAACCACACATTTGACTTCGATTCTTATGGAAACTATCGTCGTTGTCGACGTTATTCGCTCGAAAATATCGACTATGCTTTAGATAATTCTTCATTCCATTTTCAAACACTCGGTGATTACAAACGAAGGTCAATCAATTCTATCACTACTGATTTATCATCGACTGTACTGCTACATGGAAATAGTATCGTCAAATCCAATAAAGCAGATATTTTGAATCTACTTGATCAGCGATCGTCAACGAACATAAATCCAAAAACATTTGTTAATCAATACGGAGTTGTGATCAGTGAAGATGGACCGTTTTGGCCTTGTGATTATCGTATTCTTCATCCTACACCTAAATTGAATACACGTGAAGTGACACCAAAAGAAGAATTCTATTCATCAGTCGATGAGTCATCTTTGAAAAGTAAGTTAACAATTCCGACAAATAGAAAAAGATTTTTTTTGTTATATTTGTCTTTGGATCGGTAACAATTTGATGTTGATGATGATGATGAGGACAAACAATCTACTTCTTTCTTTCCTTTGCATTTCTTTTTCTTCGTTACAAATCATTTTTGACATGAAAGTTTCGAAGGTGATCTAATTGAGAGAAGAAATGCGTGTTGGACAATCAATTTGGTCACGAGAAGATTTCAATTTCACTAATCCGAGCAGTTCGTTGATTTTCTCACGAACACCGAACGCTCTAGTGAAATTTTACTCCGATACCGAACTAACTCCTAACGATAGTCAACAGGAACTGGATAGTCTGATCAATTCAAGCAAACGACTGTTTTCAAATATTAATTTTCGTAGTCGACTTTACAAAAAGCAGCAGTTTATCTTAAGTGATGGGACAATTAAGACAACGTACTGTTTTCGTTCAACAGAAATACCTGTTGATGATCACGGACCATTTTGGCCAATGGCTGTGCCAATAAAACATCCCGGGCCGTCATTTTCGTTCTTAATACGAAATGAAGATAAACAAGAACCTAAGGAATGCTATTCTTTAGGTACGAAAGGTCACCAAACATTCGATAATCAACCGGCGGGTCAAAAATACACCGACCCATTCAAGCATGCAGTTGTTGTGTATGAAATTGATAAAACTCCACGAAAGCAAGAAGCAAAGCCGTTAGATAACGAAACCATGTGTCCAACGTTGATATTCGAATCACGATTCGAAGGTGGAAATTTGCAACAAGCCAAGCGCGTGTAAGAAAAACCTCGAGAATCTTTTCCTCACCCATAAAATTCCATGTTTTAGAGGTCAATTTGAGTATGAACTTGTTCTTCAGCCGGATCTCTACACTCGACGACATATACAATGGTATTACTTTCGTGTTCAGAATATGATTGCCAATATTACTTATCGTTTTCGAATTATTAATTTAATGAAGAAAAGTAGTCTGTACAATGAAGGTATTTAGACAAGTTTTTCGCCCCTCCCCCCTCTTTGTAGTCAAAATAGAGATTTCCTACATATCGGTTAGAGGAAGAGATTCATCTTTCAACAAAAAAAAACAATTTCTTGTAATATTCAACAGTATTTTGAATGTTGATTCAACCTTCTTTAACTAAATCACCCGATCGAATATGTCAATATTTGATTTTAATCATTATTTGACAACAGGAAGAATAGGAATCTACGCCTCTAAAGTAAATGAACATCGCCTAGGCAATAACAATGGCTTTCACGACCAAAAAATCGAATCGATCACGAATAATTGAAATCTCTTGATTGAATACTTGCTTGATTTAGGAATGAAAATCTTACTTTTCTCCGAATTGGCCAAGAAAAGAGAATCGCAAGGTTGGCACCGTGTTGGTCATCATATAAACTATAGTGAATACAAACCGCGTTCTTACAATTCTCTACTCGATCGTGATATAAACTATTTCGAACTTGATTTTCAACTTGTACGTTCAAACAGACGAAAGTCTGAACATTCTATTCGAATCCATGTTGTTTTTCTTGCGTAGGAATTCTTCTACACGGGTGATACGTGTTACATATCTCATTGTTATCCGTACACATTCACCGATCTCAAAGATGATTTAGATTATTTATCTTCTACTCGACCCCGTGAAATCTTTCGTCGTGATGTTCTCTGTGAATCTCAAGCAGGAAATTCCTGTTTCATCGTCACTGTTACCGATGAATGTATGTTAATCTGAAAGCTATTTACATGTGAACCAACGCTTTTCTTATTGGAATTTTAGCTGTGCCAGTCAAACAGAAAAAATTTGTTTTAATCACTGCTCGAATCCATCCAGGCGAAACTAATTCTAGTTATATGATGCGTGGTTTACTTGAATTCATCACATCCGATGATGAAATCGCTAAAGTAAAAGGAAAATTCTTTGCACTATAACTATGATTGATAATGTTTCCTTTCTAAAGCGATTACGTTCACAATTGGTATTCAAAATCGTTCCAATGCTGAATCCTGACGGCGTAATCGTTGGTAATTATCGATGTTCATTAACAGGAAAAGATATGAATCGTAATTTTCGTCATCCACATAAACAAAGTTTTCCGACTATTTATCACATTAAACAACTAGTGCAAACCTTACAAAAAGAACGACGTGAAGTAAGAGTTCATCGAAATCAAACAATCTTATCGTGATCGAGAGAATTTCGTTTATAAACTTAGATTTTGGCCTTTTGCGATCTGCATGGCCATAGTCGAAAATCGAATGTGTTCGCGTACGGTTGTGATGGATGTGACGGACCACAGCCTGATATGAAAAACTTTCTAAGCGCACGTGTCCTTCCGTTTATCATGTCGAAAATAGTGAGTAGACAGAAATTACAAATAGGAATGATCGGCTAGTTGAATGACTGTGATAGGCGCCGGAAATGTTTGCATTTGATGATTGTAAATTCCATATTCATCGATGTAAAGAGTCAACGGGACGTGTAGTAATGTGGAGAGAAATGTTAATCAAAAATAGTTTTACACTTGAAGCATCTTTTGGTGGATCAAGTATTGTGTAAGTTTGTTTCGTTTGGAAATGTCTCCTCACTTTTAGCGGACTTGTAGAGATAAACCATCACACTTTAATATCCAAGATTACGAAAAGTTCGGTCAATGTATATGCGAATCACTGAGACAATATTTAGACATACTTTCAGATTCAGCGTAAGTTGAATTGAACGTTTTCTCTGTGGTTAGGTGTTCCATTGTTTATACAGACGAATGGATACTATCTTTATGGATATTACAAAATGTGTTCTTCAAAAATTAGAAAAAGAGAAGATTCCACCGGCTCTGTTGTCTCTTATTTATCCCGGTAAGATCAACAGGTAATCGTATGTGTTTTGGTAAACCTATGGAATATTTTAGTAGAGAAACAAGAAGGTGAATCAATTGTGTCCATGACATCGGTATCGGATTGTTTACAAGCATTGAAACAATGTCATCGTACGATCTATGAACAAGATGCATCAAGGTTAGCCATGGATTGGAATCTAATACAATTGATTTTCTTGTTTTACATAGTTCGAGTGACTCAGACAGCGACCCGGAGGGTGGTGAACTCCCCGAAGTATCATACAGAAAAGGCCGTGGAAGCGACGATGCAGCAGCAAATGGCACGGACATCGAACGCATGAGAACAAGACGAGTGGATGACGAGACGAGCGGAGTTGCACCAAAGAAACAATCTAGAAAAAAACGAACAGAAAAAGCCATTGAAGAACGTGTTCAAAAACTAGCCCGCAAACGAGAGGTAAACAAATCTCATCTTTTATTCTAAGAATACTTGATACTATTGACTCTCATCGATGAGATAAATTGACTAATAATCCAAGTAAAACTCTCATTGATATTCACCCTTAGATTCAACAAAGTCAACCTCTCAAAACAACATTTGTATCGGTGAGATCTCATTTTCTTCTATTCACCTCTTTGTAATACATCGCTGCTATCAATATCAAATCTAAATAGACTCATGAAGATATTGATGGTACTTCATATGAGCCTCTACGTCGAAATCGTATATCTTACCCATCAATGGCATCGGAAACCGAGACATGTTCGCAAATAAAACTTACACTCTCTGTTGATCAGGTTCTAGACAATACACACTCATCCATTGAATATTCATATAAACTAGCTTTGTTTTTTCCATCTAATCAATATACTATATGACTTATATTGCTTTGAAACATTTCACATTGGGATGCTTGTGCTTTGACATTTGTTTTGTTTTATGTAATGAACGTATTGTTTTGAAACAATTTTGTAATGATTGTTTTGTTTAGATGGACAAAGCTACTCGAGCATTGCCACCACGAGGCACCTTATTTGTTAGCAAATATGCAAATCGAAGTGGACATGGTCAACCAATTTTTAGTACGGAACGTGCTTTAGAACGAAAACAAGTATAGTTGTCATTTGTAGTGAAAAGAAGATTGACTTATAAGATTTGTCTTTGTAGAAAAAACTCAATGCAGTGTTACAAGAATTTCAGGTAGAAAGTCGAGATCAATATAACATATATTTCATTTTTAACAAAAAAAAACTCGTTTCTAGACGAATGAATATGATGCAGATACCGAACAAAGTATTGTATAACCCTCACTCGTTCACTAGAAAATCAAATTGATTTTCTTAAGATGTGTATTCCATACCTGAACATTCCCAATTGGAAATATCCAGTATTGCCGATCAAAATACGTCGTTAACGCATGGTATTGGGAAACGAACAACTTCATTGGCTTCTCTAACCCTCAATGATTTTCTACCATCACTACCTGATCAACCAATTTCCACCATTAGTGGTACCTATGTTTCCCAGCCGACTATATCTAAGAATTTACCGGTGCGTCGATTGCGTACCGAACGTCGTCCACAACTATCAAATAGAACGATTTCTTCCAATGACATAAGTCAATTGTCACATGTGTTGGAAATCACAACACCCATAACACCACAATTGAATCTTTCCTCGTCGATCAATGCTATTGATACATCAGTAACAGATTCATCGAATCGATACTCTTATGAAACTCAAATGGATTCCAATGGTATTAATCATTATCGTTTACAAGCTGTACTGGATAATGTTCATTCTTCATTACCAAAAAGCGATGCACCTGTGATACGTAGTAACGCCAATGCGGGCGTAAAAATGCCATCGGTATTCAATAGCGTCACCCAACACAAAAGAGTTTCGAAACCCAGATCATATGTTTATTCTACTCAACAACTTCTTGCACCAATCGAACCTACAGCACGAGAACTATCAGCTAGTATTCTACATGAAAATACACATCAGTTAAATCCGATGGAACGTTTTAGTCAAATTGTTCAGCAACTTCATGTACCAGCCGAGAAAAGTAAACGAGTATGATGTGATTCCAGTCTGAATACTTGTTCAAGTCTCAACAAATGATCTTGATGTTTTATTCTTTTATATTTGAAATGATGTCTTTTCAATTGCTCAGTTCATCTGCTTTCGACTGTATTTTTTTTTCATTTGCCTTTTGTAATGAAAAGTACAAACATTTTCGAAGAATAAAATATTGAACTTCTGTCAGTTTTTCTACATATCAAAACAATCTAAAATGCAGTATTCAAACTAAGACAACTGTCAATGAATGCAAAAAAAAACGAACAAGAAGCACTACAATGTTATATCTTCATTATCTTTAGTGTTTTACTATACGGAAAAGTAAAATCAAATGATGAAAGAGAATTCATAGCTGAACAAACTCAATGTTTCAATACACACAACTATCGATCGACATCTAACCACTCGATTCGAACGATATATAACTACTTTATCAAATTATTTGATATCGTCTTATTTGTATATCCGTCTATAAACATTCGAATTATCTAGTAGAAACCCATTAGTCTATTACATCTAATACAAAGTTAGACTCTCGGGACAACTATCCAAGACGACACAAAAATCGATTCTTCTTGTCTTGTTTCTCTTATCAACCGATAACCCTACCACTAATTTCTATCACTTTCAAATAACCATCAATATGTTTGAATCCCCGACCTCTTAATAAAATCTATCTATAAACACGTTATTGTCTACCAACATGCCAGATAGATAGTAAATCATATTGAATACGCCTTTCCTACTATCTATTTCTCTTTATATCCATTGTCCGTAAATTACAATAGTATAAAACTGCAGTCTGGACCAATTCGATGCTTTTTACAAATATTATCAACAATAGTGTGATAAAAGAAGTGTTTTCTTCTATTTGATATCTATTAAATACGACTAGGATCGTCTTAGCTTACTTAAATATACACACATGGACAACAAATGTATGTAAAAATAGGAGAAAGATGAAAGAAAAGCAATAATACTAGAAATTTGTGTTAATGAGACATGTCAATTGTTATATATGAATTCATGTACAACAAATCATGACATTGATTAAGAAAAGAATGACAAAATCTTTTTGATTGCATATCGATTTATCATTCTTTCACTTTTCAAATACAAATAATATGATTGTTCTATCTCTAGGATAATATGTCATATCTTTTTTTTCTTTTTCTCTTACCATCCTCCCACAGATTGGCTAATAAAACGCGCATCGATATATGCGCATACACCAATAGAATCTTGTTCTTTCTTTGCATCATGTTCTAGTAATCTGTATTCGAGACGTGTAAAATGCTCCAGTATTTTTCTTTTCTCTCCGTTCGAGATCGACGATTGACCAATCAAGAAACGAAGGAAAATCTCTCTCCGCATGTTTTTCTCTGCTTTTTCTCTCGCATCGATGTAAAAGGCAACAAGCATCCATATTGCATATCTAATTGAAGACGTGTGCGAATCAACTACTGCTTGTACTTGTCTTACATTTGTCTCTGTATACGCACCAGGCTTAGAGCAACACGATTGCACAAGAATATCGGAGATCTTCATGTTTGATATTAATCAGATGAACCTAATCGTTTACATCTGACAAAAATAGACAGGCAAGTGAAAAGAATCAAGAAAGAAAAACTCTTTCGATTATAGTTGATACTATTCAAGATGGTATCAATTAAAAATAAAGAGCAATAGAATAATATGACTAATGATTTACCTTAATCAAAGAAGATTTTTGGTTTATTTTAGTTAGAAAAAGATATTCAAACGAAACTCTGTGTGTTTTGCCAGTACATGGATTCAAACTTGTCAACAAAATTACTTCCACATCAAGCGCTTCTGAATACATTTATTAAAAGTGAATACGCATCATCGGGAACTAACAATCAACAATATCCATTAACAGTTTATCCGTTAACATCAATGAGTAGTGCAGGAAGTGAATCAAGTTTAAGCTCACCATCGCCTCCGATGCATATCGACGAAAACTATCTGGATACATCAACAGCAAATGAAAAACATTTATTAGATTCTTCAAATAGCGTAAACCATTCTCGACGTACGCGTCGTACAACACGTCGATTGAATGGTCAACCTTATTCATCAGCAAATACATCTCGTCGAATGTCATCGAAACGTCGACAACAACAACATCATCAACAACAACAACAACAACAACAAGCGCATCAAACCTTGTCTCAAGACGATGTGCAAAATCAACGTGCGATTGCCAATGTACGAGAACGACAACGTACCCAATCATTAAATGATGCTTTTGCACATCTGCGTCATATTATTCCAACATTACCCTCGGATAAATTATCCAAAATTCAAACATTGAAATTAGCAACAAGATACATCGATTTTCTCTATCAAATCCTACGTTCCGATGAAGAACATTCTTCATCATCATCTTCAAATCTCTCGATGACACAGCAACAACAACATCAACAACATCAACATACAATTGATACAGGTTCATCGCCATCACCACCGATCCAACAAACTGAGCGTCCATTAAGCTATGCATTTAGCGTATGGCGTATGGAAGGTGCTTGGACTGCTAATGATAATCCAAATAACGAACAACAAACATCGATCGGTAATGGACCATTTTCTCCTGATGATTATCAAGAAAACTAACCGAATGTATAGATAATCAACTCTCCACAGGGTGTGAGTTTTCTTTCTTCATCTATCATTCTTTTAATTCTTATAGCTTTCTCTCATCATCATCATCATCATCATGTTGTTCCTGCCGTTCATCTATTCTTTGTTTTTCTTGTTGTTGTTCTTTTCTCGAAATGAATGAAGNCATCGATCGGTAATGGACCATTTTCTCCTGATGATTATCAAGAAAACTAACCGAATGTATAGATAATCAACTCTCCACAGGGTGTGAGTTTTCTTTCTTCATCTATCATTCTTTTAATTCTTATAGCTTTCTCTCATCATCATGTTGTTCCTGCCGTTCATCTATTCTTTGTTTTTCTTGTTGTTGTTCTTTTCTTGAAATGAATGAAGATCGAAAGAATTTTATTCCAAACTTGACTTATCTTCACGTAATGACCGAGGCAAACATGGAATGAGAAGATTTCACTAGGGAACGAAAGATTTGTTCGATTTCGTCATGAAGTGATGAATAAATGTCTGATAAGATGGTTATTCGATCTGATTCTGTTTTTTTTATTTCATCATATTTTAACAAAACGACGACATTCACTTGTCGAATTCTTATCGAAATCTTGATAACATCATTTAAACGAGTCTCCATGGACAATCATTGTTGCTGCTGTTGATAATGATGTTCAATTGAAAGAACAGATTGAAAAAGAAAAGAACAGAGCAGTAATGCGAAGTCAGTCGAAATACTTCCTTGACTTGCAATAAATTAGTGTTAACTGCACTTGTTTATCTAGCCGGAAGGAGAAAAGCAAGACGATTCGACATTTGGGCATCGACGTGTGTACACATTCTTGCATACATATATATATCCGAGAGAAGAACAATAATATAAACATAAGACATAACCAGTAAAAGCAGCAACAATGATCTGCAGATGTGAGACGTGCAAATTGTTACTCATCTCGGATTATCACTGTCCGAATCAGACTTGTTATTCTACTGAACAATTAAGACTTTGCTCTGCACTCGGAATTAACGTGTGAAAATGTCTAAGCAAAGGTCACTAGAATTCGACAGTCAGAAAAGGCAAACTGAACATGCTGCGAGTGTGACTTATGTAGTTCATTTCGCTGATAATGATCAATTTTGACACGTTAGTGTGGTATCATGAATGATAAGTTCGATATTAAAATGAAATCATACTCATCGATCATAAGTTTAATTGACTTATACAATGGCAGAAGGAACAAGAGAGAGAGTGAAGAAAAGCAAAAGAAAAAAAAAGATTGATTTGATGAGAAACAGATGAAGAACATATCTCAAANCGAGTGTGACTTATGTAGTTCATTTCGCTGATAATGATCAATTTTGACACGTTAGTGTGGTATCATGAATGATAAGTTCGATATTAAAATGAAATCATACTCATCGATCATAAGTTTAATTGACTTATACAATGGCAGAAGGAACAAGAGAGAGAGTGAAGAAAAGCAAAAGAAAAAAAAAGATTGATTTGATGAGAAACAGATGAAGAACATATCTCAAAAAATAACTAATCTCTTCGAATCTTTCTAAAAGATTTCATTGACTAATGGTTGTAAATCTTCAAATATATACGAAAACGTGTCATTTGGTAGAATGAAATCTTCAATTTGTACGGGTGATAATGGCTTCAAAAGACTTCTTTGATCGTTAAAATCTTCACCTAAACTTTCCAGGTCATCATCGAGTTCATCATCATTGAACAAATCTTCATATGTCGAAATTCGTCGGACATTTTGTTGTTTATTGTTCAAATTTTCGATCATGAAGTTCATTTGCGTTTGATTGCAATACATCGATAATTTTTGTTCGATTCGATAGTAGAGATACTCTTCGATGAACAATTGCAATAAATGAAACGAACCGAGTGAGTTACCATAGTGCAAAGTTAATTCACGTAAGATCAACGAACAATAAAAGTTGGTTTTCAACAGGAATTGTCGAGCGTGAAAGAGATAATCCGAAGTGTTATGATACAAAATCAAATAATCATCGAGTAAGGTGTTGATGAAGGTCGTCCAGTGTTGTATTGTCAACATAGATTGACATTGAAAGAGATTTTTCAAACATTGTTCGATCTTAGTGAATAAGGTCAAATCACATTCGACCAACCAATTGATTTGGTCGTGTAAATTCGAGAAATTGATTCGGGTTAGATCATTGGACATCGCTGCTAAGCGTGACGATTGAGTAAACATGTTTTGAATGGTCAGTGCTAAATGATTTAATGATGTATAACGTAAGAGAATCGAAGTGAAGATTTGAGTATATTGAAGAAGAAAAGATTTCAACGGATCGTATAGATGTTCGATTGCATAGCGAACCCATGGTGACAAATTCATTGCGATTGTACGAATGGCTTCCTAGAGAGAGAGAGAGTTGAGAAAATAGAAGAAATCAAAAGAAAGTAAACAGACAATTGATGTTTGTGTTAAAGATGTAAGAACATCCGGAAAATAATGATCAATTATTGTTTGATAAAATTTCGAATAGAACGAACGAAATTGGTCAAGAATGAATGGAAATGTACAAATACGATTGAATTTCCAAACGATCATTGGATCTGAAACGATATATTTTTTTCACAATCGCCTTCAAAAACAATTCATCTACCATTGTTTGTCAATTCACTCGTTTGGGAAAAATGTATATTTGTTAATGACCAAAACTGCTGAAGAATTTTCTCAATTGAATCATATTGAAATTTAATCAACGCTTGATAAAGTTTATTCGAATACTCATCATGTGTCTTCTGAAAGATCTCTATATCATCGTCTGTTATATCCGATGGTAATTCATTCGATTCGAATGACGAATGTTGAGGTAAAGGAGAAGAAATATAATCGTTAGGTGACATGTTCAGATTGAGTGATTGAGTATCAAAATCATGTGGAAGCGAATGGTCAACATCGAGCGGCATTCGTTTAATCAATGGTGATGACGATTTCACTTGGATACCATAGTAATGATATTTGGAATTGCCTCTTGAAAGAAATACGAGACAAACGAAATGATTGTTTGGAACATTTTCTTGTTCATCATTACCGTGTGCCTAATCGTCGAGTTTTCAAGCCGAGAAACACTGAGTGAATCAGTTTGCCAAAACTAGCTGGATTCAAAGATTCGACTTTGAGAGTTAAACAATGTTCAAGATAGAAATTATACAAAATCGATCGTCGGATAGAATTTCCTTCGGCAGGTTCGAAATTATCTACTAACCATTGAACAGTAGCTGCTAAATAGAGAAAAAAAAAGCGATCAAAGCATCTCATTTCGAATAGCTACATACGCGTGGTATGATCTTTACACCAACGTTCGATTAATTGCTCAGTTGACATGATGAAAAGGCTTTCTATTAAGAAAAGCGCTTTAATTATTCTCGTTTTCAAAGTTCGCGCAACTCTCCGCTTCCAAATCGTTTTGACAATGACAAATAAACAAACGATTGTTGACAAGACTGATGTTTAGACATCAGCATGAGCATTTGATATAAAAAAAAGAAAACAAACGGAAAAGATATCGAAATCGACAGTTCGCCTTCTTCTTTGATCTGTATCGATGCATACAGTGAACAAATAAATTCCTGGTGAGAACAATGCCTTTCCTGATAATCTACAAGACGATTCTTTATTGCAAGACGAAAAATAAAGATTCTTTTTCGATATGTTTCGATTAATCACATGAACATACAGGAAAGAACACAAGTGACAGGAAAATGTTAAGTTTGACGCGGTTCGAGTTTATTGGATAGTTGATTTAGAATACGTTGATTATCGATAACGTTCATTTCGCTACAAATCAATGAAATTGAGAGCTGAGAAGGGAAAAGCGAAGAAAACATACCGAACATATTCTTGAATTTCCGAAAGATTTTTTGCACCTTGTGGCACTTGTAATTCTGAAAAAAAATCGGATTAACATTTTCAAAGAATATTTTCGAGAAGAAAGTACGTACGCAATGTTTGACTTCGACAAATTTTCAATGTACGCATCGTATGTGATAGCATTCTCTGAAATTAAACATTGTAATCACACTAAATATAAATGAAAGTCTTACCATTTTTTCAAAATTGACTAAACCTTCGATTATATATGTCTTATTGCCTTCATGAGTAAATGTTAAATCTAAATGAACGAAGGAAATAAAAAGAAGTGTAAAGCATTTTACTTCAACGAAACCTTTTAGTAGAAGTGGCATGAATAGTATAATTGGTGGTGTAAGTTTTGTCAATGTTGATCGATAAACGCGATGATTACGCGATGGATCCATGAGTGTTTCGAATTCGGAAAACATTCGTTTAATTTTACTCGGTAATCTCTATACAAAAACGATGAAATCATATTCATCGACGACTATTTTCACTTACTTCCCAAGTAAGAGACAGACGACTAACGGCAATGTTACTCAAACCCATGACAATTGCAAAGAACGAGTTCAGATTTCGATATTCTTTGCAACTGAATTCATAGAAAAGTGAATCGATCATTTTACGATGGAAATCAATTTTCTACTCACTATGAAGCGAGTTTGATGAATTTCCGAAGAAGTTGTACTCGTTTACCAGGACTTGGTGTTAAACATATTTCCGTGACAATCCAATATTGAATTTCATTGAATCGCCGCATAAATGTATCTAAATTTGATGTTATTTTGCCATATTTATACCGACCAAACACTTGATAAAGTAATTCATGCTAAACAAATAAAAAAAAAGAAGTTTTTCAGTGGATATTTCAACACTCGATAAAACCTTACTGGATTAATAGCCATGAACAAATCGTAATCATGCATGGTTATTGCATAGGCAAGTTCTTTCGAGCCGAACATTTCTAATTTCTGCCAAGTACCACGTTGTGGACCTTCTTGTTCTGGCAAAGGCACCTAAATTTAAAAAACAAACATAGTTGAATATCTGCGAGACAATGTAATAAATATTGTCTCCGGAGAATCACATAACTACTAATCTCTTTTCTTAATATAGCCTTTCGTGAAAGATCATCGGGTTGCTTTGTACTAGTTAGTCAAGTATTCAATTCAAACATGAAAAGTTCAGGGATGACGTGTGCGAATCTTGTCTTATAGTGCATGATAGACATGGAGATTTAATCGTATTCTTGATTAAACTTTTACATACTAATGCATCGAGATGATCACCCGGTGCTAAGAATAGACGACCGTTCAACGATAAACCAAAGGAAATGCTTAGATCACTTTCCTTGAATATTAACCGTTCTAGAAACGAATTGATGGAAGTCGAGAATTCAAATTGAGAAGTTTCCGAACAAACCTCCTGTGGATTTTACTTCGCATAGCTTTAAATCATCAGGTTGATCCGTACGTAATCCTAGTTTGTCAGCAGCTAAACGAATAATTCTCGATGCTGGTGTATCAACTCGCATTTTCATCGTTGTGTACGTATGATCAGCACAATAAACTTTGAAGATAACTATTTGTATACAGAAACATATGAAATCGTCGGCTTGTTAATCGAAAATGCTCTTACCCTCATCCGATGCTCGAATCATCTTTGGTTTATCGATACTGTTTCGTTGTTTCCATGGTAATTTACTCTTTCGTTGTTCTTTTGGTTCCTTAGAATTTCTGAAAGAGACGAGATTTATTTTTAACTTTTCCTTTTCTCGTCTTACGAATCATTTTCCATAATTGTTTCCAATGATTTCATCTCATCCTTTAATTGAGGATAGACCTTCACATCGACACGCATTAATTGATGTAATTCCTAAAATAGACACAAAATTACTCCCTGATTTTAAAGAGTAACATGATTCTCACATCAAGAAACACATTGATCTTCGGATCTTCGAAAAACGTTTCCTTTGTCACGTCATGCCATTCGAGAATAAATCGAATAACTTTGATTTTCTCTCTTAATGTTGAATCCATTTGTTCTCCGGCACGCTGCTGCGGTTTTGCTTTGTAAATTGTCAATAATGTTGCACAGATTTGATTCGTTGGCATAAAAATAACATAAGTGGAAAAAAAATCTTCGAGACTCGTGTCAGCCTCTTCACAATTAATACAAATATATGTTTCTAAAAGATATCCAAGCATCTTTTCTGCTGTACCAGACATCACCGAATATCTGAAATGACGAGAATTGAATTGAAAATCTCGTTTTGATCGATACACTAGATTTACTTGTAACAAACTTGATATGTTCCATCAGACGTTTTAACATTTATCGGTACCTTTTCCAGTATGAGAACGTCCTTTCCAAATTCTTTCAATTTAATTGTATTCGCTTCGACATCACGAAGAATTCGATTAAAATCGTCCTTATCAACACGTAAGAAATGTGTATTATCTTCATTTAAAATAATCGTTGCCGTTCTAGAAAATTCAAATTCAACAACTTGCTAAACTTCCGATCAAATCCTTCTTACCGTGGTGAATTATTAACTAAACTCAATTTACCAAAATCATCACCTTCATGCAATGTTCCAACAACTCCTTTTCCATAGATACTACATTGAACTGAACCTTTTAAAATGATATACCATGATTTGCCTTCATCACCTTGGCTAAACACTAGATGTAGCGAAGAAGAATCAATGAATATTGCCTTGATGGATGATGAATTTCCTTACAAATCTCGCCTTTGAACGGATGAGCTTCGAAGATCAAAACACCAGCTAATTCACGTTTAACCAGCGATGAGAGATGTGAAAGAGCTTTGACATGTAATAATTCATCGTAGATAATTTCTAGATCGTCAATAGTTCGTTCATGTGGTCTATAAAAAAGTTGATTTAGAAGAAAACAAATAGCAATGTTTGAAATGTTACGGTTTTCGTAAAATCATTCGAAGCATAGCATCAGGTCCGACCTGTGCTAAAGTAAGAATCACATCATTTAATTGTTCTTCACTTGCATTTTGTTCGGCACTGCCGGGTCTTATCATTTTCCCGTCTTCATCACCAGAAAAACGGTAAAATAAATATTTATCTTTAAAATAATGTTCTTGTGATACTAAAACACAATCGTAACGACCTTTTTGTATAAAAAGCCTAGTAAATCATACCATGAGCGATCGCTGCTTCTTCCAGTAATGCTTGCCACATGCCAACAGCCTGACTTCGCGAATGAACTACTAAAATCATAGAGAGTGATTGATAAAACATTCGAGAAATGATTCACTTGGACTCTGATGAATTAACCAGTCGACCATTTCAGAGCCAACAAGGCAACTTCGATGCATTTTCAAATGATATTTACGATCACGTATCATTTGTGGTGCTTTGCTAAGGATACACGTTCGCAAAACATATGCAGCATGTTGAATTCGTACAGAAGCAGTCTAGCAAGAGAATAGATTTAATAGAAAGTTAAATAAATATGCTTAGAATGTACAGGCACAATTGGTAGGGCAGGATTTCGTGCTAAAGAAATTAAAAGAAGAATTTACATTTCGATCAAATGAAAATTGTCGATTACGAACTTGGATCATCTTTAAGAAATTTTGAACTGGCAACTTGTGGAAGAAGTGACGGATCAAATTCTGAAGCACGACGTTTTGGATCTGAAAAACTGTTAACTTGAATCTTTGTATATCGATTCGATTCGTTAGATACCTAATGTATTTGTCAATCGACTGAGACTAGTTATAACGCCATGCATATATTGTTTATTACGCTACAATGAATTCACAATTTCGAAGGCAAATCTACAGAATATTTACCTCCCAAAGAATTTTGAAATCCTTTTGTTCCACTCTTAGAAGCATTACAACAGCTGAAGTTATAACCGTTGCATTTCTAGGTGTGTCGTAGAGAATGGATTCACCAAAAGCAGCGCCGGCTTCCAACGTACAAATAAGTGTATGTCCCTATCAAAAAGAAAGACTATCCTCCATTGAGAACATTTCGAAATATATCTAAAAGAATCCTAACTTTGCCATTTTCTGCCGGGACACATACATCGACACTGCCGCTTAGTATTGCAAACCAGTTGGCACCGAGAGCACCGGTACGAAAGACTATTTTACAAGAACTTTATTAGAAAAAAAGTGCCATCAAATCCTTCATACTCTCTTACGCGTCACTCCTTTTTCAAGATATTCAAAATAACTATAATAACAAAGTTGTTGAATGAGCAGTGGATGGAATTTTTCAAAAGCTTTCACATCTTTCAATTTAGAAAAAATCGTATCCAGATCGTCACTTGTACGATCCGTCGGTCTAAAACCAGTTCACAATGCGATACATTGTATTTCGCTTAACAATTCCTACCGTTTATCTAAACATTCCGTCCAATCAAGTGATATCACTGGTGTTTGTGCTTTGTCAGCTTGTGGTGACCCACTTAATATCTTCATATTTCTTTTTTAATGGATCTTAACATGCTGAAAGTTGCCAATTGAAAAATCTCAACAGCTTGAGGCCAATTCGTCGCTGATAGTAGCGTTAAACATGCAAACTTAACACGAACATTTTTCTCTTCTTTTTCTTCTGGAGTTTTCCTTCTTCTCTGAAAAAAAAAACGTTTGCCTTCCTATCATTTAATAATAATAGAGAAGACGAATAACATAACGATGATGTCAGACCAAAAAAAAAGGAGAATAAGCTGGAAGAGAAAATATGATTAGATTTGTCGAGAGGGAAAAACTGACATATTGACAGGCAAGACAAAGACACCGAGCAATAGAGCAAATTCTGCACAAGGATCAGATCTCAATTTATTTTTTAGATCTGAGAAGAAGGTTGTTTTTTCGTTATATAGATCACTTTACGGAGCTTCTTCTCTCTTTCCTCATGAATAAAACGACAATGAAGCAGAAAAGTGACAATCCCTGATGAGTTCGTTCATGAATATCAAAGTCTTATGTTTCTTCTTCTTCTTCTTCTCATCATTTCATGTTCCGTTTCTTTGTTCTATTTAGCTTCATTGCCAGAATTGTTATTCATTCCGCTGACTGCATCTTCAAATCACAAGAATACTCTAAAGCAACAAAACGAAGTTTTTTTTTCCTTCTTTTTATCTCTGTATAAGTCTTATTTAGCAATGAATGTTATTCTCTGCTCTTCATTTTTTTTTCCTCTCTTTTATTCAGAACTCATTATTATTGATGAACTTTACTGTTGATATTTACGACTAGTTTCATACGAGTTATTTCCTCTCGTTGCCTTTTTTCTTTGACAGAAACGTTCCTGCATGCCATTTAACATGAATAGCAGAAGAATAAATGCACAGATTTGAAGTTAATTGAGAAAGAAAAAAACTGTTTGTCACTGGCAGTATGATGATCGCTGAAAGTTATCTTTGAACGTTGTTTGTGGCAATGATATAAAGTAGAAAAAAAAGAAAAAAGATGAAGACATGTCGTCAAAGCGGAAGAAACGAGTGAACGACGGAAAAGGATTTTTCCGTTGTGGGTTGTATTATTCATATGCGATGCATGTGATAATTTGCAGTAACAAATAAACTAAACGTTCAACTGATGTCTGACATGAAAAACAAGAATGATTGATAATTGAAAGAAGAATCTACTTTCTGCAGAAAATGATCACATATTATTTATTAAACACTGTATTTAACAAAATAATTTCCATGAGAAATAGAAATCATTTCACTAGGAAAGCATTCCTATGTTAAACTTTGCCTTTCTTTTTTTGAGTATTTCAAAAATGGTCTCTTGGTTGTGTTCATAACTGAGCGAAATATAAGATTCTTCGCGGTTTTCAAGTGCAAAACCGGCATCCGAGAAAATAGTGAAAAGCAACAATCTGGAATAACTGCGTAGTTTGTGAAATCTACATTGATTAACACCAGTAGTGCATTATGAAATTAAAAATGTCTTTTTTTTTGACACGAAAGGATGGAATATATATTATAAATTCTCAATCAGATGAAGGAGCGAAAGAAATGTATTGTGTGTTTCTCGAAACGAAGGATTTTTCTTTTTTAAATTTCATTTCGAATCAAACTGATTCTATCCTTTCTTATTTTCGTTGTTTCTCGATTGTATTTCATGTTATCTATTCGATCTCTTTCGTTATGACTTTGCTCTAGATTGTCTCAATTCTGTCATATCGCAATGAATTGAAATATAGAAACTAATGAATCTGCACTTTACAAGCTTTCTTCATGATCAGCTATTAAAGAAATTCTTTTTCCAAATCCTATTCGTTACACATGACCCAGAAAGTTAGTCAGACCGTTTCTTTTTCATCGTTTTCTTGACATCATCAGTTACGGGTGTTTAATTAATACAAAGAAATGGTATCGAAGAGAAATTGATAGTCGGTATTACGACCGGAAAAAGATTCGATTAGTAGCGTCAGAGGTTCATTCTTCATAATGATTCTGCTATTACAAATTATTTCCATTACTATTTCCTTCTATAATGACTCTGCCTTCTTTTTCATCATATATCTTGTTCAAAATGGAGAAAACATTTCCAGTTGATGGTCAAAACAATCTAAGAATTGAGAGAATTCATTTCATTTCATTTCTCCACTCAACAAGAGAGAACTCATTCTGAAGAGTTTTAACGATAAAGTAGATTCAATGAAATATGATCAACAAATCAACTTCTAATTGCTCGTTCAGTTGAACGATTATTTCGTTGAATCAAAGGAAATTCTATTCACAATATGAACACATGTTAGGCTATACCCGCATCTATTTCATCATATTTATCAATGATCAAATTGAGTTATTTATATAGTTGACAGAGCACAGAAGAAGTGCTAAACATATTTGCACAACCGTTAATGCAAAATCAAGATTCATCGTGTTAACATTAATGTTTTTTTTTATGTTTTCGAATAGACACTTGTTAAAAGAAACAAGGTGACTTGATGAAGAATGTCGAATGTCATAAATCACGAATGCACTTTGTAAACTGTGATATATTGAATTGAACCTCTCTGGATTTCATGTCGTATGTTATTGAAAGAGAAAGAATGCAAATGAAATGCTCTAAATTCGTTTGAATACTGTTGATTGATTGACACCGGAAATAGTATTGTAACATTAAATCACATAAAAAGCGCATTGAAAGTATGGCTGTCGGGTACACTAAAATATTTTAAAGGTTTCTCAAGAAAACTGAGTGTCGAGTATATTAAAAGACTATTTTTCTTGAAGTACCTACATCGTGAGTATAATGTACAATGAGATTAGATGCCTACAATTCATATTACTTTCAAAAACATACGGGTACTTGTTGTGATAGAGACGATTAGTTCGCCTTTTCGAAAAATATTGATCGAAAATGTACTATAATAGGTGCACTTGATCTTTTTCTGAATTTCATTCGAAAAACGTTCTGTGAATACAAATGTATTTATAGTCGTGAAACTTGTTATGTATTACTTGTTTAATCCAGTCTAGATTATAACATGATTTTTTTGTAGAAAACATTTGCCTGGATGCGGATTTCATCAATCGGATAAAACGATTATCTGATTTGATAAGGGCATCTAGTATTATTAGAGCCACATAAAGTAGTACCGGTTGATCCATTAACCCAACTTTGTTTTCCTATTGAACGAATTAATTCAATAGAATTTTTTTCAATATTCTTTCATTATTTCTAATCAAATTCGCGTTACAATGTAATCTTCTTATATTGCAACTTAATGGCATGTTTTTTCCATGTCACAATATACTTTCTAATATATTTTCCATAAATTCTGACACCTTCGTAGTCGTTCTGTTGCTCCCGTGCCTTTTCCCAACAGCTAAGATACCAGATGCGATAAATAAACAATACGGATTTTAGTATAGTTTGTCTGCGACGTAAATATCTATGTTTACAGTCGATTGTGAAGTACGAACTTTTCTTAATACGTTCGCTCTCGGAAAAAATCAATTTGAAATATGATCCTTGTTAATCTTTGCTCGATAAGGAGTATTACTCTGCAAATTGAAGAAAATAATTTGAAGGTGTTCGTTTCGTATATAAAGACACCCATTGGCAAGACTCTCTATCATTGTATCCTAGTTTTTCATTGACAATTTCAAGCATGAAAATTCTTTTCGCCATCTTTGCTTTGATCTGTGCCATCTTTGTACAGAAATCATCAGCTGTACCTGTTGAAAGTAAGGTGGGCAACCCGCGCCTCTTTGGTATTATTCCAAACATGAACTGTTTCATTCAATGTGTCCAACCAGTTGGAGCAGAAAGTGCCGATGTTGACGATGCTGATCAAGTTCGTGGTCTCTTGGCTAACTATGCTAATGCTTGGGATTGTGTTAAAAAATGCAGTTAAATGCGTAACAAAGACGATTGATTTCATTTTGTTTCTTTTTCAAAGGATCAGTTCGATTTGTTTTCATCATGGAGAGAATCTTTCGAAGAAATAAACTTTCTTTGTTGTTTTTCTTCTTGTGAAGAATGCAATTCTATCAACGCATTTCGGTCACATACGTCTATTCATAGACTCGCCGTTAATTATCTTCTTGATGCACTTCTCGTCAAGATATTTCCGTCTGTCACAAATAGCGTACTGTCAAATGATTTTCTATTGACTAGAGCTGTATACATTCTCTCCTAATAGATTAAAACAGACAATAAATTCGTATCAAAACAGCAAGCGCATTTGTTGATGTTCTGTTTTTTCTATCAAGCAGATGTAATTGACAGTTCGGTACTTAGTAAAATACTCACATATGGCTTCTGAAAAAGAATCCGAGTATGTTTTGTTTTGCATAAAAGAAACAATGGGGAAAAAATCAGCGAACGAATAAAGTGATATATTTTGACAAGGAGGAGAAGAAGAAGGACAAGAGGTATACGTTGTTGGAACGCAGGACACGTACACAAGATTATAGTTTTATCGAAGTCAAGAGAACTCGGTGTTCTATTTTCATCGAATTTTCCATTTGAATAAAGTTATCGATTTCCTGTAAAATGTTGCTTTATTCATCGAAGGCCAATGATGCACAAGTTTTTGCTTTATTCATCGTGTTAGAGTAATTATAAATACGATTCTAGGTCAACAAATATTTTACTGCTCAAACGCAGTCTTTTTTGGGTACCTTTATTTGTAATGAAGGACGAAATTTGCATGACTTATGGAATCTCGTAGTTAATTTTGAATTATGCTTACAGTTTACGCAGAAAAGTTTATTCTGACACTTGTCGTCAAATTAATCTTGTCTTTTTTTTTCGGCAAATGATTGCTTTAACAATTTGATTTTATCTACGCTAATCTTCGACGATATTTCGTCAATTCTCCCGAGTGTTTCTGATGTTCGATGCCCATCGATCCACAAGATAATTATCAATGCCACTATTATTAGCAAGATCCCGTTGAGATAAGTACAATGATTATCTAAGCGAAAACGACGCTTAATCCATATTCATTCTTTTGACATGTAATGAACTATTCATTGAGAATCTGATCACATGAAGCTAAATCACAGGTTGATAAGACATTGTCAGGAAACAGTTTTTCTTTATCTTAAGCGCTTCTTTAAACACAGGAAGCTTTGAATTGAATAGGCTAACTTCGGGCAAGAAGAAATTGTTTTTCTTTCTCTTGTTTTCGAAGGAGAACACAGACGATAACTTGTTTTTCTGTGAATTGATTGTCGAGACGAGTGAGAGGAGTACAATGATATGTTTGTTTTCTCGAAAATTCCATTTTTCAATTAAATATAATTAGAATTTTTCGGGTTTTGTTCTCTATCGACTGACAATTATTGACAGTATGTTTCATTCTAGTATTTCTGAAACGGACTTCCTATAGTTTGTCGGCTGATGAGTTACACTCAAAAGCAACGGAAAAAAAACAAGAAAAAGAAAGGAGAAACGAGAAAGGAACACGAAGAGGAAGAGAAAAAAAGGAGAAAACTAGAGATGAAAGAAGATTATTATTTTTCAATAGAAGAAAGGAATTCTCAAGATGAATACGAAGACTATTTTGCATTTCAAATTACGTTAATCATGTTAGATAATACGACAACCTATCAACTTGAAAGTGTCTGTCCGCCACAAGCTTCCCGGGGACCTGATGGACCCTTCTACAAATGGTTAGCGCTTGGCTATGCCTTCCTATTCATACTCGCATTAACGGCAAACTTACGAGTACTTTTCAAACTTTTTCATTATTCTCGTCGACGTTTTCGTGATCATATTCTTTTGTTGAATCTCTGTGCTGCTGACCTCTTTGTCACACTTGTTTATATTCCCAGTGAAATCTACGCTTATACTATCGGTCGATGGCATAATGATGAAGTATGTAAAATCCTTGCAGCACTTAAAGGTCTCGGAATCTATGTCTCCTCGTGTGCAATTATTGGCATATCTCTTGATCGTTATCTTGCTATTGTACATCCATTAACAGTTTATCAATCTAATAAACGAAATAAACTCTTCGTTGTTGGATCATGGGTCATATCGGTGATAGCTTGTGTACCACAGGTAAGTTGAAAAGCTGATGAAAGCTTGATTATGTTTCATATGGTAATTCTATGTAGTTAATTATTTTCAAACGACTGGTTAATGAAGAGATCTGTCGTGAAATGTGTGGAGACGTACTCTCATCTGATTTAGCTAAACGGTTAGCTTATAATATTGCAGTAACGATCTTTTCATACATCGCACCATTAATTGTCATTTTTTATTCGTATTTTCGTATTCTATACGTTCTACAAAGGCGTTGTGACCGACGAACATTTCGTTTCGTTAATAGTCGTACAGATAGCCGACGTAGTTACGATGGTTATCAAGGAAATCACTCAGTTCGATCTCTGTATAAGAAATATTCTGCCAATGAAAAGCATACAAGTGAAATCGACAAGATAACGAAACAATCTCCTCCTCAAGAAGATATGAACACACATAACATGAGAACGATAACACGAGCAAAATTGAAAACATTGAAACTAACTGCTCTGATCGGTAAGATTTCATTTCATTACTTTCAGTTTACTCATTTGCCATTTTTAGTTATTTGTTTCATTCTTTGTTGGACACCGTATTATTGCATAGTTTTCTTTCTTCTCATAACTGATGATGGCATTCATCAAGAGACTTCCGCAAATCTGATGACGAATTCTACTCAAATTATATCTAACACTTCCATTGGATATGATCAACCATCAAGCGATGAACGTTCATTATTAATAGTTATGATGCTTGCTGTGTCCAATTCGGTTTTGGATCCATTAATCTATGGTATGGAATACAATGATTGAATATTTGTTTGTGAAAGTCTTCGGTATTTAGGTTGCTATCTAGTCAAACCAATCAAATCGACATGTTTGTGTCCAATGCGAAGTCGAAATCAAACGAAAACATTTCAGCGTGCAGCTAATCTTCTACCTTGTAACAAGAATCCGAAATCATCCATCGTTCGAGCAACTAGTACTCAGATGAAAAATTCGAAACGTGCGGGGGCAATCGAATGTGAACTATAAAATTTGAAGGTCGACAGCGCAAAGATGAATTATTGATGAATTTTGTTCTATGTTAGCTTGCAGTTACCGAGAAGTACTACAGCCATATTTTCAGTTCTTATAAATATTAAATAAGAGGAAAATCATTGATGTCGAATGGCATATTCATTGAATAAGAAATGATTGTGATTTTTCTCTGAATACAACACGTACACTATCGTTGATCTTATTGATTTCTTTGCTGGAAGATTCATTTATTTTCTCGAGTCGACACTGAATAAACGTTCTCGAACAAACTCTCTCTTACTAAAGTGGTAATTCAAATAATAATACTTCAAAATATATATTAAAGCACTTAGAAATATATTCTACTTTCTTTTTTTAATAAAAAAAGACAATGAAGAAGTGTACAATTATTTTATAGGTCAAAGTACTCATTGATTTTCAACTTAGAAGTTCGATTGAAAATGAACTAATCGTATATTTTAGTATCATAATTCTTTTCGGGCAGCTATCGAAAACAGTATCAAATTCATCGGTATTTTAAATAAATAATGAACGTATGATTTTTTATTAAAAGACGAAATTCTTCTCGAGACGATATCGTGATCTCAAAGAGTATAAGATTTTCACAAATGATTTTCCATAAAAACAACTAACCTACATGTTTCTGTATTTTTCTTCAAACTATTCACATAGAAAAACATTTGTATCAATATAAACGTACTTGTAGAATTAGTATGTGGGTTTGTAAAATTATAATTATTCAATGTAGTTAAATAAGACTTTCTTCAGTCTTGTCATACTTAACACGCATGAAACCTGCATTTCACGATGTCTGAGTATCGTGCAGGAAAATTTCTTTTTTCCCTTTGTAAATTTATTTATTTACTTAAATAGAATACTATACAAGAGATTTCTTACAATTCATTATGTTCATATTGATAATTACTCGTGTCGTGAAAGATAATTGGTGGAGGTATGTCAGATGGATTGTAATGTAATGGATAACTAAAAATAGAATAGACAAAAGGATTTTTTCATGTTTTATTTAGAAGATTTCTTACTGGAAATTCGACCACATTGGATTGTAGAAGGAAATATGAGAATTGGGCAAGTAGTAAGAAGAAGGAGGAAGAGAAACAGCAGCAGCTGAATGTGATGTTGCTGCAGGTTGAAGATGATTTAATGAGTTTATTGGAGGGCTGACGGAAGAGTCATGTGAAACATCTTCATCCTGAAAGATTTCCAAATAGAAAAACAAATGTATTTTTATCGTTGAATCTAATTACCAATTGAATCCCACTATCGTATTGTTTTTGCTCGTTTTTGTCGACCTTTTGTTGAGATTTTTTCAAACGTGCTCGACGATTTTGAAACCAGACCCAAACATGCAGAAACAAAACGAACGTATTGATTTCCTTTTGCTTTTTTCTCTTACTGTAATCTTTTGTGTCGATAAATTCAGTTGTTCAACGAGATCGTCAATAACACTAACACTTGGATAACGATGTTGTTGGAAAGTCGATTCGAGTATGTCCAACTAAATGAGAAATTTTAAGAGAAAAATGGAAGAGAGGATTTATACTTGTTCGACACTGAATTTTGTTCGTATTCGTTTTTTGTAAACGAAAGAGTGGGAAGATTGGTGATTTTCATCGTCACGTTCGTGATTTGATGAAATGTCTTCTTCACAATTTTCTCGATGAATATCTGAAAAATCTCAGTAATCAAGACGTAAAACCGTGTTTGTGCTTCGAAGACGTACAATTATTGGAATATTGATATGTCGAATGATGATTTCGTCGTAAATTATTGTCAGGTTGATCCATCGTATCTTTTTCGAATACGACAAGAATGGACTGGGGTTTGTTTCATTCATTCCTTTGATTGGAAGATGTTTGTAAACAAATCAGTGTGTTTCATTTCTGATGAAGACCGCGATGTCCTTAGTTGAAGTTATTTATAGATGTATTTCTTATCTGTGAATATAACATTTACAACGGTGATCAAATTTCTCTCGTTCGATGAAGTCAGGTGAAATTCATTCAACAAAAAAACAAACAAAATGATGTTTCGATCGATACATTTCTTCTTCCTACTGTCGATTTGTAGAGTTTTCTCGTTTTCGGATCTTTCTATTCGATGTCCGAATGGTCGACAAGCTTTACATTCGTTTGATGTAACCACTCTATCGTTTTCTGTCCAATGCTCAACACCAGGTCAGTCATGTCGCGAACGAATGGGTCTTTGTAATGAACATCACGTATGTTGTCCACGTACATTAAAGTAAATCTCCTCTCGGTTTGTGTTTTCTATTCTAATTCTATGCGATTAGAATGTCGTCGAAACCGTATCTTTACGATCGAGCATCGAATTTGAAATTCGTTCGCATTGGAAATGATTATAAAGACTTCTATCGATTGTTTGAAATTGATTTGTTGATGAATTCCAAACGAAGTTATGATTATCATTCACGTTGGCTTTTCTTTGATGAAACTCTGATAGATCTGTTTGAAATGCCGAAAGCAAGATTTTGGCTTCCAATTATTCAATGTCTGCAGAATCACGGCCTGTCTTATGCTTTTGTTCCTAACAACGCTACATCCGTCACTTCAAACGTTAGCGCAATGACGATCTTAACACGGAAAAATGATTCACTCGACAGTATGTACATTTGTTATATGGCAACAAGAAAAGAACATCGAAGGCAAGGTTTAGCGACTCAGTTATTACAACATATCGTTCGACGATCATTAAATGAACGAGAGAATGGTCTGCAGTATATAACATTGCATGTTAATACAATGAATACAGCTGCTTTGGAACTCTACGAGAGATGTGGTTGGCGGTGTGAAAGGTTTTTGCCAGGTCATCTGAATTATGATCCGCATCATTCAACAAATCATGCGTATTTGTTGAAACTCCGTTTGACTGGTGTGAGGAATATAACGGGCTTGTGTCGAGATCGATATGCTGTGGATATCGAACCGTCAGATGATGAACAAAGTGTAAGAAATTGTAACCGTCAACCAATCTATTGAGAATAATGAAACGATTTGAAAAAATTCTCTTTTTTTGATTACTAATAAAAATTCCCAGAACAATTGCGCATTGAATAAAGTGGTAAATCAAATCAACGAGAGGGTGTACACCATTCGTCGATTATCTATGAAAATGTTTGTGAATAAGCAAACGGATGTACATATTTTACGAAGGTAATCTCCTATGAGCTCTTTTCCATAAGAATTTCATCTTGTTTCTTGATTATATTAGCTCAAGTATGTTTATAAATAATATTCACCTTCAGCTCATGAAGCCGAGTTGAGATCGGACGACTTTTAGAGCAGTATGCTAATTAGAATGAAGACGAAAACACTATTATAAACAACAGACAGTCGTTCGAATACATGAAAATTAAGGTACTTGAAAACTCTTTAAAAACGTTTTGTAAGTCTGTACTTTTAATGGTTAGGGATATTTCAAAGGAAAAACACAGATACAAGTAGTTTTTCTCACAAAAAAAACATTGAGAACAAGTACAATTTTCAAAGGTTATTAATTGGTTAAAATCCGACTGCGTTCGATGCATTTTCTAATACTGATACTAGTGTGTATCCACGTAAATTAAGGATCGAAACGATGTATTGCTTGTGTGCAAATATTTGTGATTCATTGGCAGTAAATCCGATGAAACATTTATTCAACAAATAGAAATTAAGTATCTCCACGGTACATTTATGGCTAATCCTGAAAAATCATGTGACAATATCGACTCTTCTCTCTTCTAGAATTAAATGCTTATTTGATTCGATTTTGAAGGCTATCGAGTATTGAAATATCATTGATTAGTGCTCACGTAAGCGTAAGGAAATGCTTCGACTATATCAATAAAATCGATTCTTCGTTGTTTACAAGGTGTTATCTGTTTCTGATTATTACGAAGGCCATTTAGTCGGGCCATGTTTGATTTGAGAATGGCACAATCTGGAACGGATCCGGCTGATTCCAACGCTTGAATTTTTATCCTCTATCATGTGAAAATCTATTGGCGGAGTGAACATTTTAAGCAGGACGGATTAAATCTTCGTAGTCAACTAAAGCTACATATCATACAAGATGTACTACCATTATTAGGTAAAAATTACTTGTGAAAAGTTTTATTAGAGAAAGTTAAAAGTTTCTGAGTGAGAATGGACTGCTCAAGTCTTCAAGCCTCATTTTATATGGTTAATTTTGTAAGATGAGCAACTACGATAAATCTCCTCTTGCATTTTGCTAGTGTGAATACTAATCTCTGTTCAAGTAGGGAAAAGAGGGTATTTTGAAATAGAGTATCGTAGCAGATGTTCACCTGCTGACTCTTGTACTATTTTCTCGAATAGCTCACATTTTATGCGCTACTCCAAAATCCTATCGTTTTCTTTTCTTCGACATATACCAATAGAGATGTCAAGCCAATATCGATGTTATTAGTATCTGAGGTATTAGTAGTGTTATATTCATATTTCTCAAGTAAATGAACGTAAAGTTGCTATTTCTGATCTTCTAATGTGTGTTCTCATCCAGTGCATATCAGTATATGGTGATGTCTACAGAAGATTTAGATTCTTTGATAAAAGTCAATGTGGTTTTAGACATAAATTCAATTTCCCATTGTAACTTTATCTTATTCAAGGATTGGTTGATTACAACGGTAAAATCGTATTTTCATTATGTTCATTCATGTGTGTCTGTTAAGCAAATATCTTCTTTCTCTTTCTCTGCTGACCTATATGTGTCGTGCGCTTGATCGGTATACATTATCGTATTCGATTGCGTTATAACAATAAAGTACACTAGAGAAGAACGAGGTTCATCATCAGTATTCTACAAAACAGGACAACATCGAATATGACCCTGAATTCGATCAAATTTTTTCGTAGTTCAACGGATGACAGTATAATTTTGACTATATTCTTCCTCAGTTGCCTTGCAGGAACAATAATAAATGTTTACTTTCATAATCTACATCGAATACTCGATGTAATTTAGCCTAAAACGAAGAACCTTTCTGTGTCTTGTGCGTGTGTATGAGATGCTCTTTCTTTCATTTGTCATTTCTTAACCATTCAGATTTTGATCTTGATGATCCTCTTCAAAAACGACACGCAGCGTCCTCTAGACACAAAATGATGTTGTCTAGAAAATAAATCCCTACTACCTACCTCGTCATTCTTTTTCTATAATTCGGCAATTTTTCTCTTTTTAGATTAGTCATCAAACCAGTGTTCGTATTCGTCATCAAAGGTCTTCTATTCCTATTTCGCTTATTCATTCATGTACTAACATTCCCGTTTTCTTTCAGATCAATAAAACTATGGCTGATCAAGATCAAGGTGCATCAAATGATGTCAATCAGACAGAAACTACGACTAGTTCGACAACAACTAAATCAACAACTAAAAAATCTAAGAGCAAAGGTGCAGCTGCAGCGACCGATGTTGTCGATGGCAATAGTTCAACAACCGCCGAACATACAATCGTAGGATAAGAAAATAAACAAACTCTCGTATTGATTTTCCTTCTCTTCGATAGACTTCTCAAACTGGATCGATACAAGAAATGTTAAAGAAAATTACTTTAGCTGAACAAGCATCAGCAGCGCTCACGAATCGAAGTGCACCGAAATCGGATGAAGAAGCAGCATCAAGACAAGAATGGAAATTTTGGCATACACAACCCGTACCGACCATCGGTACAAAGATCGCATCGGAAAACAACGGACCCGTTGAAGAGAACAAACCAATCGAAGAATTGAAACAAGATCCGTATAAGCTACCTGATGGATTTTCATGGGACGATATCGATGTTATGGATGATGAACAAGTGAGTGAAAGCAGAATCAGACAAATATCGATAAAAAAATGAATTTATTTTTAGTTAAAAGAATTGTACGTCCTTTTAAATGAGAATTATGTAGAAGATGATGACAATATGTTTCGTTTCGATTATTCAATGGGATTCTTACGTTGGTAAAATTTTTGACACAAGGAAAAATAGCCGAGTTAAAAAATCGTCTATTTTCAGGGCTCTGTGTGCGCCAGGATGGCTTCGAAAGTGGCATGCAGCTGTACGAGTTACCAAAAGTCGTAAAATGGTCGGATTTATCAGTGCAGTACCTATCAGAATGAAAGTTTACGACAAGTAAGACACATTCAAACGAGTCAATTCTCATAAATAACTCTCCGTCGTCTTTCAAAGGGAAGTTTCCATGGTCGAAATCAACTTTCTTTGTGTTCATAAAAAATTACGTTTAAAACGTATGGCACCAGTACTAATCAAAGAAATCACTCGTCGTGTTAATTTGGAGGGCATCTTTCAGGCTGTCTATACAGCTGGTGTCGTTCTACCGGGTATTGTCAGCAAATGTAGGTACGTATCCAATGACATTTTCGGTTAATTCGCGTTGATCTATCGTTCGCTTTTTATAGATATTGGCATCGTTCATTGAATGTCAAGAAATTATTGGCTGTTCAATTCTCGCATCTGAGTAGAAATATGACAGTGCAAAGAATGCAGAAATTGCATCGCTTACCTGAGGTAACTAATGATGGTTTTCCTAGAGAAATACTGATTTCACGTTTGGTTGAATAGGCAACACAAATTAAAGGTTTTCGAGAAATGCGTCATTCGGATATTCCACGAGCATTCGCCCTACTTACTCAAGTAAATCTCCAGAAAGTATTTAATCGTTCGTTGGATATAGTTTTCTGTTTAGTATTTGAAAAAATTCGATTTGTCGCCTGTGTTCACGCAAGAAGAATTTGAATACCTCTGTCAGAATCGCCCTAATATCGTCAGTTCATTTGTTGTTGAAGTAAGTCAAATCAAACATTTCTTCTCTTGAAAAAACGAACTCTGTTTCTCTCTTTTCGGTAATTTTCAGCAAGAAAATGGTGAATTGACTGATTTCATTTCGTATTATCATCTCTCGTCAACAATCATGAATCATCCGCAATATAAAACACTAAATGCATGTTATATGTACTACCATGCAGCGAGTCGTACACCGCTCTGTGATCTTGTTAACGACTGTCTTGTACAAGCGCATAAAGTAGAAGAGAATCAGACGATTTCGTGAGACATTTGTTTCGATTTAGGATGGCTTTGACGTGTTCAACGCACTCGATTTGATGGATAATAAGGAATTCTTAGAAAAATTGAAATTTGGCGTTGGTGATGGTAACCTTCAGTATTATATTTACAACTGGAAATGTCCGCAGATGAACCCGGAAAAGGTTTGACAAAGAGAATTATTCTGTCGATCGACTTATTCGATATTTTTAGATTGCATTGCTACTTCAATAGGAAAATCGACGAAGATAAAGACAGACACAAAAGAAACTGATTGAATTATGTGATTTTTTATTTCTTTTTAATATATGTTTACAAACAAGAAAAAAACACATTCAGGAAAAGTTAAAATCATTCACGAGGGCTTTTCGTAGAATAACATAAACTTTCGATTTCCTTCGCCTTTCGAGCAAATCCATTATCTCGTCTATTTAGTTATATAAATGAAAGCAATACGTGTGTGAAAGCACTGCGTTTTTTATTAGTAAAACAAAATTCTAACAAACTCAATGGAGATTCATTCGTTCCATTGAAATATTATAACACATTTGTTCTATGATGCATGACAAACAAACAATCAATGAATATAATGATTTTCCGAAGCAAACCAATCGTATTTTTGTATCTAAAAACATACACAAGTCAATTGATATAACTTTATGGAAAATCTTACTGGTTCGGTATGTTCGATTGACACTTTTTTAATCATCTAAACCGAGAAAACGATCAGCTTGAAAATGCATCATCATTCAACATACTTTTTCGAAGAATGAATTCAATTTCGCAACGTTATGCGTATCCACAGAGAAACGTTTGTTAGAATAACAATTCTAAATGCAAATCTGCAGTAGTTCGTCGACCATTTCAGCATTTACTTACAACGAAAATTTCATCACAATTGAATAAATTTGCTAATGAAGATTTGCGATTATAATTCGGTAATAAACTACTTGTTGACGCTAAATCCGAACTGGCTGATTTACTACTGTTTAACAAAGATGTTCCATTCGACTCGTCGAACTTCGTGTGTATCAGTAGAATTGGTACATCGAAGTTTTGTAAGATTTCAGGTGTGAAATCCTTTGGACTACAAACAATAAATGAGAAGACATTTTGAAAACTATTCAAACATACAGTTTCTGTTGAGATCGATAGCGAATGACCTCATATAGCCATTCTTTGAGATTATCATATGATTGTCGACTAGTTAAATCCGAAACAAGAATAATTCCTTAATAAAATTCAATAAAATTGGCAAATGAAAAGTATTTGACGTTTTACCACTGAATTCGTCGTAAAACATCGATGATCGACTGTTTTTATGTTGAACACTTCCTCCAACGTCATGAAACTCAATAAAATACAGGTTCGGATTTTGATGTCGATCACGTCGTTCATATAACTAAAAAGAAAACCGACAGATATTCTTTCACCTTGGATTAGTTCGTTTTTTGAAACGAAATTGATGAACGTCAATAACTCCTCTCGTGTCAAGTTCAATTAAAAGCAGTTCCAAGGTGAACATCGACTATCTAATCAATTATCGAACCTTGATCTCAATATGACAACCGACAGTGACAGGCGGTGGTGATGATAGTGGTTGATCATGACAAACCATATGCACAAATGATGTCTTGCCGACACCTATAAGTTATGAAATGAGTCGAAATCAAGGACAATGAACAAATTTGCATCTCACTCGAATCACCCAAGACGAGAACCTATACGAACATATACAAAAGCAAGATCAAACAGACAATGAACACTTACAACTAATGTTGGTATATCATCATTCGTCCCCATGAAAGATTCTATCTGAAGCATTATATTTATATGAGAAAATGGCATTCATTCATTCTCAAAGACACTAATTTTTAAAAAAAACCAAACAAACAGAATTGAAGTTATACACACAAACGAAGAGAAGAAAGAGAACAAAATCAATTAAATTTTCCATAATGTTTGTGCTTGATTTAAACTATTAATTGAAAAAATCGTCGCTTGCTTGGCTTTCATTTTCGTAGGTTTCATTGATTTTAAATTAATACGCGTACTCTGTTTGATCATACTCGATTCATCAAATAATTCCATGATATCAGGTTTAACGCGCTTCTTTTGTAACGCCTGATATTCTTCCTAAAGAAAAATAATCGGAACGTCATTTTCATTCAATTGATATCAATCGAACACATCCGAGGTCATATTCTACGTTCTTTATTAACACAAAAAAAAACTCATCGAGTTAATAACTATGAAATTACGAAACATTGAATGTTGACTCACGAGAAATTTCGCTGCTTGTTTTCGTTTTTGGATTTCTTGTTGTTCAGCTGCTGCGATGATTTCTTCCGCATTCGGTTCGAGATCTATTAAGCCTTTATAAACGCGTTCATTCGAATAATTTAGCTTTTTGTTCGCCTAGAGCATTCATTGGAAAGAATTCAAATTCCAAACAATGGCTTTTCTTACTTGTTCATGAATATGTTCCATATGTGTTGTTGTTAAAACAGGTTCAAACTGTTCAAATTTCAAGTTTTCCATCTGGTCAAGTATCTTCATCGTGGAATTACATGCTGGAACTGTTAAATCAACTAAAGGTTTACTCTTCTGATTGATATTTAGATCATCACACGATCGGCTGGAAAGATAAGTCGGTGGTACTTGATTTGCTTTTCCTGAGACTCGTTTTCCTAATTTATGCATTTGTTGAGCAGATTGTGCACGTGATAGAGGCTGCCGACGAGGAATGCCATCTTCCATATCCATTTGAACAGATCTAGAATAGATTTCAAAGGATAGACAAGTTCTGATAGGTGATATGACTTCTTTTTTCTTAGTTGCGTTTTCCGTTTTAGCTAATGACAAAATATTTCAATAAATAAAAATGAAAGAACATTAGAAATCTCAGTATAGCACATTAACGAACAGGAAGAACAAGAACACAAACAAATAAAAGAAATGAAAAGAGTTTTTCTCGACATGTTAAACTGTTCGATTTTTCTTATTGCGTATCCAGTTATCGATTTGTTCTTTGAGTTCAACCGCTAAAACGAAAATAATCCGATGAAACAAAGAGAATTTCACAAAGACGCGCTTTTTACCAGGCTGAAGTTGATCAGCAGTTAATGGAAGACGATTGAATGGATCCGTACTTGAATTGAGTAAATGCTTGGTGATTACTGATCGATCCATTGTGACTCCACTTGGTAGAATCACGGGATCAGTCATGACTGTGCACATTAATGGGTCTATGAACAAAGGATTTCCAAGAAAGACTTTTGAAGAAGTCGAATTTACTTCTCTTTACCTCGAAATTCATCTGGTGCATCGGACAAATCCATTTCTTCTTTTAATTTCTCTTCCGCAATAGCATGTGCCTGTTGACTTAAACTATAAAGTATTTCCAGCCGAGATGATGTTGTAATGCTGCGATTTTGCATGCGTTCGATCGCCGTTTGAAATAATGTCGGTCGGTACGAACGCTGAAAATCAACATAAAAATTCGGACGAACTCAAAGATTATCTTCATACCTCATCACGTGTGATTGCTTCAGCAAAACGCTCATCACGTGTCTGTGAAAAGTCGATGAAAATCAATAAAAAAAAGCATCTGACGAATTTAATTATCATACCAAATTACAGTAAAGTTCGACAATTTTCTCCAATAGTCGTTTTGGATCAAAGCAACATTTACTCGGCTCTTTCACTTTTAAATAACGGCTATTCGGGCCACATAATTCATTGAGATTAAAATCGAGTACCGCGGCTAAACGGTCGACCAATTCCTAAACACAACAACCGAACGCTCATCTGTTATTTTCCACACTCTTTCTCCTTTTCTTTTACCGGTGAACAAAATGGGCCAGGCTCATTCGCACTTAGATATTCCAGCATATGTAATGTCTCCATTCCCAGAGGTAAATAGGTACAACATTGCGATTCATACTGACTCAATTGTTGAGTTTTAGTCATCCGTGTTTCCTAAAGGAAAAATCTCGACGTTGATTTGAAATCTCGATTTCATAGGTACGTCGAATGTACGCAATTCATACCATGGGCGTTGCTTCCCATTCTTCCTTGTTGTCAATATCAGTTTCGATATCATGGATTTTTTTTAATAATTGAAGACTTTCATCAAGCAAATATGTGACATCGTTAATTGCCATGTTTAAAAAGCGTATAAATTCTTTTTCATCTCTAGAACAAACAGCGAATGATACTTGAAAAAAAAAACAACTTTGACATTGCAAGTTGTACCTAGCAGTCGTCAGAAACGAATGACGAAAGGCCGGCTTTTGCCATGCATATTTAAATATAATACTTATATGATAACGAATATTAAATTTGTCGTAAAATTCTGTGGCTGCGCCCGTTGTTTCGACATCTACAATCAAACCGAATGCCTCTATTTGATCAGCGAAGAAAATAAATATTTATTTGAATGATTTACCCGCATAGAGTTTTGTCAATGCTCGGACAAGTGAATCTTGGGCTAGACGATGATTGAATATATATTCGGTTGCTTGCCGAAGAAATGTATGTTCACTTCTGGCACATAACCAATGTATAACTTCTACTGCTTTTGCAATAATATGAGGATTCTGTATGTAATGACGTGGTGCACAAATCACAAAGATCATTAGTGTTAAAATGTCATCAATATTACGTTTGGACAATGATTGTGGCACCATCCTAGACAAAAGAAAGTTGTTGACCTTGATATAAACTAATTTTTCATTTCGAACGATAGTCTTCTTGGTCACGGTCTACGAGGATGATTGTTGACTAAATTTTGATACGGTTGGTAATTGTGTCATTAGTTAGATATCTGTCATGCTCTTTTTACTATTGTCTATTAAAATCTGTGATAGTGTCATTACTAGGATATCTGTCACGGTTTGATTCGGAAGAATAAAAATGTCTATTATAGTTCTCTGATATTCGTCTGTCAAGGACGGTCATGCTTTCGGGATGACTGAGAGTGACGTTCATATATTCATCCTACATATTGATGCACACTTTTGGTTTCATCACGTCAGTTTTCAGGTGAGTTCGAAAAATGGGACTTACATTGCAGCCGACATGAGAAAGTCCCAGATGTCGTCGATGTAGTAATCCGGTAGTAGACGCCATATCCACGGTGTTTGAGAAGAAAATGTGACTTCAGAACTTGAATAGACAATGAGATTCAATTAAGATACTTTCGATCTGCACTTACTCGGTTGGTCGGACACCAACGTATCGTAATAACAATTGAGAAACTTTCCCATAGAACTCTAAACTTGTTTCAATGAGGTTTTCATCTTGTAAGGCTATGCTAGCACATTGTTTTGCTCGTTTCAATGCCTAGAAAACAAAAATCTACGAATCATTTTGCGTTCTATCGCTTATGTAAACGACAATTAGTTCGTTGATCGTCTATTTGCGATGACAACAATAGAGATAAATAGTAATAAAGAGTAACAACACGACGATAACGAATAACAAAATCATCAAAGTGTAACGGACAGCTACGCATATTCATTTTCATATGCGAGATATATCTCCCCCCCTTCTCATCCTTACCGCATATTATATCGAGACGCGACACCAAGCAATCACTCATTTTTCTTCACTCTTCATGAACACATTTTAGAGGCTGTATCAAAGAATAGTAAAAACGACGAGAATATTTAATTGAAAAGCGGCAACAACAAAGCAAGTATGGAAGAATTGCAATATCATCATCATCATCAACATCATCATGGGCATGACGATGGTCCTGAGAATGTACCAAATCGATATGCAACATCTTGTACGTAATAGTAAAGGAGAGAAAGAAAGAGAGAGTGAACGAGAAAAGTTATTATTCCTCACCTAGTACTCTATTTTATTGAAAACTTTCGAAATTATTTTTATGGTATATTTATTTAAATTAAAGTTATGTAAAATTCATTTTTCTGCTTTCGAACAGCATAACAGTTCTAGATAAGAATCTCGATTTTGTCTTTATAATCTAGTTCATGGAACGGAACAGTCAAATGTCATTACAGCAGAACAGCGTTATCAACAACAACAACAACAAGCAGTGCACTCGGTTCCCACAACAACCTATGATGGTGTACAATCAACCGGTTCTTTTCATTCTATATCTAGCCTTGATTCAGCGGCAGAGATGTCCAAATATTTCCCGGATGCACAAACACCCAGTTTATCACCGTTTAGGTAAATATTGAAGAGTTCGTGTCACTCGTTCAATAAGAGGAAATTGTCTTATTGATTGATTCATTTTTCTTTTCGTTTCCTAATGAGAGTATATCTTGCGCAACGAACACGACATCAAGATGGACACGACTGATTGCTTGAAGGGTCCTCAATATCGATTTATTTCGTCTTACTCTGATAGGCACAACTATGTTCTCGTGATTGAGAAGAAATATAAAATGAAGCAAAAGGAGAAAAATTGCTAATGGACTATTTTCAGGGTTAAAGGCGTACGTAGAGCGAACGAATCGACGGCGTCCTTTTTTTCCTACTCTCTCTGTGTCGGTATAGATGCGCTGTCACAGCCTTTCTTCTTTTTCAATTTCACTCGCTCGACCCAGTTAATTGATTCACGCATTTTTACCTCGTAGGCATCAGCTAGAAGTTGGAGGTCAAGCACAATCAGCGACTATATCGAATACTAGAACTACTACAACTACTAATACTGTTAATGCAGGACCGTATATTCCTGTACTTGGCCCCTCTGCGGCGCAGCGATTATCACAGCCCATAAGAGCACCGTTCATGTCACACCAACAACAACAACAACAGCAACGACCTGTACGGCCGCCAGGTCCATCTCAACTTCCACCAGGCATTCCAAGTTATACATCACAAGTCGAAGGATTATCTGTTTCGCAAGCTGTTGTAAATGATGTACTTGTTGATCTTCAATCGAAAGTAATAAATGAAACATTACAACAATATCAAGATGCGCCAGTTGGAGGAGGTTTACTGGGTACAGATTCATCTTCAAAATAAACTTGTTCAGATGTTTTCATACGAACTCTTTTATCTGTTTTAGAACCACTTCCTCCAATTTATATTCAGGCGCCTCAACCGACAATAATCCTTCGTTCGGATATGAATCGACTTCGCGCCGAATTGAATAGTACTGTTCGTCCGCAAGGTACATCGAACAATCTAGGATTTGCCCGCGATAACCTATTTCTCGATTGACTATCTAGTAATCTACCGCAATCCAGAAGGAGCAGAACAGCATCAACAACAACAACAACAACAACAGTTTCAGCATCAACAACAACAATTTCAGCAACAACAACAACAACAGCAACAGTTTCAACAACAAGAAGTCTTTCAGCAAAATAACTTCCAAATACCACAATTTCCAAGTCCAGCACAACAACAGATCCCACCAGGTATATTCATCTTTTGATTCACAGGGAAATAACTACTATTCATTGCCTTTTTTCTCGCAATTTCAAGAGTGTTATGGAGAATATCGTAATGCAGTCTTTGCAAACAGGTAGCCTAAGATATGCAAATTCGCATATACACACGCACATACACGCACACATACACGGAGAGACAGTCAATGATCACATCTAAGCGCTATGCTGAACTTCACATATCCACAAGTCTATTTTTTAATCATTATTTCTTTTATTTTTGCTCTATATTTATTAAAGGAAAAAAAACTATTTTTTGCTGCTATAATCCATATAAATACACTTACTATCATGCTCTACATTTTGCTCTTACAATTAATTATTCACATATCAATAAACCAGTAGTTTACACTCATCTACTGACATACATTGACACAGACCTTCACGACGACAAGTCAAACCTCGAACGGGCTTGTCGGTTTTTTTCTTGATTACGCTCATGAATCTTTCATTAACGTATTGATTTTTATTCAGTGATGAATATAAGGCGACGACTACGACGATAACTGATGAACAGAGAAGCGAAAACGAAGCACGATTTTATAATCAAGCCGACTCAACTGCGTTCAATGACGACAGTATCAATGCTAATATGCAGAATACACTTGATCTTCAAGGTTTATCCGCTACATCATTTGAACAGCGTGACTCACCTTACCAATCTTCTTTATATCCTCCCAATTTCGACGAGCAACAACAAGGTAACGAGAAGATCACATCTGCAGCTTCTCAATACATCAATAACGAAGAAATTGGTCAAACTGACAACATGCATATCCATCAACGACAAGACATCACGTTCGATATTGACAATTGCATCATGCGATGTTTCGAAGCTCATCGTCAACGATTAGCAAGACGACGAGCTGCCCGACAAGCACGACGAGCGAAACGTCAGAAACAATCTGGTCATCAACGACAGCATCAGCAACATCAACATCAAGCTAACGGCTTTCAAACATTCTCTTCACAGGGAACTTATTCACCATGCGATGGTAATGAATTAGTGTCACTATTAATCACCCTGTCCTCTATTCAACTTTCTTCTTCTCTTTTAGACACAATACATGATTCAATCAAAACATCAGCTTCAGTTCGTACGTCGGAAGCGTCGTATCCACCTACGGCCGGGCTTGACTATGGACAAGGAGCTCAGTCGAATGTACTATCCACAGATGCGTCTAACACACAGACAACTCAGATACCATATTCAACGAATATACAATCAACAGCAGGTGAATATCATCAATTCAATCCGCTCAATATACACGACACGTATGGCGCTTATCAACGAGTTCCATCTGCTAATAATGAATTAGTGCAACAACCACATCATGACCAAGCATCGTATGACTATGCTAATCAATTGCAATATTCCTCGTTTGCACCCACTGATTCTACGGTACCAGGTGGCATACAACATCGGACATCTGATTATTATCAACAGCAACCCCAACAACAAACCGCAGCTCAATTCTTACAATCCCAAGAAACACACATCCAGCAATCGAATGCATATGATTACTTGACGGGAAGTGCACAAACTCAATTACCAACTTACGATTATGCAAATATCGGTCAGGAATCGTCACAATACCCATACGATATCGAAGGTGCGCAACAACAACAACAACAAACACCATTAAATTACGATACGCTAGAATCGGCTGTTTATGTCCCATCTTCCACAGATATACAACAAGCAGAACAAAAACAAACGTTTAATTATGCCAATCAAACACTTAGCCCGGCTGATTACTATCAGCAACAAGCCCTATCAGTTCCGATATCTCAAAATCAAGAAGCTTATAGTCAACCAACTGGCACCTATGAATACACAAAAGAAAGTTTTCTTTCTCAAGAACCTGTGTACGATTATCAAAATGTCGAACAACAAGCTTCTCAATTTACATATGATGCCGCTGCTGTCCAACAAATATCACAACCGGGCTCGTATGAGTATCCCACTGCAATAACGAATGTTTTCTCACCAACTCAGATAGGTGCAAATGCAAACTGTCAACAACAACAACAACAACAGGCCGTATCAGCATCAACACCACAAGCTCAGCAAACGTACGCTCAATCTCAAATAGCAACCTATGATTATCAAAATCTTGATCAACAACCATCCATAGACTATAGTAGTGCAGATACGGGCACATACATATCACCTGAAGCGAACATTCAACAAACAGAGCAGAAGACTACTTATGACTATACAAGTCAAGCACTCAGTTCGTCAGATTACTATCAACAACATCAAACCTCTGTGCCTACGTCTCAAGCTCAAGGTACATTTGATCAAGGAGCCGGTACATTTGATTATGTATCCGGAAATACTCAAGCGCAGCTAGCAGGTTACGATCAACAGAATACCGAACAGCAATCGTATCAATATCCATTCAATATCGACAATACCGAACATCAACAACCACAAGATTTTGCAAGTGAACATACAGGCACTTATAAATCACCAGAAGCGCATACACAACGAACGGAACAAAAACAAACGTATGATTATACCAGTCAAGCGCTGAGTGCATCAGAGTTTTTTCCGCAACCGTCAGCATCTGGTCCTGCATCTCAACTGCAAAGAACGTTTGATCAACAGGCTGCGACATTTGATTACAGTAAACAGAGTTTTCAAAATAAAGAACCACTTTTTGATTATCAAAGTACCGATCAACCATCTTCTCATTATTCTTATAATGGTGAAGATACTCGACAACAACTACCACAGTTACAAGAACAATACAACTATCCGTCGGAAGCGACAACGCTTCAATCGCCAACGGTAACTGAACTTCAGCAGTCAGAACAAAGACAACGTCTTGATTATCTGAATCAAACACTTGGTTCAACTGATCAGTTTCAGCAAAAACCTGTTTCTATTCCTATATCTCAAGTATATGATTCGCAACCTCCTGGCCGACGATCGCATGGCGCATCAATACCCACCGGTACAGTTGAATATACTCGACGAGCGTTTTACTCTCAAGAAACTGTACCAGACAATTCTCCTAGAGATTCCTATCGTCAGCAACGCGGTCATCATGAAGAGAGCGAATCATTTAGTATTAATGATTATCTTAAACGCTTTGAATCCGAATCCATTTCTCAACAAGCTGGAGGACAAATGAAGTCCTCTGATGATTACCAGTCTATTAGTACGACCACAACAACGCCGAACACTGTTCAACCGACAGCTGATATTTATCAGCCAACTGGACTCGCTCGAAATTATGACCTACAGCATTATACCAACGATTCGATTGAATCGGCTACACCACGTTCAGTCTTACCCACATCATCAACCTGCGAAGAAGATCATCAACATCTTCTTCATCAAACTTCCGTGAGTGAACAAATTCACGAACAAATTCCACCATCAGATGTGCGTAGCGATGAACTCGAAGGTTCAATTTATGACACATACAGTTCATTGCCACCACCACCACCTTCGTTGGCAACTAGAGATACGAATCAACAGCAGGGATCAGTGACCACCAGTGGCTACGATTTTCCCGCGCCACCCACACCGGATCGTCATTCATATCAAACTGGACAAAAACGACCTAGTCGTTCCATAGCGTCCATTGTTCCATCAGTTGATCAACAAAGTATCTATAGTGCTCAACAGCCAATACCATTGACATCGCCAACGACAAGTGATAATCGCAGTGAAGATGATGATGACGATACGAAAGAAGATGAAGAAATCTTTGATCTACGTGAATGCATTGCACGCTGTTATGCCAAATATCGAGAATCATGGAATCACGAACAACAACGACAATACGAACAACAATTGATGAAATCTCAACAACCAATAATAGATATTCAACAAATGACATCTCAACAATCAACACGAACATCCATTTCTCATACAAATCAACAGTTCATCCAACCACCACGACAAACATTCGGTTCCGATGAAGTTCATTATAGCGACGGATGGACACAAACAGCATCCCATGATGTTATGAAACTATCGAACATTGCACAACACACCTACGATCAAACACCATCAACTTTCGATACACAACCATATGTACCACAATCATCAACAAAAGATTTTGCAACCGATTCGCGAGGACAGCAAACAATTGAATATACACCACCATTGGTTGCATCGACACAACATGCCATTCCGACAGTACCTATAACAGCTCCATCGCCATATAATGAATACATGGTACACGAGCAAAAACAACAACAACAACAACAACAACAACAGGAACAGCAAGTTTACGACCACGGTATACCTGCACCGTCGCATTCGTCCTTCAATGAAACTGATTACCAATCAAATGTACACGTTTCCTCACAAATAACACCTGAGGCACAAAAATACGAAAACACACCTTTTAGTAAACAAGATGAAGAAGACGAACAGCAACAACAACATCGATACAGGGCACATTCTGAGCCCGTGTCAATACAACAAGACTCACTTATTTCCACTCAGTCGTCGCAACAAATTTCATCTCATATAATAGATCAACAGTCGCGCCGATCGAATTCAATACCAATGATCCATCAACAAGAACAACAGCAGCAACAACAAGCTCGTGTTCCAACAGTCCGCATGCTTGATGATGGTCGCGCATATGAAACAGATGCAACTTTTGAACGAACTGTGCCTATGATTGATCCGAAGACAGGCATGTGTCTTGTACCATGTCCCGAATCACAGAAATATGCACATTTACCGCCACATCTTCGACCAGAGTTGTTCTGTATTGAACTACCACCGGCAGGTTCGCTTCCACCAATGCCGCCAGCACCGGAACCAACAATGATTCCACCTCCGATGATGGATGAAGAACAATACCAACAGCAACAACAATATCATCACCAACAGCAGCAACAACAACAACACCCTCAAGGCAGATGGTGTGTGAGATGTTGTTGTGTTCCAGGACAAACACTCATCAAGAAAGTCGTTTATAAACAAGTAGAAGGTACAGTTTCTATCATCTCTTAACTGTTCTTGTTGACAACACTTCATTTTTTTTTCTATTTAGAAGGAGGAGAACAACACGAAGATCATCATCAATTCCAAGAAGATTCCGATTATGACTATGCTGCCGTTTTGAATCAAATGGGAACTCGAATAAGTGTTCGATATGGAAATAGTCTTATGGAAGACAGTGAACCATTTGTTCCCGGTAAGACAAAAGAAGAAGGTCTTTTCTCTGACCGCTCATTCACTTCATATTTTCTAGGCAATTATTCTGAACAATTGCGTATCATTGATTTTCCTGTTTATGTTTCTGGTAAAGATGACCCGAAATTGACGCCACTTGTACCCGTCAATTAAAAAAAAACCTTTCGTTTTTGTTTAATATTATTTCTGTACATATCTCATAATCATTGGCATTAATCTCGTTTCGTTTACTTTTCTTTTTGCATTTCCTTACCTTTAATTCACTTTTAAGTCTTTCCAATTGAGCCTCATGTCGAGCAGCAGTTGGGGCTTGTCGCCATGTTCCTTGTGTTTGCTCCAGATTTTTAATTGCACTACAATAGAAAAAAAATGCTACTTTTTTTTCGCCAGTTTTATTTAAGTTCGTTCGTTTTTTCGATCTCGTTTTATTTCAATAAATTTCTCACATCAATCTTTACGCAACGTTACCTATTCAATTCACGTATGATATTATTTCGTCTCTGTGGTTTCTTGGCGATGGAGACAAGACCTAGATGACTGATATGCAAGGCGAGATACGCACATTCGGTTGGAAATCGTATTTCGTTGGGTTTTTCTGCAAGGAAACTACATGAGAATGATTCGGTTGGAAATTTAACTACGAACGGATATTTTCTTGATATGCTTTGAATTCATCGCTCGTTGAGTATAACCGTGATTGGTCGGCTGGAATCGATAACCAATTATCAGCATAAAATGGATAATTCAAATCGACCTATGAAAAAGAAAAATCAGAAATGAGAATGGAAGAATGCTTTCTTACCCGTTCAACATCGATTGGTAAGGTAAGTTGTTGCAGAACAAACGTCAGATTTAACATAAAACCATCTCCTGTGATTTGACTTTCATCAACCTAAATCAACAATTCTCGTTAGAACACAACGCTATGCTTCAATGAAGAGAATCTTCATCAAAGGTCAATGTACATTGCAAGGTCTCGTTTGAACAGATATACAGATAGATTAATGTGATATTCAATAGTCGTGATTTATATTTGAATATTCTTAATCTATTAAATTCTTTTAATTATTGATATAATGATTCAATCTACTCAAGTTCAACAAAACAAGGTGAAATCGATACATCAGACAGGTAATGATATCGAATAGGTATATTGACCTCGAAATGTATGTAATATATCTTCGAGATATCATCTCAAGACTGTAAATTAAGTGTGAGTTTGAAGAGAAAACTAACCGTTAAATGTGTTCGTTTTCGATTTAATTGAACGAACTTTTGTAAATATTCCAGCATTGCTTGTCGTGAGGAGATGTTCGAGAAGAAAGCAAGAACGATTTTATGCATTAATTTTCGAGCAATATACAATTGACTTTGAACGATTGAGCGTATTTGTTTTTCTTTGTATTCAGAATAATCTTGATTGTTCTGTAAGGAAAATTTATTCGAGAAAACTTTCGTTGAATCAATCAAAATCCTAGTTTTACCTCATCATCTTGTTCCTGATCGTTGATCTTATCAAGTTGTGTCACAAGTAATTCAATATCATCTTCTGCAAAGCATGACATGTAAAAAACAGGCGATAAGAGTGTCATGCGTTGTAAACTTTTGCCATTTTGTAATGCAACTTGTGGTAACCAGTCGTTTAATCCTACCAGATACGTACAAACTGGTCGATCGTTTCCATTTTTATATTCACACAAAGCTAAAAGCAGTGTCAACAGTCGAATATAGACGTTAGCTTCAGAATATGTTTGACGAAGACGATAAAGAATGGCACGAACGAGGATTTCACAAGTCTAGAAGAGCAACAATCCGAATGGATGAGATTTTCAAAAGTCTCTCTCGTTACTTTCATTTGCGGCTCTTGAGTGTAGGATATTCGAACGATTTCGTGTAAAAAAGACGTATGTAAATATTCGGAAGACGATTCATGTAGTAAGATATCTACGAATTTCAACATTCGATTCCACGTATCCAAAAAGACTTCATTATTTGTTATATACATAAGAGAATATCGCACGGATAATAATCGACAATGTTCAATAAGATCACGCTCTTCGCTCTGGAAAAGAAATGTCAGATGGGTGAAAACCCTCTCGATTCTGTCTTACAGTTGAGCTTTTGTAATCACAACGAGTATAGATGCTTAGAAAATACCACAGATAACAATCATATTGATTGGAATAGTTCATGTCATGTCTGAAAAAGTAAAAGGGAAGAAAGATTTCTTATGAACTGATTATTGGATGTTACCCAATTAACGATTTAATCGTATTTGTTTGTGTAGTTGTCAAACAACGAAGAAATATATCAGATAAAATCGATTTTAATCGACGTTGAGAAGATACTGTAAAATCAAATATTATGATATTGAATATCGTACCACGAATGACTTACATTCGATTAGATCATTGATAAACGACTGATTTTGATCAGTTATGTTCATTATTTGTCGAAGAATACGACGAAGAACAGATTCTTCATCTTTATTCAATTGATTCTAATTGTACGAAAGAAGAAGATCGATTTCGAACCAAGTGTATTAATCATACTTCAGATTTTCGTTTTTTGATTGTATTATTTCGGCTTCCGTCACTATCAATTTCATTTGATTGCGTCGATTCTTTCGATGTACTAGTCAAATTTATATCATAAGATCGTTTATCACCTGTTGACTGTTGACTTTGCAGTAATCTATTATGGGAAAAAGAAATGACGATGAAGTAGAACAACAATACAAAACAAACCTCTGTTCACCACTTGCACTTCCTTCGGAAAAAATGATTTCACCAATATCCATGTTTGTCACATCGGCAGAACTCGGCTGTTCAGAATCAATTTGACATGCTGAAATCGAATGGTAAGGTTAGTCAGTGCAAATCATGAAATATTTACTAGCGAGTTCATTCGATAGCTGGGTGGAAACTTGTTTATCATTGTTATCCGATGTTTGAATTTTCAGCGTGTTTCCACTGGAGAATCTTTCTAGTCGACGGCGACGAAGCTTTAGAAAAGGTGAAAAATGAACTTTGACGATAGTCTTCTTCGGAAAAGCCTACTTCATCTGGTGACAATTCAGTTGCTGTCGGCGGCGGCGACGATGATTCGATTGTTGAAGTTGATTCGTTGGATAATTCATTCATATTGACAAATATTCAAGTCGAATTGAAAATATTCTTGATCTAAAAGTAGATGGTTGAATCGAATTTCTATTCATCGAAACAATTTCCAACGCTGCAAATCAAACTCTGAGTCATCCGCATGATGAGTGTGACAGATGTGAAAAGAATTGAAATCAACAAATAACTCGATGACCGAATGTTTTTCGCAATTGATTAAAGTTTAAACATCAGCAGAAGAACGTACGAACAAACAGTTGTTACCTATCTACTGTTGTTCAGGTTCAATCTGGAAGAAAATTGTAACCATAGATTATCATGACTCGATAGATGTCACCAACAGAAAGATTCATTCAATAATTTGTTCACTGCGTATTGTAGACATTCATAATCAGGCAACTGAAACTGCTCTTGAAGGCTCAGAAGTTAATAAGCGGATTTCTGGCTGAAAAATGACGTCCTTTTGATCTCTGCCAGTACTTTTCACATCAGGAATAATCTTCTCATTGGTTCGACATGTCGAATGAAATGTACTGATGATAGTTTTCGTTTTTATTTGAATTCGATCAAACATAGAATTGTTGAAGTGTACAGAATTGAATTATTTTGCGAAATAATCCCGTGTGTTCAATCACAAACATACAAAAAATTTCGATAAGTGAGCTTTTTTATGAATAAACAAGAAGAGGGAGAGAAAACGAAGTGCATACACAGATAAAATGACAAAGAGAGAGAAAAACAGAGATTCGATGTGTTCAAATCCATCATTATGTCTATTGTCTACTAAAGATAAGTATTTGAAATGTTTCTGAATCATGATGATGATGATATTTCGTCTAGAAAAGCAAGAAGACCATATTTCTTCGAAATTAGCAAAGCCTGTCTTACTTTTAGTATCACCATTACTGTTAGAACAGTTTCCTGTGGCTGATGAGGATCGATTAAGGCGTTTTAGTTTTTTAATAAGCACATCTAGTAAAATTAATTTGAAAAGATTATATTAAAGTTTTCTCCTACTTCGAATACGTCGTAATTCCAGAATATCTTGTTCAAGTTTTTGCCGCGAACCTTGTTCTTTTGTTAATTCATTGCGTAGATCAACTAGCAAGAAAATATAAATAGAAATAATTAAAATCTGCAACAGTCTTTTTACCAATTTCATTTTCCAGTTGTTTTTCTCTCAGTCGAGCACTTTCAACAGTTAATTCGATCATATTCTTTATATGAAAATAGTTCAATGATGCAGCTGTCGGGAGAGCTGATGATGATGACGAAGGTGCTGACAAGATTGGTGGAGGCGGCGGTGTTTGGTCATTCGTCGGTGAAGATATATCAGTCGATGTCGAGGAAAGATCAATTGGTTTTATTAATCGATCTAATTGAGAAGGTTATCAGATTGATCAATAATCGAAGGCGCACGCACACATACCTCGTTGTGAATTTTCTTTATTAAGACTTTTTCCATTGTTGTTACTGAGCATTGCATCAATGGTAAATGAACGTAATTCATCTAAATGAAAACAAGAGAGTTGCAAGAATGCTTATCTGATCTTTCTATTCTCTCTGACTAGATGCAAGTAGACAAAGTCAAGTTAATTTGAAAAAAGAAATCACTGCCTGGAGGGTATCTATATAGTCGCTCTTTTCACAGTACGATTCCATGACATGATTTAATTTGTTTCGCGTGTCGATAATAATGAACTCATAACGACGACGAGCGGGCTCTTTTCTTTCTGTCGATAGGGGATTCGTGAAAACGGAAACCATTACTTTCGGTCTGAATGAATAATAAGAAAAACGAAGATGTTTCAAATAGATTTTGACAGCGAGAACAGGTTGACGGGGTGGATAACGAGAAAGTCATTACCATCATCGTCATTGTTTCGTTTTTTTTTTCGTTATTGCTCTTCATCTGATTATTATTCCACTCGGGTAAATCTCTTTAAAAAAGCAAAAGAGAGAAACAAATCTGTCTTTCTTTTTCTTCGGATTTCAAGTCAAAAGTAATTTGAAACTTGAGTATGTAAGCTGATTTTATTCTAATTGAATGTGAGTAGGTTCTTTTTTTATCATTANTAATCTTAACTTGAGCTTTTGATCAAACAATCTCTGATGGGTGTCGAATCCGGTGCGAAAAGGTTGTCTTCTTCTTCTTCTTCCTCTTCTTCTTCTCATCATCATCATTTTTTTCTTTTGCCTTTCATAAAAGAAACGCATCGAACGATGTAATCTGTGTATATTGATAAGCTTGACTTCGGGGCTACAAATGTATGATTAAGTAGGAAAATAATAGCACCTGCTGACGTAGGCAAAACAGTCGATTATTAATCAATCACAGTCAGACGAGAAGTAACGCACCATCGAATCGTAATGATGGGCGACGTAGCACACTGATTTCATAATCGAAGATGCTTCCGTTTTTTTCTCTCTCATTTTTCAATTTCAATAATGATCAAGACAAATGCGGCAGATAGATTTTCTTTTTCTTTCTCTTCTTCTTCATCAATCTATACAAATCTTTTAGCGCATCGAATTTCGTCTTGCTTCTATGATATTGTTATGATTGTATTGTTCATTGAATTCTCTACAGATCAGTTTCGTGTCTTCATTGCTGTCTTTTGATATGATAAAACGTCGTCCTATGTACACACACACAATTGATTGATTCAAAAACTATCCAAAACAATAACATTATCAGACAAACAATAAGCAAATCTCTTTCATTATTTCTTCGAAAACATGACAATCAATATTGAAAAGAAAGCCGGACAGGATTAATTGACTGTCATCATTGAATTACATATTGACACATACATCGACATTAGCCACTCACATTTACTCTCAAAAAAAGCAAATATACCTAAGACGAGAGGGAAAGAGAAGAAGAAGAAGACGACAACCTTTTCGCACCGGATTCGACACCCATCAGAGATTGTTTGATCAAAAGCTCAAGTTTAGATTAAATGCTCATTGTCACATTAGTTTTCTTTCGTTTCGACAAATGAAAACGAAAGTTCGGACTAGTCACCGATCATTAAACACACAAATGATTTTCGATATGCAATGTATTCGCCTGATAATCAGCCTGTCTGACTGATAACAACTGTCAGTTGCGAATCATTTCCAAAATATATACATCGAGAGTTAAAATCGAAGAAAAGAAAAGCAGCACTCATCTTCGTTTATCATTTCAACATGTTCGAACAATTAGACATTCGCGAACGATATGTGAATACGAAATTTCAATAAATTTCCAAGGTAAACAGCGATTTATCAAACTGAATATGTCAACGCTCGATAATCTCGACGAAAAAAAAACACAACAACTTTGTAAAGTTCATACAACAAATTAGATAGATTAAAAATGAGTTATTCTTTTCGAAGATGATTGCATTTGTATGTAGAGATCGTTGCACATTTTCCGGATATATTCTAAGAATTGCCTGGAGGAATTTCTTGTAAGAATAGATTTGCTGAAAAAGATATCAATTTAATTATATCGTTTGGATAAACCTTAGGTAAGAGTTTTTCATATCCGGATGATATTTTTCCTTTCCAGTAGAGAATGTTTCAATCAATTCATTAGCTTCACAAAACATCGAATGTGACTTGTGTGAAAATCATGTATCGACTTTTTTCTCTTTTGTTTACTTGATTAATTGAAAGAAGAATGATGAAGTGATCGTATGAGAGTTTAAGTACACTTTCATTCTTATTATCATGTACATTTTGTTAAAATAAACAATCTCGGATGCAAACAGTTCGAAGTTGAAATTTGAGAATGTCTTGAACTTCTATTTGGTTCATTAAATAACAATTGCTAGAAAGAATCGATTCGATGCGAATGATCTCTAACGACATCTGACTCTACCTAACAAAGGTGAGTCAACATTTGTTCCTAAGCGACCATCAACAGTTTTCAACATTCATGGTTCTGTCTTTGAACGTCATATTATTCCAATAATTGATATTACATCAGGATGGGTGACAGTATTGATTCCGATATTATTAAACGTACTCAAGATACTCTTGGTCAAATCATTACTGCGCCGGCATTGACCGAGAAACTTCTCAGTCGACCACCAGTACAATTTCTTCAAGATATCGTCAAAGCTGTATGTTGATTCAATCGCAAAAATATTTTGCTTTATATTGTAAACGTGAAAATCTGTAGGTCATCAAGAAAACGGATTTTCTTCAAGGATTGTATACGGATGAAGAACTTACGCCAGCCTATCTCAAGGAAGGCCGAGAGAACAAAACATTATTTATGAAAAAACTCGTTACTGCTGTTTGTTAGTAAAGACATTCTGAAAAAGCAATGTTTTGCTGATTCGTTAATTTAGACATTGCGGTCAAACGAGCGCCTGAAGTACGTGTTTCGAAAATTCTCGCTGGTCAGGAAGCAGACAAAACGAACCTTTTATTACAAGCTCTTGCTGAAGCTATTAATTCGAAGGTTAATAATCGAGAAGTTGTGCGAAAAACTCTACAAACTCTTGGTGAATCGAATGAAAACGAAGAACCACCAGCAGCGAGTCGAGATCAGAAACAATCAGAAACACGTCGAACAAAAGAAGAACGTTCAAGCCATTCTCGTGATCGTGATCGTGATCGAGAAGAATCATCAGAAAAACGATCGCGATCAGAAGATCATAGTAGAGTAAGAAATAGGAATGGTGGTAGACCGGAAGAAAACTCTTTCGGGTAATTTTTTAAAAGGACAAAGGTGAAACAGACGGAAGTAGTCAGTCGAAACACCGACGAAGTTCTCGTGCACTGGATGATGGTGGCAGTGGAGAAAGAAGAGCCGCACCTTCACGTCGACAAGATGACGATGATGACAACGAGAGAAAAGTTTGAACCTACAACGTTTTAGGCTAATTTAACAGAAAATGAAATTTTCAGGGTGGTGGTGATGATGAGGATGACTCTCGAAATCGTCGATCTATACGACCAACGTCAGCCAAAGGTTCACGAAAACATCAGGATAGTAGTAATCATCATCGGCCATCATCTCCAAAATGTAATTATTTCATTTTGACAATGATCTATCTTCATCTCTTTATTTTTTATAAACATCTCTTCAGCTGAACAACCAATACGACCACCTCCGACATTAGTCTCAACAGATCGAGATGATAACGACGGGTATAACTCGTATATCAATTCTATTTTCCGTTCTAGCTTCTATTCTTTTTCAGCCGACCTCTCGTCCGACCAACTACTGCAGCTAAACGAGGTAAACTTATGACTCAAACATCATCAGATGAAATCGGCACAACATCCGGAAAGTAATTCGAATCTTTCTTCTCTTTTAACTATTTCTCTCTTCTCGTACCAAAGAGTCTTGAGCGGAGCCCAACGTGGTCAAGGAACATTGATCGTCGAAAGCAAAGATACTCGTGACAATGACATGAACAATGACAATGATGACGATGATGACAATTTTCTCATTCAAGAAGAAAAGCCTTCGGTGACAAGATCAAGTGTAAACATTTCCAATGCAAGTCAACTTTAACTTTGTTTTGTGTAAATAGAAACAAGACACTTTCGACACTCGTGGTGGTGATCAGGACGATGATGATGCTGATCAACATGGTGGATTAGTGAATGAAATGATGAAGTCGAAAAAAACGTTAGAAAATGGTAGTGAAATTCCTGGACAACGTGCAGAAGTGGTCAGCATTCGACTTGATGGAAATGAATTGTTATTTGGTTTCTTGTTTAGAAAACGATCGCACAAAATGATGCTCAGCGTCGTCGCGAACGTGAGAAGATTCAAAAAGATGTCGATAAACTTCGTGAAACAATTCAGTCTTTGACAAAAAGGTTTGTTTTCGAGGATTGCAACTTTTCTTTAAGGATTTTAGGATTTTAGTGTTGTACCATTGGGTAAAATTCTCGAATTCTTGCAAGAAGATTATGAAATGATGGCAAAAGAAATGCAACATTATACAGATGAATACAAACGAACAGTTGTCGAGTTAAGAAAAGAGAAATTGTGAGTTAAATTCGTATCTGACTGACCGTGACATTATAAAAACTATGAATAACTTTTCTAGCACAACTGATCAAAACCTCGAACCACTCCGAGCTGCATTACTTGATTTCGATGATCAGATCGCCGATATGAAAAATCGTATTATATTTATGAAGAAAAAAGTCAGTACAAATGAGAAAAACAATGCAGGTCGTCTTTTAGATATAATCCGTAAAGCAAAATAATGAACTGTCGTTTTAATGTTTCATCTCTGTGTGTGTGCATGGGCGTACTTCTTTATATAAAATATACAGATCTTTATTCAGATTAATACGTTGACGCTGTCAAAGTATCTAACTGACTTCGACGTGAATGAAGAGGTTTGGCCTTGTATGCTCCATGTTCGACGAATAAAAATCGGACCAATTGAGGGAAAGTCGTGATGTGCTGAGTTTTGATTTGTAAGTCTTCACAAGCGAGAGCTTCTTTTTGAATACGAGCGATCAGTTGTTCATTCGTCATGCCTTGATTTGGCACAGCGAAGTAATCGAGATGAAATCTTGTGCATCGATCTTTACTCGAACTTGCCAATGAAAAGATCCAGTCGAAGATCATTTTCGTTCGAAGCATATGAAATTCATTTGTAATTACTGCCAAACGAAACAATTCCATCGGCTCTAGAATACATTGACGAGCAAAATACGCATTACCAATCGTGTCTAACGACCAATTTTCGATCAGAATCTTCTCCGATGGAATATTTCTTTCCATCAAGTACGCTGCACTAGCGGTTGCTTCATCGACAGGAAACGAATGTGCATCGAGTACGGGTGGGCGATGCGTTGTACCTCGACTTAAAACCAAAAAGTAGCATGTTGATGAGGCCATTTCAACAGCACGATCCAATCGAGCAGCTACCCATGCAGACGGATTTCCATCATCATCGACTCCGCCGCCTGGTAGCACAATACAGTCATAGATCATCTCCAAAAAAAAAACAAAGATAAAAGATACAAATGATTAAGAAAGTTCATTCATTGTACTAGAATAAAGAATAAAACAAAGATCACCGAATATACATTGCATTAAATAACAAATCAACTGACAAACAATAAAAATGAAAATGCATAGATTTGTAATATATAAAAGAAGATGTGCAAGCAGATTAACGATGAAGTTGTTCTATAAATGATTTATTCTCTTGAGTTCCATTTGGAGAGACTTTCAAGCTAAACTGTTTCATCGTCGACTCTAATGCTTCTTTATTACCAGAGAAGTAGGCAGCGATGGCATTGTGAAAGAGAAGCAATTGATTTTTCATAACCTTTGTCTAGAGAACGAAATAAATCGTTTGAATATTCTTCGTCTCAAACAAATCAAACCTGATTTTCATCGAGAAGTTGAAGTTTAATACTTGTATCGCTTTTCAACTGTTCGTATCTTTCTTTATATTTTTCCAGTTCATACAGTTTTTCATTCGTTTGTGCACTTGCTGATAAAAGTGCAATTTCCGCTCGACAGGCATCGTATTCCAGTCTAAAACGAGTATATTTTCTCTGAAAAGTTTCTTTCCGGTCTACAGTCTATACCTTGCGTTTTCATACAACCGAATAGTGGTAATTGTATCTTCGATGGTTTTCGTACAGAGTGTATTCATTGTTGAAATGAAGTAATTCAATGCATTGAATAATGTTTCGCCGTTTCGCGCTAGTAACCGTTGTGTTTCAGCGTTATAGCTAAACTCATCGACAAGTACTGATGTTTTTTGTTTTAATTCAATAAATTGATCACCTAGAAGGTAGTGAACTGAAAACATGTTGTTTGAATTTCGAAGATTTACTTAGAGCTCTCTGTGTTTGCATTAGATTGTAAAAATGATTTGCATAACTTCGAGCTAACGCAAGCATATCTTCGTATCGACGTTTCGTTTCTCTCAAATGCTGAAAATATTCAACGACGAACATGATTGTAGAGATAGTTTTGCGCATCGACTAACCTCTATTTGAGCATCGAGTTCAACATTGACCGTGCGCGATGTTTTACCCAACTTTTCGAATAAGGATTGCTTTGTGCATTTGTACGTGGTGCGAGTCCATTGTTTGAATTTATCAATCGTTGGAGCAACAGCAGCCACGGCTGCGGCCGATGATGAAGATATTCTTGAAATATCAGGCATCGTTATTCGTCGATCTGTCGTCATTGAATTCGATGAAAAATTGTTACCTGAAAGGAAGAAAATCGAATGAATTCTTGTTGAGAGAAAATATTTAGTTATGTACTTGAAAAGAAATATGAAGGAGTGTTGGACATGGCACCAGCCGTTGATAATGAATCAGTTTGAAATGGTGCTTTGTCATTGAGACTCACATAGAGTGACGAATGATTTTCGATTGCTGGAGTTACTTGTTGATCAAGATCTATTGTCGAAAAATCAATGGATTCTTGAGCGTGATGACTAAAGTTCATTTCATTATCATTCGAACGTGTTTGTTCTTGATTTAATGAACCAAACGCAGCATGAAATGATGTCATTTTTTCTCTAAAAAAAGCACTAGAGCAAAACGATCACGATAGGAACTTGTGGTTGGCGTATATATTCAACTGATTGCAATCGAATTTGAAGTTATCTGATTAAGATATAATGGGAAGCCATATGATATGGGATAGATGTATGCATTTGGTCTAACAGTAAGTGAGAAAGAATGTAAACGTCGAATTGAATAATAAACTTGATGTCTGTTTCGAATATGATTGATGTGTACGTGAGAATATGTTGTATATGTTTGAAGAGAAATTTCAAGAGGAACTTTTCGGACTCTAAGAAGTGCAGGTTTGCTTGGCATTGTCTTTCTGTTCAATTGAAAATATGTTGCCTAGTGTCTTTGCAAGAGAATTGTGAGAACCAAAGGAATAGATGACGCTACTTATTGTATATAACCATTGTACTGTTTCGTTTATCATTCCATATTACTATTCTTTTGAATAAAAAGAATTTTGTTAAATCGCACGAATAACTTTAGTATTTACTGTCTTAAGTTGAAGACAGCCAAGTTGAGAGACACAACGAAATGTTATCACACAAGATTATTCGAATGTTTTACGTGTTGAATTGGATGTAAAATTATCAAAAACACATTACTGGATATGCTTGATAGAAGAAAACTATCAATGTGATTTTTGAAAAACGATTCTGTAGATGGCGTTCACTGCATACTGAATTAAGTCAATTTTGAGTTTAAATATTTGAAAAAAAACTCGATTTTACTTGGAACTTATTCATTGTTTAGTATTTTCCATGAGAATTCACTTTCATCCTGACATCAACGTGTACACGACATTGATAGCATCCGATCTATTCCAATCATATTCGTTCGCCGGCTAAAACCCTTCCATTTCATTTCATTTCACGCTCCACACCTTCTATAAAACGATATGGCTTCGAAATCGAATCTAAAGTTGAAAGATTATCTTTCGGACGATGGCAAACTTGATCTATCAATTCTTAGTTTGAAATCAGTTCCAAACGTCAATGACATTGTAAACTAATTCGTCTTCAAGTGAATATTTTCTCACTATTCATTCGTTCTACTTTTAGTTAGCCTTACGCAAAGTTAAATCAATCGATTTATCAAACAACCAAATCGAATCGTTACCCGCATGTATTTCTGTGCGCGAATATCACATGAAAAAAGAATGTTTTTTCTCTTATTTCTCAGGAAGACTTCGTCAAACTCGAAGGTATTCACACATTGGACTTATCGAGAAATCGTCTAACGAAATTGCCGGACAATTTTGGTCAACTCAAAACTTTGAAACAACTCGACCTTTACGATAATCGCATCAGCAATTTACCTCTTTCTTTTTGTGATTTGACAAAGCTTGACGTAAATATTCACTCGTCCGAAGAACATACGCGATTGTTACATGAATGTGACCTTAGTATTTAGATCTGAAAGGAAATCCTCTAGATGCAGACCTACAAAGCCAAGCTGGTAAATGTTTGAATAAGAAAGAATGTCGATCGTGTGCCGAGAGAGTTTTGAAATATATGGAAACGCAAAAGGAAGAATTCGATAAGGAAGAAGCGATTCGATTGAAAAAGAAACAGGCGAATGACAAGGCAAAAGCGAAAAAAAGAGAAAAACAAGCGGAGAAGGAACGAGAAGAGAAACGTTTGAAACGTCAAGAGATCGCTCAAAAACGATTATTAGAAAGGGAACAACGAAAGAAAGAAGTAAATGAACAAGATGATCAGAAGGAGAATATTCAAAACAAACAAACAAATGAAAATCAAGATAACGATCAAGAAGAAGGAATAAGTAAGAATTGTAAGATGAAATCACATGATTTGATCTCGAATTTTAGTATCACAAATAATCGACGGTGTTCTCAATAGTCTCTTACTTAGTCTAATGACATTTTTTACCTGGCAATTGTATCAGAATCATCGACAACCGATGAATCTACAAGATTTTTATAAATATGTTTGATACAATCACTTTTATTTTCTTTTTGTCTGTTATTTGGGTGAATAAATGCTACGCTTGATTTCATATTCGTAAGAGATACAAATACATTTGATTTGTTTTAAGATCTTCCTAAACATGGTGCATTTATCATTTGCTCGATATGTATGTACAAGAATGTTTATGAAAAGACAAAGAAATGATTGATTTATATCTCAGGCTTCAATCGGTTTCCTTGGATTGGGAAATATGGGTAAACATATGGCAACGAATTTGATTGCGGCAAATCATCAAGTTAAAATCTTCGATGTGAATCCTCAAGCACTTGACCATTTTAAAGATCAAAGTAGAAACAAATAGACTCTAATAGGTCACTTCGATGGATTGCTTTTATGTATGTTTAGAAGAAGCAAAGGTTGTATCTGTTCCGCAGAATGCCATTGAAGGTTCGGAATTTATTGTTTTAATGTTACCCAATGGTAAAGTTGTTCGTGATGTTTGTCAATCGAATGTTTTCCCGTAAGAAGAATTAGTATTCAACTCTTTCACGTTTTTTTTTCTTTATTCCTTTTCTTTTCAGGGTAGCAAAGAACGGTACATGTATCATTGATTGTAGTACAATCGATGTACGTACATCGCAAGAAATGGCAGAAGTTGCTCACAGTAAAAATGTCGGCTTCGTCGATGCGCCTGTTTCGGGTGGTGAGTATTCTTTGATTGTTCTTAACGTTGGAATTTCTTGTTGTATTGTAGGTATAACCGGTGCTCAGAAAGGTACATTAACATTTATGGTTGGTGCTCAAGCCGATGATTTTAAAAAAGTTGAACCTATTCTCAGTAAAATGGGTAAAAACATTGTTCATGCCGGTCCAAATGGTAGTGGTTTAATTGCTAAGATCTGCAATAATCTTCTCTTAGGTATCAGGTATGCAAATGCGTATTTCCAAGTATGTTTTATTTTCTTATTATTCTCTTCTTTCAGTATGATTGGTACCTCGGAAGCAATGAATCTCGGTATCAAGTCAGTATTTTTCATTGAAAAATGTTTGAAAATAGGAATTCTTTGAACATTTTTAGACTCGGTCTCGATAAAGAAGTTTTAGCAAAACTGATCAATTCTTCCACTGGTCAATGTTGGTCAAGTCAAACATACAATCCATGTCCTGGTATTGTTCCCACTGTTCCATCAAGTAATGATTACAACGGTGGTTTCGCCAGTGAAATGATGATTAAAGATCTTTTACTTGCTCTTGGTATGCACTTATTACTTCTCATTCCATCATCATGCTTTCCCTTTCGATTTTTAGATGCAGCGAAGGAAGTTCAAGCATCGACACCATTAACTGAAAAGGCCACGGATGTCTACCGTAAAATCTGCTCAAGTGGATTAAGCAAACGTGATTTCAGTGTAGTTTTTAAATATCTTAATGAACAATAGAGCGTACGATGTGCTTTTTGTCGTCGTCGCAGGTTTGCTTTTTCTTCAAAATATAAATACAAAGAAAAAAAAAGAACAAAAAACGATGAATGTAATAGATAGATAGATACACATGCATAAATGAACAAAAAGAAGAAGAAGAACGAACAGTGAAACATTGCTTTATTAAATATATATGATTTTTTTGGGGAGGTGTGCTATTGTTGTTGTTGAAGGTAGAAAATTGTCTTTTCATGAAGAAAAACACTTGCCGAAGAAGCAATTTCGTAGGGAAACGAAGAAGTTTTCCTTTCTCGTTGAAGAGGGGTTATGTCAGGACGGAGAAAATCGAATAGAATAAAAGAATCGAAGGTGGATTTATCACCGGTAAGAAACCGAAACGAAAAACACACAAGGTTTTGGAAGCGTATGAAGATAATTGATCAATACTAGAACGACGTACATGTCTAAAAATCAATTATTGAATAAAAACAACTGTTTCTTTCCTTCGCCGACAAGAGAATCTTTCTGTTCAGAATAATATCAAGTGAGAAAAACACAACAAAACCTATCCGGGATGTGGAATTTGCTAGAATCTCGAACTTGTTCTTGCTAGTCTAATATGAAAGAATACTGGCAACCAATCGACCTAAATGACCAACAACAGCAATAACAATAGAATAGAATTTTTATCTCATGCATAGACAATGGATGCAGATAAACATGGTAAAATAGAACAGAAAGCAACCTATAAATAAAGTGCTAAGAGCAAGAAAATGTACAGCGTGCGAGTATATGAAACACAAGATAACTGAAAAACAAAGAATGACGACAATAATATTGAATGAGACAAGCACCTGTGTATGTGTGTACGCGAAAGAAAGAAAGTTGAAGAAAACGAAAACAGAGAAAAATCAAACGAACGTATTCTGATGCAGAATACAATGACAGAAAGAGAGAGAGAGTTGGTGATTTTGTTTGCAACTAGGATGAATAATTTGGATTTCTTGTGTTCAATAGTTTTGACTAAATAGAAGAAAGAAAGAGATGAAAAGTCTTTTCTTTTCGAAAGAATGGCAATATGTTAGGTCTTATTGAGCAACTACAGCGATTAGTATATGCATACATGAACTTAAGTTGTCTATTCTGTTGATGGAGATGATGACTATAAGGAAAAATATGCCACAAATCAATATAATGTCGAAAAGAAAAATGAATCTGATAAATCGCGTTCACAGCAATGACTAGAAAAGTCGTGACAGTTGATTTTTATTCTCATAATTACTGATTGATATGAGGAAAACAATGAATGGCTTTTAATTATGAATTCCAAGTCTCTAGGATGTCCTATGTGAATGAGATGAACCATCGAATGACATCTGTTGATTAGTTTACGAATATTACGTAATGACGAACGTCGAAATGACTTTAGTTTGAAAGAAAATTTACTTGTGGAGAAACAACTGACGGTGAATCGAACACAGGTGAAGATGTTGTTGGTTGTTGAGAATTACTAAACGTTCTTTCGAAACAAACAAGACGAAATCAAATCACAGATTGGACATATTCAAATGTATACCTTTGTAAATTGGGATTCATCTGGTGATACGATCGATGAAGTGAAGAATTCGTTGATATTGGAATGTCAGTAGTACTGTTCACTTGTGATGAATACGGATATGTTGATTGCTGAGGATTATAATAGTATTTAAATTTTTCATTATTATTATTATTTGCATAGGTATCTGCAGGATGATAATAAGATGTTGATTGATTGTATGAAAACATTTGTGATGAATGTGGGTAAGGTGTTGAAGGATTGGTATTATAATAATAATTATTCATATCGTTTGATTGTGATGGTGGATAATAGTATTGAGAAGAGGAATGATAAGTTGGATAATACATCGACGAATGCTGAGACTGTTGGACAGAATAACATGGAATGTTTATAGTTGCATCTAGAAACACGATCAACAAATAAAAATTGAAAATATCGGCAAGAAATGTCTTTACTTTCACAACGATTTAAGTAATCTTGCAAATCATTTGCATTTGTGAATAAATCTGATGATAAATTCATATGAGTTAATTCGTTTTCTAATTCCGAATTTCGTACACATGGTAATGAATATTCCACATCGTTCATAATCATTGGCTGAGAAGCTAAATAATCATTCGCTAATGACGAACAGAGAATGAGATCTTCGATAACACTTGTTAAAACTGGTGAACAATATGATTCATCAATAGATGTATAGTTTCCATTCAGAATTTGAGTTAAAATAGTTTGAAAAATTCCTTCCTGTTTCTGACAGTTCAATGCTGTGAATGAGATAAAGAGAGATGAGATGAAATACGATCGAAGGAAGCAACTTACATAAAACAAAGAAGTAGAAATATTTGACGATTAAAGTTAATTCATTCTTAGATTCATTTGACGAGCTGATTTGATATTTCGTGGCGAAATAATTGATTTTCTGGGTACAAAAGATATTCGCACGGTTTAATTGAGTTGAACATTTTCTAGAAAAAAAAGTTTTTCATTTTGTTTCGTTTGTCTTATTTAATTCAACTTTTACTTTTCAAGTTGTTGTTCAAGATTTCGAACAGTTTGAATTTGTTTGTCCGTTGGTAATCGTACGAAATTTTGGATCGAATCGATGAAAACTGTTGGCGAAGACGATAATCTATCTAAACCTTTGGCACCATTGATTAATTCATTGACAATATCACTTGAGATATTCGTTTTAGAGCTGCTTTCATTCGAAGATATTGTTGATTGATCATCATTGATCGACGAAGGAACCGAATGAAAAGATAAAGGTGTTGATGTTTGTCGTTTGAAATCAACAGATAACGAACTGATCGATAATGTTGATGAATTGGTATTATCAGTTGAATCAGTCGATAAGAATGAATGATTTTCTACATAGATATCAAAAGCATAAGATCGATTAGATCATAAAGAAGAGAAAAATGCGTCTAGAAGATATACCTAGACTTGATGATGTAATGACAACATCACGATTGGGTTTTTTATATAATTGAATAACTCGTTTGTAATAAATATTCTTCTTTTGTTCGCTCATCTCAGACCACATCTCAAGCATTCCTAAAACAGATTGTCGAGTTGATTTTACAAGAGTTATTGCAACAAATATTAACAAAGTTGCTACGGAAGAACAGAGCGATTGTCAATTGAGAGAGAAATTTGTCCAAACAGTATATTGTCACCTGTACGGACGTCATTTTTGATAGAAAGAGACAGAAGAATAGCTATTACTCAGAGAAGTCTTGAATGATTCATTGTCGGGAAAAGTAATTTCGTGTTTTTGTCTGTCAACTTACGTTCTTCGACTTTGGCCGGATTAGTAACTCGTTCATAATTTCCACGTTGGTCTTTCGTGTGGAGTAGATAAGCCTGTTCGTCTAATTCTTGCTGTGTGATAACCTTCGAACGTGATTCTGAAAAGAAAACAACTTATCAGTGAACTTTACACTACGAAAAGGAAAACTTTACCATTGGGTTTTGATGAATTCGTTTTTTTGTTCGTTCGGAGAAAAGTCGTTTTACGATTGGATACTCGAACTATTGGTATTATCTGTTTTATGTTTGAAATAGATGTATTGAGTAAAGTTTTCAACGCTTGATCATTACTAGTCGAAACAACTCGTCTGAAAAAAAAACCCAAATCGAATAAAATTTTCTGAGAGTAAGGGAAGTCTTACTCAATCATTTCAAATAAGAGATCTTTGATGACGAATTCATCATTCAATTCCAGTTTGAAGTGTTTTGTTTTCGATTTATAGAGTTTTTCATTGTAATGACTTTTGACAGGAGTTTCATTGGCACGTCGTCGTCTTTTTATACATTGGGATGAACCCGCTTGCAAAGTTGGCGATTTTTGCAAAGATCGTTTTTTATTAATTAACATGACTTGCCCATCGGAATTAGCCGTCGGACGTGTCAATGATTTTGATTTGTTTGGTTTTAAGAATGTTTCATCATTGGATTGTAGATAGGACGTAGTAAACGAGGGGAGGGTTGAATATGATGTTGATAATGAACGACTTTGACGTTTGACTGAATCTTTGATGTTAATCGATGAATCGAGTTCAACGAAAGAATCATCAGTTGGACAATAGTTTTGAGTTAAATCTGGCGACGAAGATGTCAAAGATGTAGGAGATAGTTCGCTTGTCGGTGGAACAGACCAATCAGTTGAGGTTGATGAATGACGTTTTGGTAGTATTGCTTCATCCGAGATAGGTTCATCTGATTTTTCAACAGCTGAAAAGAAATGAAAATTAGGTTTCATGTCTTTCATGAATGAGTAAGATGCAATTAGTTGTTCTTCTTTTTGATCTTTACCTTTCGTATTCATCGTTGAAGTTTTATTTGATCTCTTTCGTAATGTATCGGACACATTTCGAAGATTCGAATTCGTATTATCAATAACAGGAGGTGGAGGAGTAGGTGGCAGTGCTGCCGGTGAATGATAATCGCCAAGAACTGATTGCTGATCGGGAACATCGAGTAGATTCGTAGCTGATGATGGTGAAAGTATTAATTGATCTTGATGAACATTTGTTGATGAGATTAGTGAAGAGGATTTTTCCGGTCGAGTTGATGAGGCGAGTAAAGGTTTTGTTAATTGAATTTTTGTTGGAATACGTAAAGCCGATGCCAGACCATCGCCACTGGAGAGCATTTTGATGGATGGTGATGAAGAATTCGTAGTTTGAGGGACAATTAATTTTACCAATTTAGCTGAAGAATTCGAATTGCTATTTGTATCATATTGTTGAATGATAACATTATCTTGACGAAAAGATTTCTTTGACAATTCCGAATTGCTTTTCACAATCGTCATAACCGATGGTGGAACAATGACTGGTGTCGATTTATTCTAGAGAAAATCAATGTATAGTTGAGCGAAATTCGATTTGAAAGTTTTTACTAAAACTCGAGTTGATATTTGTTGACTTTGTTCGTATTCATCATCGCTATGATACGTTTTTGCTGATGGTTTCATAATTAATGCTAACGATGTGGCCTTTTTCGTATAGAGCATATCCATTTGCATATCAGATTTTGATTTGCTATGCTTTATCGAACTTTCGAAGAATTCATTTGCATCTGAAACAAAAACAGATTATTTTATTGCGAAAAAAAACACGAAGATTTTCGAATTACTTTGATCATCAGTAGGAGATTTCCGAGAATGATTCGAGTTCGAAGACGATTGACTGAATTCCCATGATGAATTTCGATGTTCTACATGTCGATATTGTCGTTTCGTTCGACTGTGCCTTTCATTAGCTTGATCTGTCGTTGCTTTGATCGCACGTCGAGAATTTGCTAATCCATGCCGTTTTGCTGATGGTGGTGAGGGTGATGACCGAATGGATGATGATATGGGTCGTTTACGATTCGGAGAAGTTGTTGTTGTTGATGATGACATGATTTCAGTCAAAGAAATAAATAATTTATTTGAGCATTGAAATCGACTCGATGGAAATTATGTACAAAAACAACAAATGATGATGAAAATCTAGAAAACGACTTTCTTTCTTTTTTCCAACCAATACTATTTCATGGTACCAACTATGACCAAAAAACCTTGAACGATGAAGAAGTAGACGAATCTTTTTTTTTTCTCTTCCTCGGATCGGGACGATGACGACGATGATGATAGAGCTACTAGTAAAACTAAGCAGGAATGGATAAATTGATCAACGAATAGAAATTGTTCTGTTTAGATGTCTTGATGTCGTGCGCAAATTACCATGGCAACATAAATCTAACATGGCGATGAAAATATATACACATGAAGACATACTCAATTAATTTCAAAGAATTATTTATATGGAAATGATCTCATTTTCAACGGATTTCAAATTGCAAAGCAAAGGTTTCATTTTGAAGGTTTCTTCTTCTAGATTTTCTTTTTTTTGTTGACATGTCGTGGGATATCGAATTGGATGATCAATTGCTACAGGATCTCTATGCCTGGATCGATACAATTCCTTTAAGTCGACCAAAGAAGCATATCGAAAAGGATTTTTCCGATGGTGGTAAGCTATTCTTGTTTATTTAATAAGAAATCATTCTTTTTTTTCTCCTGCTATTGAAAGTTATGGCTGCCGAATTAATCAAACATTATTTTCCTAGTTGGGTAAATATTGTGAATAATTGATTTGTATGCGATTTCTGTTTTGCATTAGGTTGATACACACAATTACGTAGCGTCGAACAGTACACAGCAGAAATTGATTAACTGGGGTCTTTTGAATCGCAAAGTTCTCTGCAAATTTGATATGAATGTTCCTGAACAGGTTATGCGTGGAATTTGTCTTGGCCGTGCGAGACTGGTGGAAATCTTTCTATACAACTTACGAAATCGAATCGATGAGTATGTCAAACGAAAAAGATGTTCTAGTTCGATGTTCATTTCGTCAATTCTCATTCCAGTTGTCTATCAGGAGAACAACCAAAATCTCATTCTCCTACTCGAAATCGGTTTGTGTTCAGTGTGACTAAAATAAACTTATCTTCTTTCAATTACAATTCCTCATTTCGATATTAACTTTTCTCCTCGTAGATCTCATCCTCAGCCAAACAGAATGAATGAATCGAATATGAACACATCACGTCAACGTCGTTCTCCACCATCACAATATGATCAACCTTCACCAGGATATCCGAGTAAGAATTTTAAAAGAGACCTACAAAAGACATATGTATATAAATGTTATTCAAAATTTAGTCAATGTAGGATGACGACAGTAGGTTTTGCTCGATGCAGTTTCCTTTTCTTCATTTCTCTTTGTTATATTGATTATCTTTGCATGTTGATGTATCCCACCGAATTCTGCTTTGGAGTTTTGCTTGATTTTTCACCGAGAAATGATTTTCATGTTGTGTTTTTAGGAAATGAATCGAAAAATACCGGATATGGAGGACAGTAAGTATTCAGCGATCGAAATTAACATCGAATTTATGTGATCTATTTAAAGAATAGCAAAGAGATCGACTTCAATGCAAAATTTAACTACAGAAATGGTTAACCGTGCGCATTATAACGAGAAGGAACAAGAGTGTCGAGCGAAAGATCAACAAATCGAAGTAAAATCGAACTTTGATCTCTTCGATTGTAAAACTTGAGATTTTTGTTAGGTTTTACAAGCGAAAGTTCATCGTCTGGAACAGTTACTCCGTTTAAAAGATGTTCGTGTCGGTGATTTATCAGATAAACTTGAACAATCACGAACTGTTGCCGGTGGTCATGGAGGAAGATCTAATCGTCAACAATATACTAACGTATCCATGAATGGACGTAAATAAACACTTGAAATAACTTTCGCTCATCTGATTTCATCTCATTACATTTGTTTCTTGCTCATAACAACTTTTCTAATGAAATCAATTGAAAAGCAGGATTAATAAATAGATCACGTATATTTTCATCGCTTATGTTCACTTTTGTTGTTACGCTGTTGCACTTGAATGAACTGTTACACTAACGTCATCTAATTCCTTTTTGAAAGAAGTGATATTTAGGAATGAGACTGAAGTTGTTTCATGACTTTAAAATAGAAACTTATTAGAAAACCTATTAAAGATGCTTTAATGACTTGAATTATTTGATTAGATTTCTAATCGAGTTTGTAAACAAGGTCGCGTTACGCACGAGAATTTAGAACCGATTTGATAATGAACTATCGGAGATCTGATGTGTTGCGATAGTTGGAGAGAATGTTTCATTTTCTCTTATGTTTATTTCAACATGGTTTTCTTTTATACAAAAGATTTTTCATTCAACAAAACAAAAAGAAGAAGAGATATTGAATTAATATTAAAAAAAAACTGTCATAGTTTCTCTCATTCTGTTTATATGTATATATCATCATAATCGACAATTCAAAGAGAAAGTATAACAACACTGTTCACTTGACGAGAGAGAGAGAGACAGAAAGCAATTGTAGCAATAAACAACACGTGAAAGAGAAATCAAGTCAGGTAAAGTAAACAAAGTGAGAAATGAGAACTGCACACTAAGAAAGAGAGAAGAAAAACGAGAAAATTTATTTGACAAGATCGCATCATTCATCAAGATTTCAACGTGGAGAGTATTGTTTTCAATGAACGTTTATTATTATGGTGAGTCTTTGGTATCGGTGGTGTTGGTGCAAGTGTCGTTCGATTAATCAGATTACCATTCATTGCGCTCGTTGGAGTTAAACTGTTTGGTGTTCGAAGTTTCGATGGATGATCGGCATGGATGTCTACTTCAAAAAGAGAATTTATTGTTTTGGTGTTGATGAGAAAGTTCTTGGTAATTACCTTCGTGTGAACCTCGATCGATGGATTTCTGTCGGGCTAATGAACGGAAAAGAAATTTGTCAGTAAAAGCTTTGTTGGTGTTCGTTTCGGAATATTCGACTTTTTTGACGAGAACGAATTTCGAATTAGTTGATGTCCATAGTCGTTGAATGCCGTAGATTTTCTCATCATCAGCTAACAAACGACGCTTTATTGGTATTCGTCGCGTGGTATTTATTGTATTCAAATCGGTTTCTTCGATCAGACCATAATCATTTGGCATTCCTGTCATACGGATTTTTGTCATTAACTAAACAAAAAAAAACGTTATTTTTCATTTGCAAGAAGGAGAGATTCCTAGTTTTACTTGTGTAATCACATGAATCGCTGTTGAATTGGCTGGTGTGCGAAATGTTGTATGTTTTTGTATAGGCGAAACATTGTAAATGGTAACAAGAAATGTTCGATCGCAATTTTCCCAATTTTGAATGTTTTTATCCATTAGAGTTGATAGAGATAAATGTTGCTAGAACAAAGTCATGATTGATGAGCGATTTCAGCAAAGAAGGAAGAACTTACTTGTGTTGGAGTTTTCTTTTTGCAAAGAATAACTGTTTCTCGTCCAACACGATCAATAACTTCGAGAATACGTTCATGTTTTTCTAGTATACGCGGCGTGACATCGTTATTCTTCGATGACGACGAAGCTTTCTTTTTCCATGTTTTCGAAGATTCAGTCAACATCATATCATTGATTGTTTCCCCAACTTTCAAAAAGTCATTCGCTTTGGCGATCTAAAATGAAAATATCATTAAAAATACCGCAGAATAAATTCTCCTTCGTTAACCATATCCATAAGCTCTTCAACAGTTGTGTATTGTGTAACAGCAAATGGTCGAAAATCTTCATCTCGTCCATCTTTGCCATAGACTTTCACTTCGAATGTTTTATGTTTCGGTCGAATGAATTCTCGACTTGCCTAAATAAGAAATCGATTAGAACATGTATGAAATTAATTGTGTTCAACTGCGTACGGCGACAACTTCAGGTGGATCAGCTGCTCGTCGCAAGATCTTCGTACGGAACAGATGTGGTGTATTCGACGTAGATAAATCCGGTTCCGTATTCCGTAGAAGAATTGTTTCGGTAGTTTTGGAATAGATAAACAACGTTGCTAATTCTAATGGACAATTACTTATATCGCGTAAACGAACATGTCGGTAACCAGGCAGAAGACATTTCAACGGCATGACACGTTGAGACATTAAATGATTACTACCAGCATCGTAGACATGAAAGCGAACAAATGCTAATTCGATGAAGAATAACTAGATGGAACATTATGTATTAGATTAGATTAAAGGAATGAATGAAAGTAAATACCTGAAAAACGAATGTCTCTTGCCAGATGGGATTCAGTGAATTCTTCACTGATGGTTTCGTTTTTCTTGACATACAATCAATTGGAATTCCGAGAAGTTCAACTTCAATGTAAACACTCGTTGTTGAACTCACATTCTGAGTTAAATATTGTCCAGAGATAACCTATTCGAACAAATCAAAGTAGAAATCGATTAAGAATGAGTTTGTAACATACAGTGATAGTTAATTCATAGCATGAACCTTCGCGTTCGATTACCGATGGATTAAAATGACCGTATTGAGGATGTTCTTTATCATAAAACACACTCGGTTTGAGAACATAACCACAATTACCATTTTGTTCAAACATAGATAGATTAAGAATTTGGCCAGCATCTACGTAAAGAGAAAGAGGATACTCATAGGCATCTAAGATTGCTAAATAGACGTACCAAGTGTTTGGTAGTTGGTTGCAGCTAGTCTATAAAGAATAAAATTTATTTGAACGTGAACATGGAAAATTTCGAGTACATACTGAATGCCATATGTCCATAAATGTAGTGGATTGAAATTTGAAGAATCGACACGAAAACCACTTGGATAACATCGTACGAGTTGTGTTTCAGTATGTCTAGAATAAAACCATGAATTGGTCAATAATGTAAGTAGAAAAGAATGAACATACGCAATCATATCTACAGCTTGGTTTTTACATAATTTCTTGGCTTTGTTTTCAATTAAAGATACAATCTGATGACATGGTGATACTTGATCGA